GTGGCAAGGCTCTGAACCTCCAAGAGACTCTTCTTGGAAACCTTCGAGAAAATTGCCGCCAACTCCGGATCCTCCACCAATAGGGGTTCCTCACTCACTCAAAGGCCCGCTTTCTACGAATAGTACCCGCAATCTCTCCGAGGCTGATCAAGTCCTCCTCTCCGAATACCGCAACGCCACCGCAAGACGCGAGATGATGATACAAGCGGCCAGGGATGCAGTGGAGGAGGTGCACAAAGAGCAAGTCTGGAAAGACGAATTGAAAGAGCGCGGGAAACGCTTGAGTGCGACTCTGGAGGATATCTATAAAGATGTGAAGGTGATGCACTATACGGCGCTCGCGAAGCCTTGGCAGAAGTATCTAGAGGAGGTGAAGAAGGCGAGGCCGGATGCTCATCCGCTTTTCGCCAAGGGGTTTGAGGTATGGAGAGTCAAGGCTGCGGAGATCTGTCCTTGGGGAGAGGAGGAGTATGTAGTTTGAGGGGTATCGTCGGCGTATAGGATAAAATTTATGTAGTAGCTAAGGGAATATGTACGACGTAATTAGCGATAGATGAGATGCGTTTTTCAGGGCTTGGTTATGACCATACGTTGGCTCGTTGATCCAGAAGATAGGCGGTCGTATCCAAATGAAATCATTCGGTGAGGACAAAAACTTCGTCCCAACCTCGTCTCCTTCCCCTACCCTTCTCGCTCATAGACTGGCAAGAATTCTCATCGTTTTGACACGTGTTCATGATTCGGCGGTAACGCTGAAGCAGGTTGACGGCAATCGCAATGCATATGAATCGTTCCAGCAAGTTCCTTCCCTTCTCTGTCCGATAGCCTAGGGCGAAGAAACAGAAAAGATCTCAGCAATGGCTATCACTTCAGCACCAATAGAGCATCCTTGATGGGCAAAGTGGGTCATTCAAAGAATGCATAAAGTAGTACTCGTGGATTGGCGTCGGAATGGGGAGCTCTTATAATCCGTTTACTTGAGTTTTGGTTGCTTCCTAACGTTCAGTACCTATATCTTTGCGTCGTCATTGATGTCATTTGGGGACATTAAAGCTCGATTTCCTATTGCTGTTCTATGCAGGGTCACCCTTTCTCGCTGTTGAATATTGATACGCCAAAAACCCTGAATCATTCTTGCGAACATGTGAAGAGTTATCCAAAAGTCGCTTTCGGGGCAGTCAGTATGAGCTTATTCGCTTCTCTTGGGTGGTTCAGGTGCCTTTTGGCTACTGTTAGTCAAGCTCGATATCTCACGTTCGGCATGCAGGCTCATAATCGGGTTTAAGTTTATCTTGGTTTCAAGCGCCAAGCTGATTACAGTAAATAGGACCTTGGATCTGTTGCTACCTAAGCCCGACTCTTATGACAAGTCTCTTACAGGCCTTGCAACTAAGCTTTTGTGCTACCAACTCGACGTATCTCCTCACTCAATGCCGGCCTGGTTGAGCTTTCTTTCAGCCCTCCGATCAAATCACTTTATTTCTGCCCGTAATGCGACATCCATCTCAAAGAAAGGGTCAAAGCTCCGTTTTCTCGTACACGTAGGTACCTCGCCCCCTCCGACTTCTACTGGTCCCTCTCTTGGTCTGCATTATTCTTGTACCTTGATTCACATCAGCAGCTGCCTTTTCACCTCCTCAAGAAGGATTGTTACCAGGCGTCCTTGCACCCTGGATTGCCATTTGCTCTTTCTCCAGCTGATTCTCGACCTTCAGTCCGGCCGACTTCTCCTTGGGCTTCGTGGTGGGCGGAGACTTTGCGCGCGACTTCTTGGTGAGTGGGGCTACTTTTGGAGGTGGGTTCCGAGGCAGACCAGCAGATTCTGGCGGAGAAGAAGGAGATTCTATTGCTACTTCGGTGTCAGTATAGAACATTTTCGGGGAATGAGGCCTCTTAATACTGACACGGTAAGACAGAATCCTTACTAGGAGCCGAACGACTGGGTGATCTCCTCTTTCTGAGCCCCCTACTTGAGGAGGTTCCCTATCTCACAAGTAAGACTTTCGCCTCTTTAGCTTCACGAAGAGCTGATCACTTACATTGTCAAGCTCGGCTTCATCTTCATTGTCGCTATCGCGAGTTGTTGAGTGTACGCGCTTGTGGCCTTGGGCAAGACCCCCATTGCCTTCCGCCATTTCTCGGACCTCATTGACAATTTGCTTATACTCCTCCAGAGTGAAGCTGTTAACCTCATCACTCTATCGCTTGTCAGTCACACCCCTCTCACTCCAACCCTTTATGGCTGCAACTACATACCTCACGAACCTTCTTTTCCTGGGTTGCAGAGGACTCGAAGTGGTATATGATGTATATTATCGCATCCCACAGGCTCACCATGTCAGAGCGCTCGATTTTCTGATGCAGGTTCGCCTCCAGCACCCAGCGGACCATTTCCTTGAAGGTGATGTATTGAATGGCAGAACTCAGAATTCTGGGCACCAAGATTTGCAAACTATCACTCTCCATCATAAGATAGCCTGGATATCGTTGAGTTTCTTCGCGGGATACGACGCGCTCGACCCTCCGAAAGGCTCGAGACTCGTCCTTGAACTCCGGATCGTGGGCGTGTCTAGCCCAGAATTCGTGGAATAGAGGGCTGTTTACCTACGTAGGGACCGCAAGTCAGCCATCTAATTCACTCGAGTTGGTCAAATCACGTACCTGGTCCATGATCTCCTCACGCTTGGGATCACCTCTAGGGAAAACCTTTCCCGCGTTGAGCCACCACATCGAAATCACATCCCTTCGGCCAAGTTCCAGACCGGCGAGATCATGTTTGTTCATGTGAATCCTTGCGAACCGAGTTATGCCGCTCTTGGGCCCTACGAGTTGCTCTCTGGTGAACTCGAGTGGAGCCATATCAATGTAGAAGTTCTGGTCTTGCAAGGTTGGAGCTCCTCCATCCTCTGTAGCTCCTGCAGCTTTCGTGCCTTTGTCTCTTCCCATATTGAGCCTTGGGGGGACGAGACGCAGATCGCGAGAGGGTATAATGGGGAACCTTTGAGGTTTGAGGAGGTTGAATCACCGTGAGTGTGTGTGTTGTTGATGGTGGTGTGAAAATGTCCGATTGGGACGCGGCAAGAGCTTCCTACCGTCGGGAGAGGGGGCAATTTTCCAGATTGCTCAACACTTTGCTATCACGACCCTGAACCTTATCCGCAGCTGCGGGGTGGAATCATTGCGACAAAGGCTGCCAAGCAAGATGCAAAGATATGACCCTGAGAAGAGGCAAAATGGTGACGATACTGTCAGACGCCGTGAAAAAGCAACTAGCTTCCCGATATTGAGCTTGAGCCCCGCCACCTTCTTCAACACCTCTCAATGCGCACGTCACATGCTGAGTTCTTCACGTGTCTCGTTTCGGGAAAGTCGATCGTTCTCCAACAATCCTACATTGTCCCCAGTGTGCATCTCTTCTTCCTCCATATACAACCGTTCATACCCCTAGTCAAAACAGTAGGGCGGCGAAAGCGTTGAGCGCTCTGCACTATGAATCCCAAAAGTCGGTCATGGCAGCGCTGAAGGCACAGCAACAGAACGATTCACGGCTGGGATCTAACCATCAAGTTAAGTTTCTCCAGGTTAGCTACTTTTTGCGAAAGAACACAACTCTGTTCTACCTCCTGACACCTCGCTCTGATGGCGATCTAGCAATGTTGACCAACAAGGACCCATCTCCCACTCGCCCTCAAATGCTCAACCTCCTGGATGCGCTCTGATAGCATGTGTGAAACAGCAAGCTCGATCCCGCCGTTTATGGTCCCAGCAGGCAAATCGTTTGGCGAATCGTCATCGGCGGCTGAGCAAGAGCCGTCGGAAAGCGGGTACCGTCGTAGGGCATATAAAAATCTTTTCATAAGGTGTAGAGTCTTCAAAATCCTCTAGCACGCGTGTATCATCATCAGAAGTTATACGGTATAAGGGAACGCTATCTCAGCAATACATATTCCACAAGGAGTTTCTGGCGTTATATAGAGAGTTGGTAAAAAGAACAATACGAAAAAGTAAACTCGAACTAGCTTTAGGATAAGTAGCTCTCATAACTTGTTGCTCGAGGCTTTGTTGCTTTCTTTCCTTCAATACTATGGAGTGGTGAGTTTGAAGGCTTTTTGCTATCAGTATCACGGAATATCGAGCCCCAAGTTTTGGGCAAGCTGTGTAGTGTTGTACACTTTGCCAAGAGAGTCTTCGATTCACTCTCGAGCCAATGGGGTGACAGAAGCAATGACACAAAGAGGGCCAACTACACAGACCACAATCTCCTTCTAGGCATGCGACTCATTCACTCACTTCAGCGAGCAAATCGGGTGGAAATAAGAGTTTGCAACCCGGCTAAGCGAGCTCTGAAGCCAAACTCTCGGGAAGTCAAGTACCCAGAGCACCACAACTGCCTAATAATATTATTCCATGCGTGAGTTCATGTAATGATTAGGAATAAAACGTAAAAAGTGCTTCTGACTGACAAAACAGAAAAAAAAAGGAAACCCCAAAATCGAAACTTGACGGATTCGAACCGTGCAAAAAGAAATCGATCGCAGGTGACTAACATGAGAACGGTTCAACGCGCTCGATCAATCTCTAGACCCCTGCACTCAGCCCCTGGGGCCAAGCTACCGATTTCTTGTAGATTTGGTTCTTATTTTAATATATAATGCATTCAATTTCTGGGCGTGCAAACTTGGGCAATCACCACGATACTAGAGTAAAGCCCATTCGCCTCTACAGTCTCAAGCGATGAACATTGCAGAGCTGTCATGCTCTAGATCCATCGACAGTAAAAAAGCATAGTTGTTTTACAGGCCCTAAGATGATCGTCTCTGTTACCTTGTAGCCGGAACCTTGCATTATTTTTCATTACTGCAAATCATCGCTTCAAGCGATACAAATCCTAACACACAATGCGTCCTTTTATTAACTCTACTTTTAGACCCCTCTGGAAGTATCGTTACTATCGCAAAATTAAAGTACGAGTTTCGTACACCTTTTTTCCGGACGCGCTATCATCGATCCGACTTCAAGACGCCTCGTCCAGCCAATCCGCCTCGTACCCCCAGACCTTCTTCACCGCTCCTTTTCGTCTGCATCATTCTCGAGCCTGGAATCATTTCAGTAACCCACGGTCTTCAGTTCGGGCCCGGTAGCCTGCTCTTGGAACTCAAGATTAGAACGACGTACGACGTAGGACAGCTGCCTTGGTAAACACTGCTGGTTTCTGAGATGGTGACTCGTCTGGGGCGGGGCCAGATTGAGATGCGGCAATCGCGTAGCCTGTGCGAAAGTCAGGAGATACACTTTTAGGGGAATTAAAACTGTGAGACTGACTTGATAGACCAGATGTGGGCCCGGGCCTCAAAAGATGTGCCCTCTTACTCCTTTGCCTCCGCTTCTTCCGCTGCTCACTCGGCGATTGCTCCGAATCATCCGCATCGTGCTATCAGAACCAGTCAACAAGTAGCCGCGTATCCTTTGCGTATATCATGGGTACCTCAGAGCTGCTTTCATGATGCGGACGTTTGGCTCCAAGTGTGTGCTGGAGGACACTGCGTACTTCGCGAACGAGCCGCTCATACTGCTCCTCAGAATAACCGTCTACGGCCATGCTCTATCAAGAACATCAGTTCGATTATACCTCAGTTGAGTCTCTACAAGCGGCAAGTACATACTTCCATTACCTTCGCCTCTCTCTCACAAGCACACACGAAATGATAACTCTTGTGGACAATCGCATCCCACAGGAGCTGCATATCAGAGTATGTGATTTCTAGACCTAGGTTTGCCTCCAGGACCGAGCGCACAAAGTTCTTGTATAGCACATGTTTCAATGCGCGGAGCCCGATGAGAGGGATCAAGAACTCCCGATGATCGTTGGTCACGGTCGTGAGATCAGGGCATGTTTCCATAATGAGTACGCCAGGCCATCTCTTATTCTCGCTGGGAGTGACTTTACGCCCACTCGGTCGGAAACCGCGGTCAGCCTCATCTCTCTCCCAGGTATCTTCAAGCAATCCACTTTTGATGCAAAACTCATGAAAGTGGGGGGATTCGGCCTGTCGGAAGACACGAAGTCAGTCGAAGCGTACGATTTGAGCCTATCTTTGAGGGGAGCTTACTTGAGATTCTAGCTTATTACATGTCGGGTTTCTCTCGCCGTAGAAGTTCCAAACGAGCTGGTTCCAGTAACCCAAAACACTTTTGAGGGTTACAGACAGACCACGGGTGTGGTTTTCGAGTAAGAAATCATTAGCAAACTCCATAATAGTGTGTTTCAGGGTTTCGAAGTGCGTTTTGGTCCAGTTGACTTGAGCAAGATGACAGCCCATCTTGAGCTTCAAGGGGGCCGGAGCCCTAGGAGCTGGCTCATCTTGGGCTTTGTGGGTGGCTCGGGCACCACCGCCACGAGTACGCATTCTGGCAAATCTGGCAAAGTTTTGTATGACCGTAATGGAAAGGGTCGAGAGGAATTTGTGGGTATCTGTGGAGCAGGTAGAATGAACGTGTGGGAGGTGGGTTAATTACTGGAGTAGCTCTGTCGAGACGCGATGCCGACAACCTAATCTGGTCTATGGGAGACCGCGGCCCGGTGCCATCTTCAACACATTTCAGTACATACGTCACGTGCCGCATTTTTGCCCGCATTTCGTCTCGGAGATATCTATCGTTCTCGAACTACCTTACCTTTCCTCCAACGTACATCTTGGACCACACACAACCACTTGTTCCCCTTCTTAGAACAATGTTTCGTCAACCTCAAACACCTTCTGACGCCATTCCGCGGAGAAGCAGATTGCATCAACAACAATCGCGTAAAAAGAAGAAGCTCAAGAATCAGGTCGACAAACCAATAATTACCCCACGCTATACTAGGCGCCACTTCGAGGAGCTCAACCACAACATTCTAGCATTTACACGCACTGCGCAGAAGAACAACAAGTCAGAGCGAGGGCGCGAGCTCGAGAGAGATAGAGTCGATCAGCAATGGACGCGTTTGATACAAAGACTTTATCCGGCGGATGACCCCAAAAGTTATGAACTTCTGGCTCAGGTAATCATCCAAGTGGGATATGCACCAATATAATCCAAGTACTGATGCGTACTCTGAAGGTCGAATGCCCGCTGTACAACGGATACTGGGAAAAGCGTGCAGATAAGAAAGCCTTCTTCGAACGAGAATACCAATTTGAGCTCTATGCGTTCAGCAAAGCTCGACAAAACCCGACTCGGGCTCAGAAGCGGTACTGGCCTGGCTGTATCCTTATAGAAGACAACGAACGGAATGAATACGTGATCCCAAGGATCTCGCTTCTCGCGCTACAGCAAGTCAACTACATGGATTTCGTAAAGAGCGTTCTGCAAGCGAATCCACTTAAGGACATTTCAAGGTTCACGATGCAAGAGCTCTGGGTGGCGGTCGTCACGAAGGTCTATCATTTTGAGGACAATTTGGACAAAGAGTTGAAGATTGGGGAGGTAAATAAGAGCAAGAGCCATATCTCTAGAGAGGTTTCGCTGAATGATGTGTGGTTTTCAGACCAATGAGTGCACCCCAGCGGCGTACCGCGCGTTGGCAGCGGACTATCGAAGCGCTTATGAGGTTGCGAAAGCGAGGGTAGAGGCCAAACAGATTCTGCGAGAAGACAAAAAGCGAGAGCGCGACGATGCTGCAAGCGAAGAAGATGGGAATGGTAGTGGTGAAGACTGGGTGAGATACGAAGAGCATGGGAAGCATAACCATGATGGTTGTGCAGGGAAGCGGCAGAAGACACAAGACACCAGGGACCAAGCTGAATCAACTAGAAAAGAGAAAGAAACTACAGGTCAGCATCTCCGGGCAGAGCAAGAGGACGTTGGCGCTTTTCGTTTCGACGAGGCTGCCTGGCAAGATTTTGGCGGAAAGCAAGGCGCACCGGCCACCTTCCACTTCGCAGATACAGGGCTGGCATTTCGTTTCAAAGGGTAGGCACTGCATGTTTCGATGAGGTTTTTCTGAAACAAAGCTCCGGACGTGTCGGGAAAAGGAGGGGGTGTAGTTGAGGTAGCTTGTACTGTCCATATCAAGCTTGTATGCAGGACCAGAGACGGTGGCATTGGCAGCAAGCCTCTTGCAATGACACTTTGTCCACTACCCACAAGGTTCTGACCATTTACAGGATTCTGAGACTGTAAGAAAGCAACTACCGCAGAGGCTCCGCATCAACGTACGCATAGACTTTTCCTCCGGACAACCTCACGTCTTTCAACCTGCCATCTGTAGGTGGTGGCTGGTCTTCCGATCTTAGTAGGTCGCTGCCGACCGGCGGATCACATGATCATGAATGATCTTGCTTTCTGGTATTTCGTGATAGTCAGCATCTCCTTCTCCAAACACAACGATTCGTTCCACTGTCTGGTACCCAGTCTCTGACTTGCGATCGAGTAGCATACGCATCGTGCCACCTCTCAAGACGCTCCCCACGAGGGCAAAGAAACCATTGTCAATCTCGGTTTATCCTCGATAGCCGTCAGGGCCTGATCGAGTGAATCTTGATGTTCGAGCCGCTTCATCTATACCCATCTTAGTCTGCTTTCCAACAACGGAATTCCGCACGATTACGAGCGGTTCTGTTGGCGGTACGTCTTCCTCAGCTGCTGCCATAAGAAAGGACTGCCAACCGATCTTCGATGGCTACAGCCGCATGCCTGGGAAGTTTCGATACCGACATCATCCGAATGCGATGACGATGCGCTTGATACTTGTCACAATCTGAATGCCTCCGTTCTGCTCATCGTTGCTCAAATATGATTCTGCTCTTTCGTTCCTTCTCGGTAGTCACCATCTGCCGCGGGCATCTGGCTTTTGATCTGGTTCTCGTCTTCGTTGTGCTCTGCGCGAGTATGGAGGTTGGATGGGATCGCAGGAAGGAACGTGAGATCGTAAGTCGGCGTTGCTGTAAGGTTGTACTTTGGCTCTCCGAATGTCTGAGCGCTCACGCCGTACAAGAAGGGGGGTCTGGCCTGTCGCTTTGCGTTGGCTATAGGAAACCATGGTCGACATCTCTTCCTTTCTTTGAAGATACACACCTTTGCCATCGTCTTTGAGTCCTTCAATCTTCTAGCCTTCATGTGCTAAGCCAAAGCCGAACCCGATGTTATGTTCTTCACCTGCTTAACGAGAGCCGAGCTGTTGTACCTGGTAGCATATTGGAGCTATACACGTTCGAGCTTCACCAGTGCTGTCCTAGGAATCCGCTAACCCAGGTCCCTCGATGTTTCTTTCTAGCAACACTCACATTTTTTCCTTTCCTGCGTGGTTTTGGGGACGCGTTACAGCTGATTCCGAGGCGGGCCCATCCTTTCCTGAAGCTGGCTTTTTCGAACAGAACATTGGATTGCCGTCCCCACAGATATCAAACGCTGCCCTAGCACCCGACCAAAAGCCATGCTTTCCGTTTTGTCCCATACAACCAAGCATAGCCGCTCCTGGGTAGAACAAGCACTTCTGAGACCAAAATGGTCTCGGTCCCTGAATGGTTCTCTCTGGCGACAATCACGCCGAGTCTGTTGCTGCGTGTTTCCTATCCTGAGCGCAGCCGTGCATTGCCGAATCTGGTGATTCGTTCCCATTGTGACCTGATGAGGGGGCCGTTTCATCGATTCGCCGCGCGATCTTCCGACTTCCCGCGGTGGGCCCAGAGACCTGTACAGCGACGGTCAGTCTCTTGAAGCTTCTGCAGGTGCATTGACGAGGGTATGAGCCAAGCTTACCTGACTGAGAAATATCTAGCCTACGGGATGGCCTTTGCAAAACTCCAGATTAACCTGGTTCTTCCAAGACAGAGCGACATGCTCATAGGTAGGGCCATTCCCGTGTCGTTGCACTTCTCGAGTAGATTCTTAGTGTTTATCTTGGTCGTTGGTTCTAGAAGCTGAGGAGCCATTGGTAGACCTGACGGCGGAGTTGGGTGGTGGTAATCCTCGAAAGTGCCGTAGCGACTGGAGTGGACCATAGTAGGCTAGAGAATTGAAAGGTGGGAAGGGTGGAGGTGTGTGTCCCGTGAGCTTGAAGGATTGTCTCAACACAGAGAACACATGAAAAGCCACGCGCTGACCGGTCTAGCGAGCGGTTGCAGAGTTTTCAATCACACATGTGTCTTTAACAACACTACCTGAAATTCTTCAAACACCACCCTAAAAACATAAATACTGTTGCAAGCTTCCAGCCCCCTCGCTATCACAATCCCAGCTTCCTTACCGATAACACAATGCCACGAGGCACGAACAAGCGCAAGGAGGCGGAGGAGGGATCTAGTGATGAGACGCCGCCGGTGCGTCAGAATAAGACTCGTCGTACGAGGTATGTACACTTCCGAGCAAGTTCTTCCCATGCCATACTGCGTTTCACAGCGCAAGATCCACTTTGCAAGCCCCTGAAGCCACCTCACTACTCGTGTTGCTGGTTCGAACAAGAGAGGCTGATTCCCACATCTTCGCAGCGGAAACACCGTCAAGTTCGCGCACACCGTCCAAGGTCAGTGAAAAGGCGGCCCTTGACCTCTCGATGCATACACTGACAGCGAAATAGCCGTTTCCTTTGGTGAGTATCAACAACCCAAGTCGATTCTGAAGACCAGGTCCGAACCATTCCCTATCGCTCCTGGGTCCCCCAGTACAGCAAGATCTCCGTCTCCCGAACCCTCAAAGGAATTTGAAGAGGAGGAGTTTGACAGAGAAGAAGTGGATACGATGAGAAAGCTCGCTGAAGCTGCGATAAATTTGGCGAGAAAGGCTCGCAAGGAGCAGCTAGAACATGATCTTGCGGCAGTCCAGAAGGAGCTCGCATTTACCAAAAACGATCTCGAGAACGTCCGTTTCAGCGAGAAGATCTACATGCAATCAACAGAGAAAGTCATGCAATCACGAGACAAACTGGTACGCGCTCTCGCGGACGCTGACAAGCGCACGGAAACTGCCCGCGCGGAGGTCAAGGAGGCTTTGTTGGCCCAGAGAAAATCGGAGAACAAGTCCAGAGCGCTGGAACTCCAACTGAAAAGAGCAGACGAACAGGTGGAGAAGCTGCAGCAGGAGCTAGCCGTTATGAGGGAGAAGGAAGAGACGGGGAAGTTGCTGGGCAAGAAGACAGCGATGGAAAAGGCGGATGGAGGCAACGGGGACACCAAGTAGGGCACGACAATGAAAAGGCTGCCACATGAGGACATGCATTCATGAGAGGATGTACGCACCTTCTTGGCAAACCTAGTTTTTAAATCTTCGACTGTACGCTATGATAGAATTTAAAGAGCCTTCAAATCAGCCTAAGTCATCTCCATTTGCCAGCTGATTTTGACTTGTCGGACAGTCAGTAGCACCGCTCAACTTTCAAGGTAGGCTACAATGAGCAAAAACAGTACTCTACAAGTCTCCACTTGGTCAACGATGGCGATAATGAACCCTATTAGTAGAACCGTGGCAGCAGCGTAAGTCAGAATACAAACGAGAAGGTAGAGAAATCTTTCAATAAGCGCAAGAAAAGGAACAGGCAGAAACAAAATTGGAAGGGAAGCAGAATAAAGAAGCACTGGTAAAGTGATACGATTGAAAGACAACAAAAGGCAAATGGGAAAAAAAAGATGGGCGAACGAAGGAGGGTAGGTAGGTAGGAAGGAGGGAAGGCGTGGTTTGTCGGTTCCGCTCTAAGTGGGATTCCATAATTCAGAGTCCATCCACACCGCTCTTGAAACCCAAGGTAGGTCGACTTCCCACTGGTGGGAGACGTGTTATACCATTTTTGACCTTTAGCGTGATTGGCCGCAATGAACCATCATTACTATGGTCTCCAAAGATGAACATATGGTGTGAAAGCGAGTATAGTTTGTAGATAGTGAATTTAGTCGACACTGAAAGTTGGTTAGCGCAACGGGAATCAAATATTTCGGGAATTCAAACGACTGGACCAAAGAACCTAGGCGATTGAATTTAAATCACGCTAATTCATTCATATAGCAAGTGAATGGCGTCCGGATGATCATTCGGGCAATGCAGCTCCGGCCAGCTAAAACTTCGACCCGGCAATCCGCGAGTCTTAAGCTGCTCGATAGCTGTGTTCAAAGGCCTTCTAATAGAGGTTAATTATGCTCTTTTGCTTCTCGGGTCACTCAGCGATGCGCGCTTAGTCGAGCCGCACTGATAACTTCAATTCCACCCAGTCAACTCCCATGCGCCCTGCGTCGTATGCACGCACTAATAGTATAATATCCCCAACTCTTGCAAAACTGTTTTGATCTCGTCCTATGAATATCCAGCTACTGATACAGATGCTCAGGAGCTAAAGGGTCACACCATTTCGTGCCTTCAACGAGGAGACACACCTATAGTTTCAGGCAAAACCTCCATACTGGCAACTCCATCCAACAACATTGATACAAAAAATTCAGGATGCGGATTCAAAGAGTCCCCCTGTCCGTGAAGATGCAGCATGTGGAGGAAAAGGGCCAGGCCATCTCAGGCAAATACAGACAACTACGAAGCCCACAAAAAGTGACTTTGGAGGTGACGACCGTTAGACTAAAAGCCAGATATTCCGAAGCGTTAGACAATCCGAGATACGCTCAGCCTGGTGGAGTATTGGATAATGATCGATGTGGCTACAAAGCCACGCAGGCGAGAACTGTGCAACCGTGCAAGGGCGCCATTCATAAGAAAACGCAAGCTTGGCGCCCAGAATCCATCACTGTCCCTTGGTGCCGTTATAAGGGAAGTTGGTTACAACCGCAGACTTCAAAATGCTTGCTGCTGGATGGGTAAAGAACGTTGGAGAAGGAGACGTCGTCTAGACAAGATTTTGCTAGGCTTCTCGTCCTATCCATAGAAGCTAATTCGGATGCTACGGTGGAATTTTCACACTTTAATTTTACGCGTTTGAGAAGTATCGTGTTTCGTCCCATGCCTTAATTGAAGCCTTGTTGTACTATCGGAAATGTGCTCATCAATCCTCCTCCTCCCTTCTTCTGTATATGTTCCTGCCGTTTGATTCAAACCCTTATGCGCTGTGTCGTTCTTGACACATCAATCGTTCTACTTAATTAAATGATCTCCGGTTGCGCCGCTATGATCATTGTCTTCATATCTATCGCGGTGCTTGTTGTACTAAGGAGACATTGTTCTCATACTCTATCAACCTTCTGGACTTGCCTTCTCAGATCAGATTCTCGAAGCAAATGAGTTGTTTTGTTTATGTGATCGATCCCCCCAGTGGATGAGCAGAATGGTCAGGCTGGAATATCATTGACACTAGTAAAGAAAGTTATTATATGACGGCTGACATGGACGAAACACCCATGTATTTTAGCTTCTATATGCATCTGACTTGTTGGATCTGAGACACCTCGTGAGATTTACTTGACCATTTCAGTTGCGAGTGACTTCCAATCGAAGTGTATGACAGAGAGGAAGATGCTGTGGACGCTGGATTCTGGATGCTCATATGGCTCCCGAGCGGGATTTTGTGTCAAGAAACGATTAGAGTGAGGCTTCCATGGGCACAACGGAGATCTCGGACAAAGCTTCATAGGATATGGGTGACCTTTTTTCGGCAGAGTCAGACCATAAGCTGGCAGCTGGGTCAATGAGAAAGGAGCGAAAGGTCCTCCATGTCCTCTTCGATAAGGCGAGACTTGCGATGTCTAGTAAGCTACAGCCGACTCAGTGCCTCAAAGGATGCTCTCGAAGCGATGAGATGATCCAACAATGACTGCCAGGCTTCCCAGCCCTCCCAATTCTCCATTTGGCGTCCTTGGCCCTTCCTGTCTACGGTGGAGATGACAGCGATCAGGCAACGATGGATTGCAGTCAACTTTGTATTGAAGGAATCCCAGTGAATACGCATCATACAGAACCAAAGGTTGAGAATACCAAAGAAATGTATGAACTTCTTTGTTGAAGTATGGGCTGATAGTAGCCTTGTGGAGGCCAACGAATTCTTGTCGTCTCTGTGTGAAGAGTCTTCCGATACCCTGCAGCCTGAAACTATCAGCTACCTGCTGATTTCGCATGTTCTTTCATTTAGAGAAGCGATGCCAGCAGAGAGCTATGCTTATGAAGGCATTGATTCAGAATAGCAACCACGAGGGGCAGACAGTTTCTCAATGCTCAATGACGGATGCATTGCTTCTATAGCGACGAATAGAGTTGACAGATGAAAAGGATCAATGTCTGTTGAAATGTTGCGTAAGGAGGCATGGTACAGCATGAATGCTAATGGATGAGGCCAAAGGAATATCGTTGCTGGCGCCAAGAGCCCTGGAATGCGCCAGTCCTCAAAGCTCACATATGTATACATCAGTGGCTCATTTTCAATCCCGGGACCAGGCTTTTTTAGCTGAGTTACTAACACTGAGGAATATACCAAGACTTCAGTATAGCTTCATCTTTTCATTTGGGACCTATACTAACGATAGCAGTGTTATTGAATAGTTTTGCGGAGAGATTTCTATGCTACAGTACGAATCTGGGTGTGTGGTGTGAAAGATCTCCGGTGCCAAGCATTCCAGATGTTTTTGAATACGCTAAGTCCCCGTTCGTCTTGGCGAAGCAAATCTTAAAGAGCCATTGCTGGCAAGGAAGTCCACAATCTGATCCAGCAAAATAAGCACAGACCCTTGCCGCGTTTATGAGCTTGAATATCTCGTGCCTTCCGAGTTATTCGAATGGGAGGAAACTCTTAAGGTTGCAACCGACATCTCACGTTATGGACATACTACCAAATGCGCCTTGCGCTCATTGCAAGTTCATCAGTCCTCACAATGGAGAAAACAAATGGGGTAGGATCAGCATCCCTTATAACCGCGTCGATCAATACCCGAACTTTCCTGCACTCGAGGTTTCCGCTCGGAAAGGATGTGCTTTTTGTGGCCTCTTGAGGCATGCTCTACAAGATAAGTACAGCGACGAGAAGATAGCAGAAGCCGAGAGCGATTTTCACCCAGAAATTCGCGCCAAGTGGCCCACATCCGGATGGAATGGCCTGGTGACAGTCGACCGTGCAGTCTTTTCAACCGAAGAAGACTGGACTGAACGTGATCGGAGTCAAGCAACCGACCAGTCTCTCGGTGGTGTTCACACTCTGTCCCTTGGAGTCTGGCCGTATCCTCCACGACGCAACGTTAGTAGCCCTGAATCCAACCTTACTTGGGTATGGTTCGCAGTGTACGCGGATTCCGGTAAGTGGGAAAATGGTTTGATGTTGCCTTTGCTCATGGTGTCTAGATTCTGAAGCGTCTCTACAAGGGAACATAAGGCGGAGAAAGCCCCACATGGAGACTCTATCCGACGCCAATGTATTATTGATCTCTAGATGGCTAAGCATTTGCTCGACGCTACATATTGAATGCCGCCACAAGAGTGATACAAGATTACCAACACGCGTCATAGACGTTGGTCCGGCAGACAATTCACAACATCCGCGTCTAATAGTCACTTCAAAGGAGTCAGGAGAATATGTGGCCCTCAGTCACTGCTGGGGATCGTTAATCGCGTTTGATTCGGGCCAGCACGCTCGGACATTGAAAATCAACCTCAAAGACATGTTAGGTGGGATACCTCTGAACATGTTACCCCAGAACTTTCAGGATGCAGTTCTCATTGTTCGGAAGCTGCAGTTGCGCTTTCTATGGATTGATGCTTTGTGCATCATTCAAGATGACCCAGCGGACTGGGCAAGGGAAGCTGCGAGAATGAACGATGTCTATGGATCAGCCTATCTGACTATAGCTGCAACTTCCGCTATATCTAGTACTGATGGTTTCCTAAAGCGGTCGCAGGAGACGACCATCAGTATACCCTACTACAAGGACGTTCGCGCCGATCCTGCCGGCCTCCTCTTCCTAGCTTACATGCGAACGGGTGGCGATCAAGGGTCTTGGTTTTCTAACATAGAAACAGCTCGCTGGAATACCAGAGGCTGGACCTTTCAGGAGCGCTTCCTATCAAAACGCGTGCTGCATTTTACCGAAAGAAAGTTGTTTTGGGAATGTCGTGCGACCGACGCCTCGGAAGGAAATGAGCCACCCCGTGATCCACGTTACCGGACCTCGTGGTTGAAACACGAGGGCCAAGATGAGTCTGGTCTTTCGCTAGAGCAAACCGCTGGAGCTTCCGAGTCCCACTTTGATGCGTGGTACAGCATAGTTTCCAGGTACGCTGGCACTGATTTTTACATATACGTGGTAAATAATGACGCCGTCAAGGTACTCTGCTCGTGATCTCAGCCGTGAAACAGACGTGCTGCCAGCCTTGTCTGGTCTCGCTCATGCTTTTAGAGGCGCTCATGACATGGGGAAATGCACTGATAACAATGATTATCTTGCAGGAATTTGGCGGGATGACCTTTTAAGAGGTCTGCTTTGGAATTCGCACGATAGCAGCCGGGCAAGCAGATACAGTCAGTATATTGCGCCTACGTGGTCATGGGCCTCAATCAAAGGGCAGGTCCATTTCCCGTCCGGAGGTTTAGGCATCAAAAGTACCCCAACTTTTGTCAATGCAAGCTTTGAACCAAAAGCGGACGACCACCTGGGAGCGATCGTTGCCGCAAAGCTCACTTTGCTTGCAAAGGTTCGACGTCTGTGTGAAGTCGTGGAAAAGGCTTACAGCTCATGGTATCCATGGCATCTACGATTCGAGGGAAGACATATTGCTAATGGTGCATTTGACGTGAACAGTGAAGGTGGCAGGAACACTGTATGGGCAATGGAGTGCATGCTCCAAAAACACTGGGATTATCGGGATCATCCTACCATGCTCTTGCTGCATAGATCAGGAACTACGCCTGATACATACGAGCGCGTGGGAGTGGCGAGAATGGAAGAACAATGGCTCGGATTCTTCAATGATTGCGAGCCCCGAGAGATAGCCTTGGTATAGGGACAGAGTCGGAAAAGCTTTCTTGACGACTGCGGAACACCATTGGACCACACTTTCTGACCTCGCATATTCTCCGTATGTGAGGAATAACATTCATAGCACTCGACAAGACGGGCGCGCGCAATGATGTCATGTCACAATTCGTTTCTTATGTCGGCATCGAAGGTATTATATGAATTGGCGAGAATCACATTCTTCATTAAGTCGAGAAATAGCACATCCTCGAATTTGCTGAAAGCAGTCTCCGAATAAGGATACTTTTACGGTAAACCTCCAGGAACAAGATTCGGTCAGCTTTTGGGGTTGGTGTCTTAGGTGGTATTAGCATGTATCTTGACAGCCTAGCTGCGCTATCATCAATTGCTGTCTTGTCGAATGCCGTCTCGCAGTCTCACGGTTTCCAGTAGCATACACCTGAATCCCTGGACGGCCTTGCCATAAGATCAACCTACCGGCCTACCTAAGGTAGGTATACATTTAACCAGATCTGCCCACTGCGCGGGGCCACTGAGACTAGAATAGGACCAGGTCTTTTCTGGATGACGTGTTCGCTTAATGCTTCTCTAGCATGTATGTAAGGTATCTACCAGTCCACCAGGGGGTGTCAGAAGTCTGAATACGTTATTCCCACCAGTTTTGGTGGGAAGCCTACAGGTAGCCGGGTAAACCTCGGTATTCAGACTTCTGACACCCCTGGTGAGTCCATAAACAACTTTGAGTAAGCATATAAGGTACATAGGTACTGTTGTGCCGACCTCCGTAGTAGAGATCTGCAGGCTAACCCGAAGGGAATTAGCTTGCCAGAAGAGGCTTAGTGAGCTTGCCAGGTGTGGGTGACTATGGCAATGTGGCAAGTTGCCTGTCGCACTCGAAGCTATCATGCATTCTATACAGCGACGTCGAATCAACCATTGAGAAATGTGGAGTATCATCGAAGCGCTCTCCCGAGGTTCGTTGCGCCATCGAGCACGCCCTTACAACTGACTGGCGCTGTTGAGACTCACAATCTTGTCGTTGCCTATGTGTCTGGCAAACAGGAAATTTTCTCTCGACCTCAGCCTTTCTACTCGTTCATGCCGGAGTCCTAGAGTTCCATTTCCAGTGCTCCTCTGTGCGTCCATTGATCTAGCGGTGGATGCCTTGTCTAACGTGAGTTCGGGTAACTCTGAGGACAATCGTCCCTTCTCAGCGTGAATTCTTACTCAAGATGATTGACCCTGTGACTGCTCTTGGGCTCGCTGGGAATATCGTGGAATTCATCGACTTTTTTTGCAAAGTCCTCCATGACACCAAAAGCCTCTATGGGTCCCGCACTGGTGCATCCGCCGAGAACGATGTCATTGAAGCCATCTCCGTCGATCTTATAAATCTCAATAACGCCTTGGCTGCTCCTTCTGAGCCAGGAGCAATACCAGATTCGATTAGAAGCCTGGCTAGTAACTGTAAAGGTGTTGCTGAAGAAATTCTCGAAATTCTTAACAAGATTAAAGTCCACGGTGATCACGGGAAATGGAAGACCTTCGTTCAAGCCTTGCGAAGCGTGTGGAAGAAAGAACAGATTGAAGAACTCGTCAAGCGCATGGAGAAATTGCGAAACGAAACGCAATATGGCTTGCAATTAATGCTCAGGTGAGGTCGCTTTTTGCGTATCCGTTTCCAAGAACACAATCCTTGCACCCAGTGCCCTCTATTTAGACTTTTCGATGTGTCTTTATATATATACGTAGAGTCATTGACAATCTCGATGTACAGCGAGGGACAATCGGAAATACAGATGATGTTGGCAAGCCTTGTCGCCGAGAACAAAAGATTAAAGCTAGATGGAATGCAACAGCTAGAGGGCCTAGTAAAGGGCGTCCACGATGCGATCTCTCAACTGCAAGCTGAGACAAAACGTCGTAACGAAACCGCACGAGATGAGCCTAAGGCCGTCCAAAGATTGAGCTCTGGTGATGCCACGGAAATGACACCATCATCACCATCATGGGAGGACATGAAAGGACTGTCGAACGACATTTTCAGCTTGGCCGAGGAGGTCAGATCATCGGCATCTGATAACATGCTTCTCAACAGCCTTTGGTTCGACTACATAAAGCATCGGCAGGCAACTGTCGAGTCCGCCCATGAAGAGACATTCAGATGGGTGCTGGACCCGTCTTCGCCAACAAAGTTCGACGACTGGGTACGATCTCAGACCGGAATATACTGGATCATGGGCAAAGCTGGCTCAGGTAAATCAACATTGATGAAGTTTCTGCTCAACCATACCAAGACAGCAGAATCATTGAAATCATGGGCGGGGACTAAAGAACTCGTCACTGCGAGCTTCTTCTTCTGGAACTCGGGATCTAGTATGCAGAAGTCACAGGAAGGCTTGTTTCGTTCGCTACTGTATGAGATACTGAGTCAGTGTCCAGATCTGACTCGCACCGTTTGCGCTTCCAAAGCAAAGACATTTCGCCCTTTTGTGAGAGAAGTTGAGCCATGGAGTCGGGAAGAACTTTGGCACGCAATAGAGCAGCTTAAAGAACAAAGCGGGGTGAGAGCTAAATTTTGCTTCTTTATTGATGGTCTTGACGAGTATGACGGCGACCCTGATCATATCGTAAGCGTCCTAGAAAGTCTTCGGAGCTGGCCAGATATCAAGCTCTGCATCTCAAGTCGACCCTACAACGAATTCATAGACGCTTTCGGTCGATCTTCCGATCCACAGTTAACTCTCGAAGATCTCACTCGCGAAGATATCAGAATCTACGTTCGGAATACTCTGGAAGAGAATTTGCGTTTCAGAGCGCTAAAGGCCAGAGACGACCGCAGTCAGGACCTGGTCCATGAGATTGTAGAAAAAGCTCGAGGCGTGTTCCTCTGGGTTATACTAGTGGTCAGATCACTCCTCGCGGGTCTCAGGAATGCCGATAGAATCTACGATTTACAGAAGAGGCTCCAGGAATTTCCAGAGACGCTTGAGAAATACTTTGGCCACATGATTACTTCGGTCGAGCCTGTTTACCGAGAGCAGACTGCCCAAGCATTTGAATTTGCCCTCGAAACCGAACGACCACTCTCTTTGATGATGTACTCATTCCTTGATGAGGAAGATCTTGACGCTGTTGCAGCTGCACCCTTCAATCCTCTCACAACTGAAGAAATCTCATCCAGACAAGATGACATGCGCAGGCGGCTGAACGGTCGCTGTAAAGGACTACTGGAAGTGGTTAGCAGCGAGGTCGTGAACCTATTCGGTCCCAGCACATACACTTATCGGTTCCACGCACCCAAGGTGGAGTTCCATCACCGCACAGTCCGCGACTTTCTGCACACGAAAGACATGCAGAACATGCTTGTTGAGCACCTCAAGGCCGGATTTGAGCCTAAGTTGCGTTTCTGCAAGGCATTGCTTGCTCAACTGAAAGCGCTAGATTATAGCGTACTCAAAGACACCAACTGGCTCCCAAACGACCTCCTAGAAGACCTCACACACTACGCCAGTAAGCTTGAGTATGAGAGTCATGTTCCACAGTCCAACCTACTAGATGAGGTAGGCCGATGTGTTTCAAAGCAGGCAGGTCTCTTTAAGTGGAAGAGAGGCGGACTTGACTTCTTGGAGTTCTTAGCCCAGAGAAGGCTCCATCTCTATATCACGGAAATATTGACAACTAGAATAACACTGACGCAGTCAGACAAGAGCATCCTCCTAGGTTCCGTTCTAGAATCTCCGGCGACGAAGTACTTCGCAGCAAGCTACGATCTGAAGATGATAGATATTCTTCTCCAGCATGGCGCCAGACCCAACGATAAGTACAAGGACTCTACGGTATGGGGTAACTTCCTCCAATCTTCCGTCAAGGGTCGGTTCGGTCCTACCGACGATGATAATCTACCGGTCATCGAATCCCTACTTTCCCACGGCGCCAACCTACAACAGCGTATCGTGACTGGACAGAAGACCCTGGCCAGGAAGATGACAGGGAGAGCCGCTGATCTGCACGTACGCCAGGATGTTCAAGTTGATGTTGCCCAGTCAGCTCAAAAGATACTGTTGGATCTGTTGGGAGAGGAAAAAACCTCAGAAGTGCTTAAAAAAGCACGAAAGAATCAAAAGTCCATTCCTTCCAGCTTGCAGTGGTGGTCGGGACGATCCCTGCTTGCATTCATGCAGCGTCTCAAGAGATAAGTGTGAGTCGTTAATACCACTGCCATGTTTGCTGTTGGTGGGTATAATCGTGGCATGGCTGACTGGGTGTCATTCTCCAGGGTACTTCGGCGGCCAACTGAGCCAATAATGTGTGTCGGATGGGTGTAATCGACTGTTGGAATAAATGAAGACGTTGATATCTGGATTTCATGCAAACTTGCCCCGGATTCGTTCACGCACAACATCGAAGCTATCGGGACCCAAATACCAAGTCCCACGTTACCCAACACTGACCACGCTTGTTTCCACCTGCGGTGTCACATGATCTCAACATGATCATCGTGTAAGACGATGACTTCCACTCATACGAGCGACTCCAGTGTCTAGGGAAATGCAAGGACGAGAGGATCATAGATTTCGTCGATTCAGCTCTCACTTACTCTCTACACCGACATCTTGAATAAGAAATAGTGGGAAACAATGATGTACGTCCCATAGAAGAATGACTGGACTATGTACGGCTGGTGCAGGGCCAGATATCTATCATGGCCAAGGCCCACTAGTGTTGTTGGCTAGCCGTTGGATAGGATGACAACGCCTTGGCAATTACCTTTGAAGTTGGGCAGCGGTGGGGCCGCCTTTCCAGCAGTAACCATTGTGCCCTGAATTACCATTCCGAGCCTGCCAAGTCGCTGGGAAGTCCAGCTGCCCCCAAAACCTCAACATCGTCGGAGACTCAAACTAGATAAAAGTCAAGTATTAGTTACCGCTCTAATAAGACGAGCAGTGGAGACTAACCTGACGAATCTTTTCAGCGACAAGGGCGTTTCCGCAAGGATACATAGTCGCCATCTCTATCTTGAAGTACATTTCAACCTCCCCCTAGTCAACCCTCGGTGAGAACCCAACTTCGTCGTTCACCCCACAGAAAGCTTTTGCAAACCCGTATAACCCGCGCTTCTGCGTCTCGACAAAGGCTTTGCTGCACTTCATGGTGATGATTTTGGGGTCAGGCTGATGGTACCACCGTCTGGATTGCGCACAAGGTCGCGCTAAAGTCGCGGGTGTCGTAGTGGCATCGTTCCCATCCACTGACGACCCGGGGCCCTCTGAACTCTAATGTTGCAGTCAGTCGTCAAGCGCCTCGGTGTAGGCCGCACAACGTGGCTGTATCGGCTCATCAGTTCGAAGGCGGAATTCCAGACAACGTAGATGACCACGATCACTTTGTCGGATCTCTCGCCGTACCATTGGCCGCTTGCATCGTGGGAGCCGCATCACCGTCATCCCCTGACTAATTCTCGCGTGAGTTTGGTCTGGGCATTGTCTCGGAGGATGGTTACCTCGTTCCAGTTCTCCTTGGAGATTCCTGGCCATCTAGATGCCATCTGCGCACCTGGATTCCGCCGTCTTGCATGGAGCGAATGACTGTATCGACTGTGTCATGTCAAGATACGGTCGCAGGCGGTGAACTGTAGGAGGATGACAGTAATGCAAAAGACTAGGAGCAAGAGGTCTGCCATGTTGCTAGTCATCACTTCGAGCTGTGACAGCGGGGTATCCGAGAATTAGTCTCGTATACCTTGCGCTGTCTATCTTGGAAGACATCCATGTTCATATATTTGATTTCGGGAAAGGTTTGGTTGCGAAGTAAACAGAAGGGGCCCTATTAAAGGTGTGAATGATGAGTTTCCATGGACTACTTCTTCTGTTGTGGTTTTTGGGTTGTTCTCAATGTACTCAGAATCGTCATCATCATCTGCATCTGGCAGAGAAGAAAGATTCTTGGGTGTGAAGGGGGTAGCAGGGTGATTCAGTAATCATAGTTTGGATGGCTGGTTGACACGCAGAAGCTCGACTGCAGCTGCATTGAAATAACCCCCACGGTCGCTCTCTTGATGATGCAGAAGTTAGAGTTTGACAAACTGATCAATGGCAACGTTGTTTGGTGAGAAGCCTTTCGAATGACGTGATGTACTCCGGTGATGTCGTCTAGATCTATAGAGTAACATTCCAACCTGTCTCTGGAAGCTTGATGAGGGTTAGGAAGGTAGCTTCATCGATGAAAATGGGTTTCTCTCTAGAAGTAAGCGGCTATACTATATGATAATGTATTGACGTTAAAGTTTGATTACCATCGAAAAATGCAGGCTGCATTAATTCGCTGATACCTTATCAGATTGATGAGATCTTAATGCCAACTTTGGGTCCCTAGATGATTAAACAATCAATATCTAGCAAGACATAGCCATATTCATTCATCACCTGATAACACAAAGAACGGCTGGACATGTGAGATCTAGCTTGGCTGTGCAATCATCGAATCAGCCATGTCTGTGATGGTCGTATGAGCTGGCCCTTCTCCCCTCCTCCCTCTTCCCGCCCATCCCCTCTGGCCGGGCTTACACTTCTGGTACGCCCTGTCGCTTCACGATGACGGTACCGAAGTCTTTGTGCTTCGTCACGATACAGTACGGATATCGCCGCTTATTGGCTGGAGATAGCTTGCAGCTTGACTCCCAAAAGCGAGTCGAGTCATTCTTTCGCTTTTGCTGTCCAGGCTTATGCTGCGGGCCTCGGAGCAGTGCTTTCAAGCTGCGAAGGATCTTTGATAGCGAGAGCTACGCGAACGTAGTCGGCGCAGAAACCTTTTTGAATCATGAGATTTGACTTCGACCTCCTTCCCTTCCCCGTCCTCCTCTTCCCATCATCCGCTGTGTCTGGAGCGAGCGCACATACCGCTGCTGGCCTGGGACTTTGTACTCGGTTCTGATTCAAAGAACTGACGAGGCTGTAGATGTACACGGTCCTATGACGATAACTGTCAGGGACTCGATGGTGTGTGTGATAACTCTTTATTGTAGTGTGAAGAGAATACTATCTATGTAGAATAATTACAAGTGTGGGTTTCACAGCGGGGTAGAAAGGCCGAAATGCCTTGGCACGCTAAGCCTAATTAGGCCATAACACAAGTAAGGTGGTTGAAACCGTGACAATAACCTCGAGCTCTTCGGCTTCAGCCCTCTCGGCTTGGAGTTCGGTGCGCAAAAGCCCCCGAGCACCGATGGCGTCTCGCCTCTCTGGTCTCACTTGTCGGAGTTCTCCGACCGCACCCTCAAGCTGGTCTCCGACAATGTCATGTCGTCTTTGGGAGATTGCCTGCTCAGCCGTGCTCCCTGCGGCCAAGGTCCGGTCTTTGAGCGCCTTCTCCTCTCGCCCTGGCCGGTTTTTCGTTGCTCTCTGCCTCTTGAACACACAGGCGTTGTGCCTCCTGCAGCCATGGAGGATGAAGCCGAGGTAGTGCTTCAGAGTCCACAGCATATGGTAGTTGTCACTTTCATCTGTGGTGAAGACGGTCGCAGCCTCGATGGACTGGGTGCCCTGTTCGGAGATCGACGATGGATATTCCGTGGACGATCCCTAAGAATGTCTGAAACTGCGTGTTGGTCGCGACGAATTTGCATTCGGGCCGTCCGACGGTGACAGCTACTTCAGTCTCAGTAGATAATAGGACGGGTTTCTGGCTTATGAAGGTTGACGCATCAGCCTCTGTTGGTCGTGTCAGCGCGGGCTCGGCCCCCTTGGACAAAGTAGCACTAGAGGGAATACCGTTCTTTGCTTGTTCGCTTTCACGGCTCGCAGTAAGCAAAGACGCTTGACAGTTCAGCCTGAAAGTCTCTTACCCGTTGCCCAAGTGCTCAACAGTTGTCAGCACTACAACCAGAGCAAGCCAACGGTGGTGTGTCACGAACAAACCAAAGCCAAGGAAGAAGCCTTCGCGTGGCTTCTTGGTGGGACGGAGGCAGAATCTGAGGCTCCGTATCCCTATAAGTGCGATGTATTTGATATATAGATGTAGAGGAGATGCTGCAAGGACATGTTGCTACATGAAAAAAAAATAATAGAGAAAAGTAATAGTATAAGAGGCCATCGATAGATGAATGGTATGTGAAAGAGGAAAGAAGAACGGAGGTGGGAAATGTAGGGGGTTTAAATACTCCCTAATCCCTAAGACAAATTCACGGACTGGTAGAATGAATGTCAATGCACATGTGACTCATTGGGAATGAAGCGTGACCCCAATGAATCCTGAGAAATGTGTTGCATGAAGCGGGTTTTCATTATGTTCGAGTGATTGACAGACTCTCGAAGTAGTGTTGTCAGGCTCTTGTGAAGACTCTGAGACGACACCGAATTAGGTTAATGTACTGCGAAGTTGCAGGGATGGTGGTTGGCATGTGAAGCCTGTATCGAACCATGCCGTTCACTATGTACATGCCCTAAGATAATGTGAATGCTACTCGAGTGACAGTAAATGCCCATGCTTTCTTACCATACGTACAATGTCCATGCGTCAGTTTCTTTCGTTCAATGCGTCGCTTCACCTAGTCGAGAGTGACACGATGGTCCTGTTTTTCCCTTTCCACTCCCATCGAATACGTCTCCTCCATGAATTTCATTAGCACAGGTGGGACGCTCTCATCAGTCGCTCGTATCGTGATGCGGTAGAGCTACTACAATTAGCATTATTCCTCTACTTTTGAGAAAACAGTGTCACTCACCTGAGTATCCCAATTCGGTTCCAGCCTCAGCAGACACCCCAATTTTCCCACCCCAGTATGCAAGACACTCGCACCGACCACATTTCTCTCGTTTGGATCCACTCCTTTCAGGATTCCCCATCCAAACGCCTCCGCCATCTTTCTCGTCCACTCTGCGTCACCCATCGCCTTTCCTCGCCCACCGCCATCCTTTAGACCGAAGACACGTTGAGCTTCACGCGGCGCACCGCCTATTTGTCGCCATCTTTTGAAAAAATCATCGGCGGATAAGTCGGCTGCGTCCATATATTTGTGCATTACGACAGGCAATTGCAGAGTAAAGGCTTGTAAGGCGCCGGCTAGGTAAGATATGCGTATTGTTGGAGGGAGAGAGAAAACGCCTTTAGCTTCAAACATGACTGTTTGTTGTGCTTGGCCCTCCGGCTGTATCGAATTATCCGGTGCACTTTTCGTATCGATGCGTAGTTGATCTGCTGGGTTAGGATTGTCAAGGGTAGTTGTAAATGAGCCAATGGCGGAAGGAGAGCGATTGGTAAAGTAGAGAATGAGACAGCCCATAGCGCCACGATATTCGGAGCGGAGACCGAGCTGGAATTGAGCGTCTTCATAGAGAATGGATTCGGCAATGAAGAGAAGACGACGGTAGCCCGGTTCCCAGCCGGGAGAGAGGTGGGCCGCCGAAGCGAGGTTGGGAGGAGGTTGGGAGGGGGCTGAGGACATGTCGAGGTCCTCAAGGCCGTGTGTATTGCCATTGGTGGTGCTGCCGTTCGTGCCGTTGGTGGTGGGGGTCGGGGTACCGTTGGAGAGAGCGCCATTCGCTGTGGGCGTGAAGGATCGTTTGAGGCCAGTGGATTGGGTCAGAAGGATTTCTTTGGAGTCGGTGTTTGCGTCTTTGCCACCTACTATCCATGTCCGCTTGTCGCTTGTGCCAGCGTGCTTGCCATGAAGTCGTGAAAGGAGGGCCGATGTACGTTCTGGGAAGGGCGGCATTTCATCGCAAACTGTTCGTAAAAGGTCGTCCGTGGGAAGTGTTGCAAGAGTGAGGTACTCGCAAGCTCTTTGCTGTAACTCCGAGTCTAGCGTATGGCTGTAAGCCCTGAAGACGACCAGTAATTGCGTTTTAACTTCCGGGAAAAGATTAACGAACTTGATAAAGGAAGAGAGGAGGATAGCTCTTGTGCTTGAGGAGCAACCCTGCATCTTCGTCTGGAGAGCTAAGAATTGTTCGATAGGACTGCAGCCCTTCGTATCTGCGATCAGATGGCCGAATTCCCCTAACAGATAACCTCCAATCTTGACCAGGGTCTCGTGACATTGCTCCGCTTTGACGTAGTTCAGAATGTTTTGCGCCGCATAGACTTGAAGCTCTTCGTTATTGGTGACGATTTGGATCACACGTTGCCATACCTCGTCGCTGACATGATCACCAGCCATTGCGATCAGCCGCAACGAAATGTCCACATACCACTGGATGTTTGTGGCATATTTCTCGGTCAGAATCGCTATCTTGAGTACCATCTCTTCTCGAATAGCAAAGTCTGCGCTTTGTAGATACTTCAGAAGCTCGTTGACTATGGGTTCAGAATTTGAAGGGTCACACATGCTGTAAAGCAGATCGAGACCTTTCCGCCTGACACTAATGTCTCTGTCTCGTAGTGACCCGATAATGATATTCTGATGCCTTTTAATTGGATCCAGTGTCTCAGCTCGAGCAGCAAAGTGGGTCATCGCGTCAAGTCCCAGATACCTGACGTTGGTTTCGCGTGATTGTATGAACTTCCCTAGCCTTGAGGATATCTGCACCATCAGATTGTGTTCTGTGTCTAGATGTATGACGAGGTTGATGGCTTCGAAAAGGACCGCATTTTGCGCATTGTTTTGCTGTACGTTTTTCGGCATGAGCATTGCTTCGTGTAGGATCTGTTGTAGCGACTCTCGTATCAGGCCTCGGACGTAAGTATCCTCTACTCTGGTGTTAGCAATGGCAACCAATGCTTGAAGAGTTCAAAGGTGCGAACCTGAGGGCGGATAATACTGCATCAACCGTAGCAGCTTCACCTGAATCCACGGGCAAGGCACTTTGTAGTATAGGTAGTCCGGCGCAATGTCGTTGTCCACCACAGTCTTTTTCAGACGTTGTGCTGCCTTGACGTATCCACCTTTATACTGATCCGGCTGATCCTGAGCCAACGCCATTACAAGCGAGGTGACCGAGAGACACACGCCCATATCCGCATCATCCATCAGCGAGATGATCCTCTCGGCCCATTCTTGCTGCACGATGCCTGGGTATTTCCGATACAGCCGTAGTAGTGTTAGAGCCGCTTTCTTCTTGACGAACGATTTCGATGTCCTACTTCCGTCAGCCGTTGCCCCCTTGTTCTCTCATCCCATACGTACGGTGATATCAGCAACATATGTACGTCCCCACTCAAAGCCTCGCCCATCTCCCGCCCGCCGACGTTTGCAATGGCATGCAGCGCCAAACAATTGAACAGCTCATTGTGCCCCAGCAAATCCTTCCTTATACTGTTCACTACCAGATGAAGCAACTCATGCTGTTCATGCAGAAACAGCGTAACGGCCAAATATCCGATCTGCTTCTCGCTGTACTTGTTCGCACTGATCAAATTGACAGCCTCGAGGTGTCCGAAGTCGACATTCCATCCTAGAATGTATATGTACAGCAGTTTGCACACATATTTCTTCTTGTGATACCCGTTCAGATTTCCATCCTTGAACTTTTGCCGGATATTTGCTAGCTCTTTATTGATCCTCTTCTCTTCCAACTCTCTTGCTCTAGCATTTCTGAGGTCGGCTATGAACTGGACGAGCCCTCGCATAGAGCTGTTGTTTCCTGCTGAGGACCGGCCCAGGAAGCCGGCTGCCGCCGCGCTCGCCAGTTTGAAGGATGCGCCAGCTTCACGGGAGATGTGGTGGGGGGCTTCAGCCGATTGATGAATGCACTGATGACGACCTCACAGAATGACAACACTAGTTGCGAGATTGATGTATTGAGTACAGGAGCGTGGTGCGGTCGTATGCGATGTGGGGGCCGACTTGGCAGCTGCAGGAAGCTGAAGCTCTGCAGGTTTTGAGGGAAAGCAGGCAGCTGGTGATTTGAAGTGAGGTCAGGATGAATGGCTAGGTCACAGGAGCGAAGTGATTGAAGTAACGGTGCATTGGAAATCAAGGCCCGATTGGGGTCGCCGCCAAATTTCGGCTTGGGGTTGATGCCGGTCCGCGGCTAGAGTATTTCTAGTGCCCGCCGTCGATCAATGCAGGGCTTGGCAAGAAAAGTTGCCCATCTCAATCTCCAGAGCAGGAAGCACCAAAGTTCATATTATGGACTGTGTAGCCTTACAGGATAAGATAAAAACACGTGCAGGCAGCAAGGCAGCTCTGACACAATCTCGATTATCGGTAGATTTACAAACTCTAATCTACGATGAGGTAGCGCAACCCTGCTATCACTTCTCTAGCCGCAGACGGGTTGCCCTTCCCCGTGGATAAGATGGCAATCAGAGCTCAGACTGGCCACAAACCAGAGCTAGCTACCCACGACGAGTCCAAGCCAAGGAAGCTGAGCTCTTGTCGCATCTTCTCAATTGGCTAAACCTGCTGACAAGGGCCCATGCAGACTGCTAAGGCATCTCTTGAAAGGCTTCGGCGAATACTAAAACAAAGGGACTTTCCTTTCTCCATCTTAAACTCTCGATAGCCTGTCATACGTATAATTTCTTACTCCAACACCCAGATTCTTCTCAGCCTTTGAATGTCTGCAATAGAGGGTCTCTGTACCATTTTGCTTGATCGCGCTGTTGTCTATCCATCCTTCTGCTTCAACGAAAAATCCAACGACCTCGACGTCTCCGAAATATGGCCTTTTCATCCCTCGCATGAGTTCCAGAGAGGGCGGATACCAGACGTCGACGTTGGGCCTTGATTAACTAAGAATCTTCCGCAAGAGACTGGGGCTTCTGCGTTGCTGCGCTTGGTGTGGGTTCGGCTGCACAAAGATGTACGGCCTTGGCAACTGGATATTCGAGACTCCAGTCTCGATGCCGTTCTTGAAAGTTTCAAGATCGAGGAAGCTTACAGATATAGCTTTGCTAGCCCCAGCAGTTTCGTTATCATGCCAGCCCGTCAGACGGAGCATGTCAATACGCTTGTTTTTTCGTTATATATGCCGGACCTTTTTGCTGTTGCTTGAACGCATGATTTTGGGAGTGGGAGAACCGAGGCTGTTTGTTGGGTGATGATTGAATCTCTGAAGCGATACAGGATATTACGAGCCATCAGAAGGCATGGGCGTAACATCCGTTGTTCTTGGCGCTGCATGTGAGTATTATGCTTGGGTACTTGCTGGACCGTGATTTGGATCGCGAGGTTAAGAGCATTGCAGCTGTTGAGAATCGGACGAGGTATCATGGGTTAAAAAGTACTTCTGTTGGGATCGCTAAAGGTGATCATGCATCGTTGTCTGAGAGAATGAGCGGTTGTGCTGTGTCTTTGGCGGGACTGGAGCGCATTTCTAAGGTCCTGAATGAGTTCCTCGCCGAGATCTTTATCTATTCGCAACGGTATGGCATTATTGGCAACCCTCAATTGGAGGAAGTCAACTTAAAAGGTGGATGAGTGCATTGAGACGCTGAAGAGAAGATTGGAGATGCAAACAGTTCAAATCGACTAACTTTCTCGACGCGTTGAGGTTCAGCTTACAGCGGCAAGTAATGCATCATTCTTCCACCAGTGCCTGCCTAGTATCCTCCATGAGCTATACTCACCCTCTCCCGATACAGCTATTTAATCTCATAATTCAAATCATGATCGTCGAATCCAGACTTGTTGGACCCAGATAACATATCCTCGGGCTCAGACACGCTATGAACGTTCGAGACGATGAGCCAGGGACCAGGGACTGCAAGGGCTACGGACTTGGGTGGTACGATACGAAGATTGTGCTGCTTTGGCACAAGAGATTGAGGCCCTGCGGAGGATATACTGCGCTGTTGTACGCAGTAATTTTGAAGCGCGTCGACATTATCAAACTTCTACTGGAAAAGGGCTGCGATGTGGACCTCCGGAATAACGGGGGCCATACAGCAATCGATATTGCCAGGCTGTTCCATGAGGATGAGATCGTCCAGCTTTGAGAGGATCAGATGCATTGTCGCCAACACACTCTGTACGAAGTGGGCGCTGAGCACTAAAATTGAGGGAGGGTTAACTGCCAATTTGCCAGGTTGTGGAGTACGCGACCAAAGTGGCTTTTCATCAGGACAGCTTGCAGGTTTCGGGCTCGGGCAAGGATTGGACGAATGGAATCGGTACTGGGATTCTCAACGGATGGATGGCAACAGGTTGTAAGGAGGATAGATAGTACTGCTCATTACGATGCTTCACTGGAGTCTTTTCACTCCGGTGATCTCCTATGGAACACGGCCTTTCCACGATTCCTTTTCATTGTTCTCAAGCAAAAATTCGATATGGGACGCGTGAGGTTTGTTAGTATGAGCTCCTTCCGGTCGTTCGTCTCGTTTATAGATGTATGATAAGCACTCTTCAATGGCATTTGATTCAACTGCGATGGCAGGGTACTCACCTAGAACAACAAAGTAAATTTTAAACCTCACCACCGAATGGATCCACAACTCCGAATGATCCCTCACTCTCCGCTAGCCCGCCAATGATACGCGTAGGGCTCAGCGTCTGTGGACGAAAAGCAAAGTTGTTGTATATTCCAAGCAAAAGGACACTTCCTGGACTCCACAAGGGACTCGGGATATTGCGAAGTGCGCAGCTGAGATGCTCATGGGTTCTTGTTGAGCTAGAGAGCTAGGTCACATGTAGACTTGCAAGCAGAACCACAACCGCACTTCGCCATCCCTACTAGCAGCTTTTCTCTCCCAGCAGAGAACACATCCATTCCCCTCCAAGCAGTATCAAGAAGCCAAACCATACGCCATATCATCAAGTGGTATCACCATTCGCCTTCGCAATGCCACATATCTCGCAGCACCAGTGGTTAGATCAGAGACCCCCCTAAGCACCAGCGGCCTTGGTGGTGAAATCGGTCTCGGTCGGAAGGATACCGCCGTCGGAGGCTTTCTCGCAGCTACAAGCATCTGGCAGGCGTTAGAACGTGTAGTAGTAGGCCGTCGGTGGAAGGGTCTGGCAGTCGACTTACCGGCAGGACGGGCACCGCAGGCACAGGTTGACCCGGCGGGCTTGGCGTTCTCCGCAGCGGCACGATCGCAGGTGCACGCGCCGGCTGGACGGGCGCCTACCAGATTGCACTCGGTCAGCATCATTGGTCATCCGCAAATGCTGCTGAGAGAGTGAGGCGAGAGCGTTGGGGTTGTAGGGAGAGCGGGCTCTCCGCAACGGCGTGGTTGGAGCAGGGGAGGAGACGTACGGCACGAGCATCGCGCACCGGTGACGGTGTTCTCGGTCTTGGCTTTCTCACAGGTGCAGCTGAGTGCGGATTGCTTGCCGCAGGAGCATTTGGCTTGGGCAGCGCAGGCGCAGGCTTGGCCAGAGCGGCCGCAGCAGGTGGTTGGGACGGTCATGGTGATGGGGGGAGGATTGATGGTGAATATAGTTCGAGTGTCTGGTTTCTAGTGGTTTGGAGTGGTGTTGGAAGGTGTTTTTGAGGTTCTGGGATTGTTGTGAATTGATGTTGGAGGAAAGAGAAGGTAATTAAATAAGTTCATGCATGGAAGAGCGCGCTATCGATACGGCTGATCTGTAAAATGCAAATTCTGATTGGTCGGAACTGTGACGCTAAGCGGCACCCACCTGTTATTTCCACGAATGAGAAGCTTCGTATTGTCAATCCTTCTCGACCAATCAACGAATTACAAATTACTTTCTCGGGTTCAGAGCAGCATCCATTCCCAAGTCAATACCTGCATTAACTACAGCATCTGCTTTGCTACAGCTCACCTTTCTGAACTTCCTCGCACCATTTGTAAGATTCCTCATTGCGCGAGGTCAAGAAGGCTCCTTTCAATTTGAGGTGTGGAAGGTCAAGAAATCACGCGCTTGACGGCCACACGTAGGGTGAGAATCAATTGAATCTGTTATATAACAGGCTCGATCAACAATAATGCGGGCACACTGATCCTCCGTCCTATCAAAAGGCTCACAGTCAAAAGTCTACAACATGACGCGAGCTATTTTGCTCATTTGACTTCTTATTACTGAGACGGAGAGCAGATGACCTGCGCGGGCTATCCGCTGTATGAGTGACGAGGGAAATGGAAAAGAGAATAAACATCAAAGTGTCGAGAGCGTAGAGCAAGGCAAGAGACAGTGTAATGGAGAGGAGAAACGAGGGTAGTTCTATTCTCCTTTGACCCAGCGATCAGGCTCTCATACAAGGAGAAGATTTCATCGCGAAGAGGGAATGGCCCTCGACCTCATGAAGCAGACTCATGGTATCCTAAAGTCCTAAGGTCATATGAAAATTCACTATGATTTCTGTCACAACAGCAATCCAGTGAAAGGTCACTCGCACCTACCCTTCCAGGCTCTGCTGATGATGCTGTTGTGCATGTTAAGCAAGACAAATAACAATTTCAACAGTAGTCTCTCAATTATCACTGGTTTTGTATGAAACCTCCTGCTACAAAGTCGTAGAAACTGATATGATCTACAGGTCTGCTACCAAGAACTGTTTAAGCAGATTACAGGAGCTGTCGCACGTTTTCCGTATCGATACCACACCCCCTTCCAGGTACTGAGACAACTCGCGCGCTGGCATTTATTTTGGGTAGCCACAAGCAGAGATGCGAAATGAAGACGCTCAAAAGAAGCAAAATTCCTGAGCAGATATTTGAATGGACGGAATGTGTCTGAGGCGTGATTTTTCGGCGCTGAAGAGAATGCAACAATCCACTGTAGACGTAATACGCCATGAAAAACCAAATGTAGAAAACCCGGCGGAAGGATTTTAAAAGAAAAGCAATGGGTCTGTTTCATGTACCTTATAATCTTAGATATTTGAAGGAGATAATACTTAGTCGGAGCAAGAAGGATCAGGCCGACTCTGTTGGCCCAAAGCCGATAATTAGCATCTTTAAGTAAGAGAATATAGCAAAAGTTATACATAGAGGGCGGAAATCCCTGAATGGAATTGAAGCACGTTTCCAGGGAAAAGTGATATTGATCACAGAGACTTCCTGAGTAGTCACCATTTCATCTGCAAGGCAATTCTTATGGCACAAATGTTTTCTTGCGTCAACTTTCTTTTAAAACGAGTTTTCCGACGGGAAAAGCCGGTTCGTACTGATTGATACCCACAAAATGGTGAGCGGAATGGATCTTTCTCCTGTTGGAACTGGGAGAATTTGACATTCCCTCTATGCATGACCTTTGCAACCTTCACTGACATCAGGGTGGCAAATATCGCGAACCTGTTGATGAAGGACCCAGAGCACGTGGCAAAGAAAAGTAAGAAGATTATTTACCAAAGCGCATACTTGCATTCCCAAACGCCTGGGATCGAGACCGACGAGGTTTTGGAAAGAATGCAGCGCACGGGAAAGTAGACCTGCTAGCAGACCCAAAGTATATCGATTTACCTCATGGCGTTGAAATCTGATGGCATTTAGTGGTCAAGTCTTGCAGGAGGTGGAAGAACTCGGACAAGTACGAGGTATTTTTCGGACTTGGAGCTTGCCAAGAAAAGTAAGCGCCAAACCCCTCTCGATCATGCTGCCATCCGCGCGCACTCCGCAAATGACCATTTCATCTCACTACATCCCCGCCCATCCGGTCATGCAGATTCTAATTGTGACGATGATCTAATATTCTAGCTCAGACACATTGTCCCATCTGACTCTTGAGGTGACAGCAAAGGACAAGTGTCCTTTGGAGCTCAGAAGCCATGGGCCTCCCCACCATCAGTGAGCGCAAACACTACCGCCTAGTATGCCAGTACCATTGTGCTACGTATTCTAATATGTCAGAGCTAACGTCTTGTACAGATTCCGGGCGAGCCAGAAGAACCTACCTCCACCATCGTCCTAACCTCAAAAGACTCCTACTTCGTCGATGTCCGCATCCTCTGTGAGAAGCTCGAGGAAGAAAAGAGCCAGGAAGCTAACACACAAAACTGTTTAGCATGGGCATTTGCCGGCAAATCAAACACCACTCTGACCAAGGATTCATCGATGCAGCTCTCACACACGGTCTGGGACCACTGGATAGACTCGCGCACCAACAATCCTGATCCTGATGAGGGCGATATGTGGGTGCAGCCCAATGGAGACATCCTGGAAAGGGGGAAGGATAGTGATCCGGTCACGGGGGAAGAGACCGAGTATGAAGAACTTTGGCACGATCTACAGGTGGAGGCTTTCGGCAAAAAGCACAACCGCAGCAGCTTGGTGATGAGAGCGGACGAACCGGAAAGGAACATAAGGGGAATGGTTATCAAAATCGGAAGCTGGTGTGAAGGTATACTGAAGGTTAAAGATGAATTGACTGTAGAGAGGTGGGAATGGAAGCCGACAGATTGCGCCAGCGACCTGGCCACTACTGAAAATAGCAGAGGGAAAGAACGAACTCGCAATGATTGGATCCGAACATTCAAGATTGGCCAAGGCACTTTACCGTGCAAAAATATATGCTCGCGTACCCATGGCAAATTTGGCCTGAACGCCGTGCTGAAATCCACCACTGATATTGATTGGAAAAGCGACATCGAGTGGAATGTCGTTGAGGAGTATTACTGGTAGATTGAGGCTGAAAGCGCCGTATTCGAGCTGACTGTTTAAACGTGAAACGCACAGTCAGATGCAATAAGACGGCACTACTCGGCTTTGCATTTATTGCGCATTCGGTGCGCCCCTTTTGAGGCACATAGCCTCACGCCTTAGGGCCGGCCGAAGAAATAGCGGACTTTGAAATCGCTATGGGGAAAGGACATCAGACCATTGATGCGACGGAAAGAGCGACCATGGCTCACTTCCTTGTGCCTGACAGATGATCAAGTTCCTAATAGACACCTGTCCTAGAACGGCACTATCCTTCCTCTATTACTTATAAGTACGGTCACCTGCCCTAAAACAATACGCTTTTCCCTACAACAATCCCCTTGTACCTGAAATATAGCTACGTTCATTTCTTCGCCGCACCACCTCTAGAAGGTCTTCAGTCATGCCGTACCTACCTGATGGCACGATGAATAGCGGCTCGGGCGGTCACAAGACCGCCCTTACAGGGCAGCATACTGCAGCACCTAAGCCCCTGCCTCCTCTCGATATGAGTGACAGCATCAAATACATCCCTTCACAGATGGACCCGCTTGCCTGCGCGTCGACGAGAGCTGCTCGTCAAGACCCAATACGGCTGATGATCGATGATGCAGGCGTTTTACTCAGGCTGCTTCCTTATGTGCCGGACCTCATCTCACCTTTCTTGACCAGAGACAAGGATGCTGAACTCTATCCGAGTCTCGCGAATGCAAAGGTCGGATTCTTGCAAACACTGCTCGCCCTGATCCAGGTGCTGTTTCTGGTAATGGCCCTTCCCGCCTTCGTGTTGCTGCCTGGCGGCGTCTTCCTTGCTGCCACAGTATTGTGCTGTTTGGCTTGTTACCTCATCACCTTGCCCATGCAAGGACCGCCACGCATTCTCCCGAATATGGACGATGGCACAAAGTCTCTGGCGGAGCAGCACAAGAACGAACGCTGGGTATTTGTTAATGGCATATGTACCGGGTAAGATATGCCTACTCTACGCATCGACCTTCTCTGAACACTTATAGACACTCGACCTCTCAGCTTGAGGTTGACCGCCTCTCGAAGACCTTCGGACGAGCCGTTATCGGCATTCACAACAAAAGGTATGTGGCTCCTCTCTCTCAATCATTTCGGCGACTCCTAACCTAGCATCCTCACGCAGTTATGGTATACTTGCCGATCTTGGAATGTGTCTGATCCAACGAGCTGTTTCATACCACGACTCGGGCGTTCGCTTGACCTACGCTTATCTCAAAGCCATCCTCGTCGACCCCACGGTCACGAAGGTTGTCCTCATTGGCCACTCCCAAGGCGGTATAATCGTCTCCCTGGCGATCGACGACCTACTTGCACAGCTACCCACTAGAACCATGTCGAAACTCGAGGTCTATACATTCGGTTCCGCGGCTTCACATTTTTCGAATCCATCCCTCGCGCTCTTGTCCAATCCTTCTATCAATCAGCGCGGTGATCAAACATCACTACAGATATCTCAATCCAAAGCCGACCCCGCCGATGCCAATCAGGGCCAACATGTTATTCCTCATATGGAGCATTATGCCAACGAATACGATCTGGTCCCTCGCTGGGGTGTACTTCATTCCGTACAGGATGTACTTCATACCCGCTATGCTGGCTCGGTATTTGTCCGAATGGGAGGCTCAGGTATGTGGAGTCATACCCCTCAAAGACCTTATGCCGATTCGTTGAGACGCGTACTGGAGGCGGAGAAGGGCTATTTGTCCTCTGGTTTTTCTCCTTAGACGTGACCTACTAGTCGACTTCGTGTATTGTGAAGGGTATGCTAACCCCAAGATCTAATTAGGTCATATGCTGAACCAGCACTACCTCGATCCCATGTTTCCCCTGTCAAAATGTCAAATGCTGGGAGCCAAAGAGAAAAGAGGCATAAAATGGAAGTCTGGAGGGGAAATCGCTGGTGACAATGAAGCTAAAGTCGAAGATAAGTTCGATGAACGTTTTCTCGACCGGATTGTTACCCCTGACGAGAGGTTGGCTATGCAAAGAGATTTCACGGCAATTGCGGGCCTTGTGAAGCGCGAGACCGGTCTTGAATTTGGCACTGGGCAGGTCGTCAAGGATCCGTACGGGCTAGGCAATCGTAAAGATGCCAATGGTGATGATTGCTTGACTTTTAAAAGGACGGCTAGTGACAGGGTTGTGGCTGAGGAAGCGAGGGGCAAGACCGTAAAGGACTTGAGTCGCCTTTGGAAGTATGTTGGAGGGGAGTCGCCCATTGATCACGAACATGATGAGTACAGATACCATGAACAACCACCCCACAGGCACCGCAAGCACCACCACGACCACCATAATCAAAGGAAAGCTGACCGGGAATCGGGGGATGGGCCGGTGCTCGAACAGCCAAAGTCGCCCGTTTCATCGGTATTCGACCGCCCAGAGTCACCGCTCACTCATCCAAGTCCCGCCACTGACGAGCAATTCTTCTACGTAAGTAGCTCCTTCGAGCCGTTTTCACCTCATTTTCAGGGGGAAAGTGAGTTGAGTTGGATGTTCTTTGGGAGCGTCCTCCCTTTTTGAACCTGAGTCAAAATCCAATCGAGTCTTAGAAAGATATTCTGACTTGATTAATACGTAGTGGAATAAAGGAAAACACGGGCAACACGCCAGGGGTCCCAGGACCTCAATTCAATCTCGTTGAGCCGGTGCTGGTGGGAAAGCCCTTTTGATCTGGTCAAGAGTACTTTGGCCATGGGTTTGTGGATGGTCTGTTATGCTGTTTCCCTTTGCTTGTATATATTCCTTTGGCCTGAGAGACTCGCCTGGGGCTAGTATGGGGATTTTTGACCTATCGGAATGTGGGAGGTACAAGTATACAATCCAATTGGCCTGTGCTTCTTGCCTGCTCAATACCGCATGCTGCCCTTGAAGTGTGTGGTTATGCCCATGCAATTCCTCGCCGCAAGAAAATTCATACACGCGCCGTTGAACTTCAACTTCATCGAGAGTGCGCAAACCTGAGACTCAATATAGATGCCCCTCCCGATCAACTGCAATGAAGCTAGGGTGTTAGACACTGGTTAACATCATTGTTTGCCGCTAGCTTGCCATTTATGTGTAGAGCTGCGTGATTGGACCGCGGCGGAAGTGTTAAACATCGGTAGTCAAGGAGCCATTGTCAACAAAGGCATTCACTTTCTTGCCGCTTCAGAATAAAATCTTGAAACCTTTACACTCCTTGTTTAAGAAGATCTACCGACAGAAATACTGCTTTGCTACTCTCGCTGCAAACACAACTCTCAACCGCACAGCTCAGCTTGGACTACGAAGCTTACTCTTGTCTCACCGCCTCAAAATCCTTGTATCACCTGGATCGCATCCAGTCAAAAAGCCATCAGAGCTAGCTCATAATATCAACACATGGCCGTTATCCGAATTCCTATCATCACTATGCTTCTACCGACCATCGTCTGCCTTTTCGTTGCTACCGCTTATAGCATCAATATCACCACTTCCAACGTCCTTACCCCAACCTTCCCATCCAACACCTCCTCCTCCGCCATCCTCACCCACGCGTTCGCTTCCAACACCACCATCTTCGCGCCCCTCACAGCGCCTATTTACCGTAATGTTACTCCCGGCGACGTATGGGTCTTCCCTAGCAGTGCGAACGACCTTGGTGCGAGGCAAGTAAGCTGTGAGTGTTTTAACCCTGACGGTGAGTTGTGCTCTTTAAAATGTGAGGCAGAGGAGTTCTCTGATGTGAAGAACAGACCAATGCTGCATAGCCGCCTCCTCCAGCGTGGCGCCCTTCTGCATGCCGACTGGATCTACGTGCTGCGGCGATACGTTCTGCGTGGCGGACGAGACTTGCTGTGGGGAGGGTTGCTGCCCCGCTGTAAGTCTTCTTTCCCACTCCTATCTTCTATCTTCTCCCGATCCACCTTCCTATTCAATTGTAAGGCCAGCATCGCTGACACGGAAAAGCTTACAACTTGCAACATCAAATCCTCCGTCACCGGCTGCTGCCCCAGAGGCGAGGTCTGCGCCATTCCTGACGGTGCAATCTGCTACGATCACACCTCGTCAAACTGCTCGAACCGGGCCTCCCCACCGCCGAATTGCTGCCCCGCCCACAACCCCTTCTGTCGCGACTTCAAGCCGCGCGGATGGGGCTGCTATGGCGTCTCTACGACTGCGTCCTCTACTTCCACCGTACCGACCATGACTGCGGCCGGCACTTCGAACATCTTTGCGCCTCCTGCGAGCACGTCTCCGAGCGCGATCTCTACGCATACCATGACGATATCCGTGGTCTCGGACGGGCACGGGGGTGTTTCTCTCGACTTTCCGACCAAGAGCGCTGCCGCAGGTTCAGAGGGTGGCGAGACGACGTACGTGCTGGACTGGCCGGCGAGTTCCGCAACTCCTATCGCGGCCGGGACGAGCGGTCAACCCGTCGAGTCGACGTCGAATACGGTGCTCTCGGCAGCAGTCGCAACGTCTACGGCATCGTCTACGACCGCGCAGTCCACGTCGGCGAGCTCATCCACAATACCACCCCGCTCATCGTCTCCACCCGCACTGTGCTACAACCCAGACGCTAACTCGCATCCCCCCTGTCCCACCACGGCAACGCCCCCCGCTTCGTCCTCAACTTCCGGCGCAGGGTTCAACCCATCCGGCGCTACGATCGTCAGATCGCAAGCGAGCAAGCTCCGCATCCCTCTCCTCCACCCCCTCGACGACGACAACGACCACCAATCCCAGCGCGGCAACACCGTCTTCCTCTTCCTCCCCCTCCTCGCCGCCTCCATCCTCTACGTAACCTTCGGCCACTTCGTCAAGCGCTCCGATGCCAACCGCGCGCAACTCGGATCCGCTCTCCGCGCTCTCGGCTACGATGACCCCCAGATCGACGCCATCCTCGCCGGACCCCGGACCGGTGTCGCCGAGCCCGGGACCGCGGAGAAGAAAGACATCACCGTCGTGCGGGGGAGCGCGCGGCCCCTGCTGGCGCCCCGGGTGGTGTCCAAGGGGCAGATCCGGGTGGTGAGGGGCAGTGCGAGGCCGTTTGTGCTGGGGAAGAGAGCGCATTCGCTGTGGGAGGGGATGAGGGGGGCGGGTGATAAGGAGGACGGAGGGGAGGAGAGGGTAGAGGGAGATGGTTCTGTGGGGAAGGGGGAGGAGGCTTGAGATGGACTTCTGGCCTGCTTACCTTTGGGCCCGGGGGGGGGCTGGGGATGATGATGAGTTTCCTTGATGAGGGTTGTGTGGTGGATGTTTGTGACTGCGGCTGGATTCGCGGTTGATCATGGTCTCTTCTTCTTTCATCTTGAATCCATAGGGGACGGCGCGGCTTCTTGTTATGTGGTGGTTTGGAAACAAGGACGTACGTTGAGAAGGGAAAGATTTCTCGGCGAAACGCGACAGTGTTGCATAGCGGTCATTTTCATAAGCCTCTTCTATTGCTCTAATATTGAAAGATGCTGGAAGTCTAGTTTTCTATGTGGATTATTCGCTAGAGCTTTCACGGGATACTGGAATGATACACAGCTACATTAGCCATGAGGGAGGGCCAAAGGATCAAGTGCCTGCACCTGAAAGTTATGATAGATAGTATGAAAAATCGCACACATCGTTTCCTTGTGAACCTTTGCATCACTCCTCATGCCCACTACTACCGCTCACGCCTGCGGTTCCCCCAGCCAAACTGTCGCCTCTGGGCGGCCTCACTACTCCACCTCCATTCTCAGTCCCAGGACTCTGCGCCATTTCTCTCGGAGACGCAGTCCCACTCCCGGGCACTGGTCTCCTAAGTTGTGGCGCCGCACCTTGCGCTTGGCTCCTCAATGCATTGATCTGGAAAGGGTTTCTGACGGGAGAGGTGGTTCGTGTGCGTGAGGGCTCATCTGTTGGCGAAGGAACGAGGTTGTTAGTGTTGATGGGCGTGGGTTTGGCGGGCGGACGTGGTTGGGATTGAGATGCAGAGCGAGAGCGGGATTGAGGGGAGGATGATTGAACAGAGACGGCTGGCGGGGCTATTGGTGGTGCTTGACGCGGTTGAGATTGTGCGGGTGGTGGGGGTCGTTGTTGGTTGTGAAGTTGGCCAGGTTGGGGTTGAGTCTGGGTTTGGACCTGGGACAAAGCGGACTGGGGTGGTTGTGGCCATTGAGTTGGAGAATCCTTAGGCGGGGCCGATGGAGGTGGTCCATTGCGAGATTGCGGCGGCGTCTGCGTTTTTGATGGTTGTGCCAGTCTTGATGCCTGCTGTGAGATATAGGCGTATGGGTCGTACTCAAGGCCCACAGACGGTGGTGGTTGTGGAAAGTTGCTCGTAGATCCAGGAGGCCGAGGAAACTTTGCCGCTCCGCTTGATGCTCTCCGCTTCCCTCGTGTGGATTGACGCCGTAGTAGGCCTCGCACCTCTTCGATAGAGACGGTGCGATCAAATTCGGGAATGTCCATCGTTGAGACGGAATGGGCGACTGACTTGGGAGTTGTGGGCTCGATAAGATCGCCAGGAGTATGAGCTGTATCGGCAGCCGGGCGACGAGAGTTCAAAGTGGTGAGGGCATTACTCTCAGAGGCAGCGGGATGGCGTAAGCGAAGTGGAGGAGGTGTGACCGAGTCACGCATGTTAGGTTCAGCACTGGAGGTTACGCCTGAAGGTCCGCTCTTAGCAGGGAGGTCTGGTATCTCCGCTGGAAAGAGTCTCTTTGCGTCTTTAGCTTTGGCAGCCGCTTCACGATTGGCGGCTGCTTGCGCGTCGGAGACAGTGACAGAGTAGGTGGGCTGGTCGGCGCTGCCTAGAGCTGATCCTGCTCCACCTGGACCGTTGATAGGAATTTTTCGCAGGGCTAGGACTAAAGCACACATGAACTTCGATCGACGAGCAGCTCTGATAGTTTCGTTAGACCAATTGGACTTGTGTCTGATCTCAACCTTCAGCTCCATCTTGTCCATCGCTGCAATACCGGTGATCTCGACATCGATGTCCGGCTGGAAGTCTCTCGAGTTCTCCTTGTCGGTGACGAACGCCTGCATTTCATTCCTGAGAAGCTGGACATCCTCGATGGTGGTACCAAAATCGATATAAATAGAGAGCTGTTCCCGCATAGCATCAGACCTCGAGACGTTTTGGATCCACATACTATTGAGCACAATGTTTGGTACTTGTGTCAATTTGTGGGTATTGATGTGCTTAAATACTGTAAAAAGGAGCGAGATGTGTTTAACGACTAGCTGGTCATCACCAATGTCGACTCGGTCAAGTACGTCGAAAGGATGCTTGACGAACAGGAAGATGCAAGAGCCAAGGACTTCCTGGGCTGTTGTGGCAAAGACGAAAGATAGTGATAGCAAAGCGGTACCAGTCGTTGCCAGGGTAGTCGTCAAGGAGGTGTTCAAGAAAGCCACTATAGCAATGTTAGAAGGTGCACACAATTATAGTATTGGAATAACTTGCCGAATACAAACACAACGACGATAAAGACAACAATGCACAGCAGATTGTCCAACACGTTGATAGCCTGATCAACATCGTGCAAGCTGCTAGCAATCGAATGCCGTTCCTTGCCAAATTCGCAAATCGTCAAAATCATTTCGTCGAGACTGATGTCTCCATTGCTGTCTCGATCCAAAATCGCAAAAGCCTCCTCGGCTTCGGCGTAATGATCAGGACCAAGGACCTCAACAACATCGTCCATGAACAGAGCTTCCTTGCCCTCAACCACAAAGCTCATCCATAACCGTTTAGCCAATGCTTCTGAGGATTTGTTCTTCTCGAGAGCTTCTACTACGATTGAGTGAGCGGAGTCGGGGTTGAAGACCTGCTTTCCAGTGACCTCAGAAGCTATGTTGCCGAAAGCGGACGTAAGCTTGTCGCCGAATCGGCCAACATTCATCAGAAGCTTCATAGGCGTGGCGGAGCCCGAGTGCTTTTGACCATGTTTACTTCCTGGGATATCGATAGAGTCGTGGATAATGTAGTCTTCTTCGGCGAATTCGTTGCAGTAAGCGGGGAACAAATGGCGAGAAGCGTCGTAGAGTAAACTCAAGAGGTAGATTCTGTGCTTCGAGTCTTTGATCTTCGCATGGAATTGCGTATGGTGATAGCTGATGGAGATGAGCTGTATGAGTAATTTCTCAAATAGAAGAATCCAAGATGCTACCAAGAATGACGCAAGGATCTCTTGGACGACGGCTTCCCAATGTTTGAGTACGGTACCGTTGCCAGATAAAAGTGGATCATGTTTCTGGGTGGTATTCGTAGGACTCTGCGCCTTAGTGAAGTCCGCTTGTTGCCTTCGCTGGTTTGGATTACGGGTCATAACCTATGATAAGAGACCTTAGCTCGCACGTACTTCTTCCAGCAATATGTGCAAGGCCTACCGGTGCAAATGTAGCCAACGATGCCAACGCCCATCCGCATAGAGACAAGTATATTTCCAAAGATTGTATGACCAAAGAATATTTCCTGGTTCCTGAGCTCACGATCCCGCACAAGAATTCAAAGATCCACGGAAGGGTTTTCGCAGCGAGCTTCGATACCCATAAACTGAGCCATATACATTCCAACCACGAAAAGATCCAGACAATACGGACACCGCCTAGAGTTGCATTTTGTGCTGCAGTAGCTCCAATGATGATAGGTATGGCGATGATAGTAGCCAAAGGTAGAACATATAGGAAGTATTGGGTGACGACCGAAAAGTTCAAGATCTTGTTGTATATTATGCCCATCTGCGTGACAATCTCTTCCTCCCCATCACTGCTCTTCTTCCCAGTCTTCTTTTCAGTTCTCCGTCGGCCAGCGACATGACGCTGGTAAAAGCCGGCTTTCTCATTGAGCTGCTGCTCAGGGGCACCAGTAGTGGTAGGGGTGTAGGAATCTGTCTTGCGGGCTCCAGTCTTACTATTGCTGACACTGCTCATGGGCATGGTGATCGTAGCGTCGTTAGGATTGCTCATCGTAGACGAATCGCTCTGGTTCGGTATGTGTTGGAAACCCTTGGAGGAGCGATTGGTAGAAGAACGCTTAGACCCAGGCATTGGTTCCTGAGGGAGAGTAGACTTGGATACAATCGATGCTCGATGACTTTTGATGACCATGTGTGGCTAAAGAGAGAGTATATTGCGAACGAGCCTTCCCCCTGAAGAGAGTGACGTTGGGTTTCGTGATGAAAATGCAGAGGAGGAAGCTGCCTCCAGGGCTGTAACGACAGTGGTTTGGGGCGAAGGAATGTATAGCTGGTCAGTGAGGACCGTGGTGAAATGGCTGAGGAGGCTCAGAAATGGAAAACAGTAAGAGTCGGGGCAAGAAGAGAAAAGGCACAGGCAAGACGCCCGTTTCAGGGGCGATACATGCAGGAGGAATGAGAAGTTGCCCGCCAAGTTTCACCGGGGCCCCGGGTCTCGACAGTACCCTTGCTTAGCTCCTTAGCTAGATGCAAAGGATGAGTATCATCTCTGTCGCAAATTTGATTGACCCTCAAGGAGTATCCATCTAACGAATCCCTGTGCCCTTGAAACTCGAAGAGACACGAATCGTCTCAAGAAGATAACGACCCAATGATATCATGACCGACACAAAAGACCAGGAACCCGCAGAAATGCGAGTTGATCCAGCACGAGCAAAACACCTCTCCTCAAACATCTCCTCCATACTCTCTCGCATCGAGTCCGCCAAACCTTCTTCAGGCCCACCAGTCCGCCTCGTCGCCGTCTCCAAGCTCAAACCCGCCAATGACGTTCTAGCCCTGCATTCCGCACCCCACAACCACCTCCATTTTGGCGAAAACTACCAGCAAGAACTCCTCCAAAAATCTCTCCTTCTGCCCCGAGAAATCCGCTGGCATTTCATCGGCGCGTTGCAGACGAATAAGTGCAAGCCGTTGGCGGAACAGATACCGAATCTGTGGTGCGTGGAGAGTGTGGATACGGGGAAGAAGGCTGATCAGCTAGAGAAAGGGAGGGCGGCGCTCTGTGAGAAAGAGAAAGATTACGGAGGGGTGCCATTGAGGGTGTTCGTGCAGGCCAATACGTCCGGGGAAGAGGAGAAGAGTGGGGTGGAACCTGAAGGGGCGGCGGAGTTGTGTAGGCATGTCAGGGAGCAGTGTCCACATTTGAAGTTGCAGGGGTTGATGACCATTGGGGCTATAGCGAGGAGCAAGGAGGCGAAGGAGGGGGTGGAAAATGAAGATTTTTCAAGACTGAGGGAGGTTAGGGATCAAGTCGTGAAGGAATTGGGGTTACAGGAGGGGGATCTGGAGCTCAGTATGGGCATGAGCGAAGACTTTGAGAGTGCGATTCGGTGTGGAAGTAATGAAGTCAGGGTCGGGAGCACGATTTTCGGGGAGAGACCGGCCAAAGGGGATGCGAAGATTAAGGAGACGGTTGAGGAGGGGAAGGGATGAACATAAATCGCGATGAGGTTCATGATATTGACCCATGACTGCCTTTGTCAGGCGAGCTTTCCCCCCCTCCAATACAAAACAGGCAGTCGAAGCGCTACGAATCTCTAAAATTTCGACATGACGAGCACCAACGAGGATTTATCTTGCTGTTGAACGCTCAACTGAAGCAATTTCGATCATACAAGATCAGTAGCTTTTCTTGGGGTGTTACCAATACTTGACCTAACACCAACAAAAGCCAGAGTCCCAGAATGCAACATTTTTTATTCCTGACAATTTGCCTGCTGTATGGTACTTCCGAGCTCTTCTGATGGGGCATTCCTTGTTAGAAGTCTTCATTGAGCGGGAGTCTCTCCTTTAGCGCACTTTCCATATGGCAAGCCACCAGCACTGGCGAAAATTCCAAGCTAAAGGAGAGCAGTATCAGAGCTTTCCTTGAGGCCAACTTCCTCACAAGGGTGCTTAAGAAGTGGCCACGCCTGACACTGATGCTGCTTCCAGCACCTGATGTATATTCTCAATTTGACCGCTTCCCACGGCGTATCCATTCACCCATATCTGAAATGTCCACTGGTAGAATTGACTGTGAAGCACCATGAACTCGGCCAAGCCTCTCAAAGCCGTGCATGCATCATTGAACGTAAGAGGTCCGCAAGAAAGGTATAGATTTTGAATAGTGATCCTGACAAAGCCATAGTCGAAGATTCTACTTGGTGGGAATGCATCCGCGAATTGGCGGCAGACGGGCTGCATGTTCTCGATCATTGCTAGTAGCACTAGTGATGGGTTCATCTGGGGCTTCCACAGGCCATTGAAGGATAGCACTGCTGGAGGGTTGGAGTAAGGGATATTGTAGCGGCTTTTCGCGGGCGTCAGGTTCGATCCCGTGATTGTCACAGTTATGAAAGGAGGGATCCGGGTGAAGGACCTACTCACATGGTGTTGGTGTTTGTGATGCTGCTCAAATGTTGGCAAGATCCATTGGTGGCTGTCACGCATAAGGGAAGCAGTAGTGGGAGCAAAGCAAGATATCTGGGGACTTTGAGAGGAAACATTTGAGGTACGCAGATGAGTGCAGCGAAGGGATTGAGGATCAGCGCCTGTCACTGAACAGTAATAGCATTGTTTGTGCGGGATGGTCGGCTCAAACCCATGTCTACGATCAGGTTGAGAGGGCAAAGGATAAGGAGTGACGGGTTATGCGATAGGAGAACGAAGCACCTCGTGTATGCACACTGCATTACAGGCGCAGTTTTCCACAAATTGAATGCGCATATTGCCTCGTGCAACAGACGCGCTTTGCTTGGAGCAAAGTTGTCGAGCGTCGCAACACCCTTTTCGCCTTCTGAGGAGACGGCACCTCTTAAGAGAAATTTTTGCGGCTTTTTATTTGCCTTGCGGTGACAAGCTAACAGCAAAGCCATCAATGTCGCTTTCGATTCCTCATCGGCGCATCATGAAGTAGTATACTGTGGAGAGAGCTGAGTTAAGAACTGAAGCTCCAGAAGAGCGCTACCCTTCCGTCCCGTACTCGTACGGGGGTGGCTAACAAAACCCGCTAGAGGATACAGGTAGTGCTAGCGCCGTCGCCACAATAATCTGGCAAATTGACTCAAACTGAGCCGTGGGAAAGCGCTTGAGCCCCCAATATCCAGGCCATTGACGCCATCAGCCAGAACGACAGGGATGCTGTCGCTGGACTAGACAAGTAGTAAGATGGAAGACAGCGGTGTAGCAATCGAGGCGCTGCTCAGGTACCTCTCCGCCATCATTGACTTTGCTCATCATCCTCCACATTCTCCTTGAGGGAGGGGCACTGATCAGGTGGAGTCATCTCAAGTGATCTAGCTTGTTGTGTACCAAGTATAGACTACTTCACATCTCTATCCGCAGCGAAGGCCGTGGCACTGTATGACCCAAAAAAACGAGCTAATGTGCTCAGCATCTACCGATGTGGTTGTGCTAGGAGCGCAATCAAAGTTTGTTGCCGATTTCTGCTGTTCCCATGATACAAAGTGAGAGCATGAGGAGCGTATGGATGTCTACAGCATAATCGATGATGGAAGGGTTATGGTCATGTGAGCTCCTGACTGTAGTTGCGCCTCGTCGTGAATCTGGGGCCTACGATAGTGAGCTTGACTGAAGGCTGAACCTTCCTGGTCACCCTTCTTCTTATGACGCACGCATTTCTATATACACTGTTCATCTATCCACAATCTTTTCTAAGGCAGGATCTTTGCCTTCTTCGTGATACATCGGAGAAGCGAATACATCTCGTCCACAGCAACCTTCAGGTTTCTGTCCGTATATGGACTCAAAAAGTCCCAAGTACAGCAAGGATCTAGACAAAGGTCATAGCTCAAAACATCAAGATGACGCATAGTTGCACCATCAGCAACCACTTCGGTGTGAGTGGAAAATGGCTTTATGTATGGCTCATGGTAACGAATTCTACGGCTATGCTGCTATTCGGATACGATCAAGGTGTATTCGGTATACTCTAATTCCTGCATTCCTCGAAGATGAACGCCTGCTGATCGAATTCAGGTGGCATCCTTACCCTTGAAGACTTTGAAGCACGCTTCCAGCTAGAGGACAATGAGACCCTCAAGGGTGTCATCGTCGGGTCTTACGATCTAGGCTGCTTGGTTGGGGCACTGGCAACGGGCCCAATCGGAAATTGGATTGGTCGAAAGCGATCTATTTTGCTGGGAACAACTGTCATGATGATCGGCGCGTTCATGCAGTTCCTTGCTCCCAATTTTGGGATCATGACGGCAGGACGGTGAGCAAATACCACCTTGCCCGCGACTTACTTCATGACTGAGCATTGTCAGTGTCATCGCGGGTATTGGGAATGGCATGAATACTGCTACAGCTCCAGTATGGGCTTCAGAGACTAGCAAGACAGCCAACCGTGGTAAGACGGGTATGACATTGATGGTTATCAACATTGGTGGCCTGGCAGTATCATGCTGGATGACTTGTGAGCATCTGCTCGATGACACCTCGAGCAGGAAATAACGACTCATCTAGATCTTTTCAGCTTCGTCAAGTCCGAGCTTGCGTGGCGTTTTCCTCTTGCCTTCCAGCTCTGCTTCGTACTCGTCATCTTTCTCACCGCCTTCTGGCTGCCAGAATCGCCTCGATGGCTCGCTATGAAGCATCAGGACGACAAGGCTCTTGCGGTCATGGTTGCCTTGGAGGGAAGCAGGGTGACAAGCGAAGGCTCAACCGCCAGGCGAGACTTCGAAGAGATCAAGACCTCCATCGCGCTCGAACAATCTCTAGTAGTTAAGCGTGAGACTAAACCATGGTTCAGACTTATTCTCGGCGTCGCCGTTCAAGCCATGCAGCAATTGACTGGCATCAACATAATCTGCTACTATCTACCTTATGTTCTTACCGAATCCGTCGGCCTGGATGGATCTAGGGCCCGCCTGCTCGCCGCAGTCAACGCTATGACGTATCTTGGCTCCACATTCGTTGGCCTCGCTTTCGTTGAACGCTGGGGTAGGAGAAGACTAATGATGTATGGTGCACTTGGTCAATGCTGCTGCTGGCTCGCCATAACGCTCCTCCTGGGCTCTGCATCCACGGCGGGCCTCCGCTCTACCCGCCAGCAGCAGCTCGGCAGCGCTGCTGTGCTGTTTTTCTTTCTCTTCAACTTCTTTTTCGGCGCTAGCTGGCAAGGCGTGTCATGGCTTTACCCTACGGAGATCAACAGCACCCAGAACCGTATCTCCGGCATGTCGTATGGAGTTGCCACCAATTGGCTCATCAACTTCGGTGTGGTTTTCGTTACCCCGTTAGGCATCGCAAGTCTTGGATCACAATTCTACGTCATTTGGACCGTCCTCAACGGCCTAATGGTGCCAATTATCTACCTGTTCTACCCCGAAACCGCAGGACGCTCTCTTGAAGATATCGACGGAATGTTCGAAGCGCATCCCACGGTCTGGGTCTTTATGAACAAGAGCATGACTGCTCGGAAAGCAGCAACTTCAAACGGTAGCCAGGACAGTGGGGAGGATATATCGACCTTCCGGACAGCAGAACATGTCGTGACATTTTCTAGAAACGTTAGTGCACTTGAGCTCGCACCTCTTGCGAACCTGCGGCATCGTCAGCCCGGCGGGGGTCCGACTCCTTTGGGAAGCATGACGCCTGTGCAGAATGGGGCCACGCTTGCGGAAGATAGGACGGTGGCAGACAACGCGGCTGGAGCTATGGAAAATGGGACCGAAGCTGTGAAAGAGGACGAGGATGCGGACGTCGTATCGTTACAATTGGCGTCGAGGGCTACAGTGCTTTCAGTGTCGGCATCGCCTCTAGGACCACAGACTTCGTCTACGGCATTGCTCTGAAAGTACACTCTCATTGTTGGTCAAAAGCGGTGTCTTTGAGGGACATGGAGCATTGTGAATTATGTTCTGAGACTTAGGACTGTAGACACTATCTTAGATAGGTAGACATTGGTGCTTAGCAGGACGATAGTCAACATGTCGTATTCGGGATAGCGGATCTTAGCGAGCCAATCAGCATAGCAAAGAGATTGTCATCATTGATCCGGAATAGGTCAAGTGTGAAGAAATCGCCGACATTTCCGGACTAAGCCCCCCGGAAGGATGACGCTATGCCCAGCCGAGACGGCCGAAGACGCGCCAAAGATGCCCTAGAATCAGCACTGTCAGCGTCATCAAACGTAAACCTGCCAAGTCCATACATATCTTTCTATTCTCAACGTTGAATTCAATGTTCCTTCACCTCCATCTTCTGCAAACAATGCGCTTTGTATCTCTTCTTCATTCAACCTGAACCTCATCGGCCATACCTTCCTTTCAAGTCGCCATGTTGTCCGCAACCCTCCCCCGCCGTTTGCTGGCAATATGTCTCTCACTGCTCACCGTGTCTCGAATATCAGCACAATCCGTGGCGCCGAGCAATGCCACAACGAACGATACTGTCGAATTCGTCCTGTCTACCTTCTTGAACCAAATGAGCATCCAATCCAGAATTCTGCCCCTCACAAATGGTGCCGGATTGTCTGGCAGTCTCTCTCAGCTTGAGGTCCGTCACTCTGCTCACTCATCGCGGCTTCTCTAATCTTTCTGCAGCAAATCAATCCCCAAGGTCCGTTAGTCCTGACTACCACCAAAACCGTCGAATCCCTTCAACCCGGAGACATCGCATACATCAGCTGCGAACCCAGCGACTACTCAGGCGACATCGATGCTGCGAGGACCATGAATTTGGCCGTGAACAACAAACCCTATGCTATCGTCCTGTACAGTGAGTATGCAGCTACATGCAGTTTCAGTCCTTCGGGAGACTTTCAATACGTGTCCGTGTATACCATGCAGAATGCCAGCTCCTCGGTCGCGGTCGTGGATGGATTGCAGAAAAACAACCCACCATACCCGGCCACGAGCATATCGGTGGATCAAAAATCAGCGAATGGGACGAGCAGTAGTGATAGTGGTAGCGGCGGCTTGGGGAAATCACCGACCACAGCGGTGGCAATGATTATTCTCTACAGCATCACTGGCATAATCACTGCTTTATTCCTAATCATCATCATTGTTGGAGCTATCAGAGCGCATCGACACCCAGAAAGATACGGGCCAAGACGTGTGATTGGAAGAGTCAGGCAAGGCAGGGCCAAAGGGTTGGCAAGGGCTATGTTGGAGACTCTACCTATTGTCAAGTTCGGCGATAAAGAAGAGGATGATAAACCTGCAGAGCAAGGTAGAGATGTCGAACTGGCTGGTGTACCCCAGGAAGCTGCGGCAGGCACGGAACACCATGGAGATGGAGCTAGCAAATCGAACACGGATGCACCGGCAGAAGGCGGACCAGATGTTGTGACGACCGAAGCGGCCGCTGGCTCAACGCAGCCGAAAGAGGGTGCAGCAGCAGACGCAGCCGATAGTGCGGACAACGGTCTGGCATGTTCAGTGTGTACGGATGACTTCATCAAGGGGCAAAATATTAGGGTGCTACCGTGCAAGCATAAGTTTCATCCGGAGTGCATAGATCCCTGGTTACTGAACGTGTCCGGGACCTGCCCTCTTTGGTAAGCAATCCATTCGCCCAATGCTCTATCCACTTCCTAATCTCCCTTTATAGCCGTGTCGACCTCCATCCCACCTCACCCGACAATGAAGAGCCGGAAGCGGATGGAGCCGATACCGACGTGATCCCGGCTGATTCTGGTGATCGCTCCATCCCCCCTACCGAATCTGCACGCCGCAACCGCCGTTCTCGAATCCTGAGCACTCTCAATGTAGGCCGTATGCGCCACGCTACAGCGGACGAACGCATAGATGCATTGAGGAGATTAAGGGAAGAGAACCAGGCAACGAACGACAATGCCGATCAAGGCGGCTGGATCGTTGGAGAGCGGACGATGAACAGAGCGAGGGCGAGATTGAGCAGAGCTTTTGGATCGAGACCTGCTTCGGGTATACACGGTTCCCGACCCACATCCCAAGTTCCTGCTGCTGCCGCGTCCGCAGAGGCCCCAACCACTGCGGAAACCCCCGCTACTGCAGAGGCACGTGCATCTGAAGCAGCAGCAACTAATGAAGCACCCGTTCCCATTGAAGCAACTCCATTCGCTGGTGCACTGGCTTCGAGTCCACGGTGACATGGCTTTTTCACTTCACAATTTCCTAAGGGGGTTCGAACGTGCTAGGATCATGTCGTTGATCATATCTTTTAGCGACATCACAATTCACGAGGTCACGTACAAGATGTGAAGATGATGATACCCTGATGCAAGGGTGGAAACGAGTGGCGTATCTTTTGGGAGCTCTCTCCCCCCTGGGTAGGATCGGTGGATACCCTTTTTGTATCATATTCAAGCTGCACATAGTGGATAGACATCTCACATAAATTTTCTCTTGTAGCGGGCTTCCGCCAGCATCCCTATCTCGACTCATGATGTGCATTAGGCCTGAGTTCCAACTCACGGCTGAGCGCTGGGCACACTGTTGCGAAAGAGGACTTGGCACGTGAGATGGCTACTTGTAGCAGGCAAGCCGCCAGATGGCGCTGTGACTCTTTTGTTTTCGCCCCTCGCGCCGAGTCAGAGTACTAGTACCATACACAGAAGCGTTCTCGTTCACACTCGAAATCCCAAAAATCCACTCCAAGTCCGCGCACTCAACACCCTTCGATGTTTGATCTCGTTGATCTTTCCACGATCTGCACCTGCTTCCACTGCCACTTTTTTTTTTTTTTTTTCTTTTTCTCTCTTTCATTTTCTCTCTTCCATTTCCTCCAAACCCCCCTCCCCTTTTTGACATCCCACCCACTAGCCCTCCAACCAACAATCGGCCGCCTGCGTCGAATCAGCGCCCGTGATTGATCAACTTCCACCGGTCCCCTAAAGCCGGCGGGCATCGGGGCACGATGTGATCGTGTCGATGGTCCCGGATAGGCGTTCCGGGGCTCGCTGTTCTTTCTTTCTTTCTTTCTTGCTTGTTTGTTTTGTTTTGTTTTTGCGGTGGGGTGGGGTGCGGTGAGGAGAGTGGAGTGAAAGGTGGGGAATATTTTCTGAACGGATGCTTGGTTTCGTGGGGAGATTGGTTTGTGGGGTTTGTTTGGTTTGGTTTTGGCGGGAGGGTGAAGGTGAGGGGGTTGGGGTTTGGGGTTTGGGGGTTGGGATGGGGATGGGATGGGGATGGGGATGGGGATGGGGATGGAGGAGGAGGAGGAGGAAGCTCTGAGGATGGGAACTCTGCGAAAGTGTCGAAGTTGAGTGTTAAGTACCATCCTCCTCATAAGATAAGCAATATCTGGCATCGAATTACGTCCGCCCTGATTAAGAAATAAGCTCTTCCTTTCGTCGTTCCGATGTTGTGTAAAGAAGGAAGGCCACGGGTTATGTTTGTTTGTTTGTTTGTTTGTATGTATAAGTGCCATGAACGAAGACAATGCAAAATGTACGGGAGAGGCTGGCGTTTGCGGTATGTATTCAGAGTTTGGCAAATTCTCGAGAAAGAATTTTGAGAGTCGTTGGGGTGGTTGAGGTTTTGGACACTGTATATCCATTTGGTGACGGGGTACTGGAGAGAACTAATTATACACAAAGGAGTGGCGAAAATTAAACAGTGACTGACTGGCTCTGCACGGCAGTATGTCGACATTGGGAATATCACATTTTGTTGTTGGCTCAAAAGGGAATGAACGGAGACAAGATTCGATCCAGATTCTACAAGTTTCATCATATGAGCATGCGTTATGAGAAAAGGGTTAATATTTTCGACTCTTCGTCCCTTCTCCCCTTTTGGCCCACTCTTCCCACAGTAATGCTATCCTCATGTCGATCAACGCAGAGTCGACGTCAAATGAGAAAAGAGGAAAGAGCAAGCAAACGAGGCGCGAATTTCAATACGCCCTCTATACATACTGCGTGAACGATCAAAGACAGTCTATCCACAATCGCCTCGAATCCGTCCTTGAGTCTCTACCTCCGTTGCCCAACCTCCTCAGACGACCAAACGCCAATTCTCAGACATTGTCGCATACGCACGGTCCGTTGTCACTGCCACATGTGCGTCTCCCAGTCGATTTCCTCTTCAGCCCCGTCTTCGAATTGCCGTATGTACTCCGTGACCGGCGAGCGCATCATCCGGGATGGTAGATCTGGGTCTTCCTCGTCTGCACCCGGGCGGTAGGAGGGGTCCGTTAGGCTTTGGTATTCCTGGAGTATGCGGGTGATTTCGGCCATGCCTGGAGCTGGCGGGAGGGTCGGGTCGATGAAAGGTCGGACCAGCTCGTCGTAGGTGTGGATGTGGGGGGTAGGATGGTCAGGGACGCTTTCCTCGGGCTCTTGACCAGGCAGGGAGTTGCCGAATCCCATTCGTGGTGCTGACGACGCCGCTGATTGTCGCTGTTCCTGCTGTTCTGGTGATCCGTTGGAATCCTGAGTGAAAGGGGCTTCGTCGGCCGCCACTGGGGAGCTCGGCGGCGGAGTCATCGGAGCTTGGAGAAGACTCGTCGTGCTCTCATCGTGGGTCAGATCTCGGGTTTGCTCTGGAAGCAAGTGCTGCACCCCATCGACATCCCGGACAGATTCTCGATCAACGTCCAGGTCCAATCCTACAGATGGTGAAAGCGATATTGGCAAGGCATTAGCGCTGGGGGAGATCTCTCGTTCGTCTCCGTCGAGAAAAGTATTCTCTTCTTGTTGCATCGCCCTTTGGTGGTCTTGGAGCGAAGGCTCAACGGCAGGACCGTCCAATGTTGTTGCGTCTTGGAGATCATCCACCTCTCTCGAGGCCGCTTGCTCTTCGGCAAACTCAACATCAGACATACCAGCGCCCTGCTCCTCGCCGTTTTGCTCTGCTACCACCTCATCCTTAGCAACCTCGGGTCCAGGCCGGGTTGTGCTTTGGGCCTGCCTCGCTATTCCAGGGCTGACGACCAGGCTTGGCCGAGAAGACGCATCGCGGCTGGAGTTCCCATAGCCATGATAGTGAACCGCCCTGCCCGGATGCGGATGATAGTACTGCATTTGTGGAAGGTGCTGATGCACCGTTGACGCCCGGCAGCCAATGATGGGGCAGCCGATGGGAATCCTCTGGCTGGCGGTTGGAGTGATGTTTGAGACTGGAGGAGCCGATACCCAGGATCGGGTTGATCGCGCCGGTGGCTCATCACGAATCCGAATTGGCGTAGGCTGATTTGGTGGGCTTGCCGACCTGTTCCTCGGTTGCATTGCGTTGCGAGGAGTCTCTGGTGGAGTGCGTGTCACTCGACCCTCTTTTTGAACAGATGCCTTTCGTGATGGAGCCATTACTCTGTGCTCCGGATGCTGGGAATGTTCGAGAAGGTTTGAGTGTTGGACTTTGAGGTTTGGATTTTGGATTCGGTCTTGGATGCTTGAATAATGGGGTTGAATGTGTCTTGGATGTGCGAGTTAGACTTGTGGCTGTCTTCGAGAGTAGAGGATGAAGAAGAGATAAGAAATCTGGAGGAAGAAGCCCTGAAGATAAATGCCTTCCAGAGTGTCGAAGCAGAGTGTCAAGCACCATCAATACCCCCATCGTGTTGGAGCCAGACAACGTCTCAGTGTCAAACCCTCAGTAGGAGCTGGGATACAAGCTGGTGCAGTCCTTCCAACACCGAACAAAGAAGACTAGCACCATGGCTTGAAGCTGTGTTATATATATATGTATATATGTAAGTGTTATGAACACAGACACTGTTGTGTCTATGATCAAAGAAGAGAGGATCTGTCATTGTGAGATATGTACCGACCCCAGAGGGTGCAAGAAAGCCAAACTGAAGCGACATTGGACTGGTCTGGGATTCTAGATGTTTTATCATTGGTGAACAACAGCTGCCTAGTGGAAGCAATCCAGGAACAAAGAAATAGCAAACATCGAGACGATGTAGAAGCCGGGCGCTTATTGCACCTTTGTCCTGATGTTGGCAAGGTTTGAAACTTACGAGGGTTTCCAATGCGTCCTGAACGGTCATACTTTTGTGACTGGGTTCCTTGCTTTGGAGACCTCGGAATGGTAATGGGGGCCTGGTCAGTGAGTTTGAACGGTGCCATCTCGTCTGGTATGGGGTATACTGAACCTTCTCCTATATCGTTCTTGTAGCTGGCATGTCAATGCCGAGGGTTTTTGCCGTAGTGATAGGCGCCACATTATTTGGGCGGTGATCCCAAAGAACTCCATGGAGGGTCCGCTTCTAGGTGCTACAGTCTTGTTGTTCTGGGGCTTTGAGTCTTCATGTCTGGACGACCATCACAATGCCGCAGACGTACAAGGAGAAATCCTGCCCTGGGTATTCATCTCAGTGTGCTATGTCATTTGAGAGACGCCAGAAGGGGTTGAAAAGGGGAGTAATCGCTGTACACTTTCTTCTGTTAGCCGAAAGGTGGTCGCACTACAACACCCGCATATGAGACGTTGATTTACTCTCGGAGGATTGGTCTGTTTCAGGTGCAGCGCATCAGATGCTTGCAGGAGAGGGTGTGTGTAGGGGCGACCCTCGAAGGGAGGCAGGATTGTATCCACGAGCGACGCATTTTGTAGGTAGCAAGATGGTACGAGAGAACTTTCAAGTGCGACCGTGTAGAGCTGCAGCTGTATTTGGAGCCCGTGAGTTGGATTTGGGAGGTGTATGTGTAGAAAAGATGGGGTATACGGCTAGAGAAAAAGGAGGGTACGAGAACAGAGCAGGGTGTACTGTACAGTTCCCCGTGTAAAGGGATTGAACTCCTGCAGTGACCTAAGGTAATCATGGCCCTAGAACACAGTATCGAGCCTTAGAATCTAATTCAGGCAGACGGAATTTATGCTTCATATGTAAAGTGACATATGCATCTCGGTAGCAAATTGGCAAGGACAGACCTTACTTTACAGAGCTACATAACTACGCTCATCATACATATTTTCTTTACCTGGGGACTTTTCTTGTGGGAGGGTGCTACATGGGATTTAGTGAAAACACACTAGTGATCAGCGTGGGAAGTGAACACTGCCTTTGCGTCTTTACTTCAACCCATTTACTTCCTACATTTACACATCAACAACCCCGGTATTTATGGCTTTTAGCATCTGCAGATAGTACGGCAAACATGGCAGGTTTTAACGATCCCCCAACTGAGCTTGTGCTTGCGGTGTTGAAGAGCGTGCTGCCAGATGGTCTCGAGACGTTCGCCCAAGCGTCTAAACGTGTGTTTCGTCTATCAACCCCATTTTTGGAGGACCACAGACGCTTGATTAGACTCGACACAACATTCAGCAATCGTACATCGCCAGGACAAGTGACGCGAGATGGGTTTTCGGTCGGACCGGTCCTTACTTTGTTCAAAGACATACTGAATGAATGAACCTCGCCTGGGTCATTACATCAGAGGTATCGAACTCGATACTTTACTTGCAATGGCTTCTGATCTCAGACGCGATGATGATCATGTCCGATGAGGCGCAGAAACGGTACAAACAGCAACGCAATCCGGTTGACTTTGCGGGGTTGGGGGGGTTGGGAGGGCGGAGAGAGAGAGAGAGAGGTTCGAAGATCTACAACGGGAGGACTGTTTACACTTCACCGCTTTAATTCCATAAATACGTACGCACCTCCATCCGTTGTAGCTCTTTCTTTCTTTCTTTTTCTTTCCTTCTTTCCTTCTTTCCTTCTTTCCTTCTTTCCTTCTTTCCTTCTTTCCTTCTTTCCTTCTTTCCTTCTTTCCTTCTTTCCTTCTTTCCTTCTTTCCTTCTTTCCTTCTTTCCTTCTTTCCTTCTTTCCTTCTTTCCTTCTTTCCTTCTTTCCTTCTTTCCTTCTTTCCTTCTTTCCTTCTTTCCTTCTTTCCTTCTTTTCTTCCCGACTCGATTCCAGGCCGCTACGGCGATGCTTTTTCGGTAAATTGTGACGATGATGGTTGCGTCGCGCGGAGTTCTTGGTGCCGAGAAGATATGCTAAGGCCAGGGGGGTGGGGTCTGTTGCGGATTGATTCGGACGCGGGAGCGAGGAGCCGCGATTGAATGGTGGCTTGTTTGAATTACCTTACCTTACTTATGCATTATTAGTGGTCCTGAAAGGGTCGTCTGTTTGTCGGTTGGTTGGTTGGCTGGTTGGAAGAGAGGAATTGCGTTTGTAAGGTTTTTCTTAGGTGGGTGGTACCTTAGTTCAAGGTGGGGGCTCGAAGACCTGTATTAGGTAGGTGAGTATGGTAGACCGAGTGTAAAGGCTGCAGAGGCACTGAGTTATAAGTGGAGGGTGTTAAACTGATGGAAGGTATGAAAGGAGACCAGTATCGACCTTTTTTTCCGAAGGAAATCGGAGGGAATACAACGCATGATGAAAGTGGTTGGCATATGTTATAGCATGCATTTGCTTCTGTACACAGTCGCTCAAAATGCAAGGCCAAGATTCCGGTATAAGCTATCGAGAAAATCATGTATCCCAAGATTGTAGCCTACTCACACGGTACCCAGATCGTACGCATCATTCTAGGAGTCATTCTCATCACCGCGGCGTCATCGGTCCACCTTTTGACATACGACCGGTCCTAACCAGAGCAGGTAAACCCTTTCTACAGAGCCATGCCCGGCCGCAACCCCCGTTGCATATTCTGCTCCAGATCTTGCTGCACCCTGATGCCCTTCAACGGAATCGCATCATCGCTCTGCTCGTCACCCTCGTCCACCGTCCACGCGGTCGTAACGGTGTTATTCGTCGGCGCCAGCCCGGCCGTTCCGTCCGCGAGGCGATTCCAGTCCCCGTTGTTACTGGCCACGGTACTGATCCCGCGACCGCTCATCTGGTTCCGACTGCCTTTGTTCGATGATGATGCGTGCCATTTCGATGATGACGAAGGGCCGGAGCCGTCGGTTGCAGCGGATGCTTTCTTGGTAGAGTGGAAGGTTGCGAAGACGCGGCCGAAGCAGGGACCTAGGGTGGCGTTGAGGACGGGTTGTAAGGTGGGGAGGCAGGCGCAGATTATGCCGACGCTGAGTTCGACTTGCGTCCAGAGCAGGTAGCGGGTGTAGGACCAGGTCGAGTCGACGTGGTCGATATTGGCAATGGCCCAGCAGCGGAGGATGGATGCGGCGCAGGCACTATTTGTTGGGAGGTTTTGTCAGTCGGAGGTGGTTTGGGGGGCGCGGTGGGAATCCGCAGAATGTACGGCCGTTGTTTGACGAATAGGAGGTATAATCATAACGACCACGGTGACCAAGGGCTTGAAGGTGAATGGAAGGATGGAGGAAGGTTTGGAGAGTGAAGACTTACAATGCACCGACTAGGAAGATGGCGCTCAGAGCGACCTTTCGGTCTATTGATATCTGAAGGTTCCATACCACCACAATGGGGAGAAATAGGACGAACCAGTCCAGTACGGCATTTGGTATACTGAGCTTCAGGAGTATGTGATCAAGAAGACAATGGGACCCTGGAATGGTCTTGTCCCAATTGCCTGCAATGGGTTTGCATTGGAACAAGGTGGCGAAGAAGACGGCGATACCCCACGCCCAGGTGGCGGCCATTAATGCGAAGACTGAGTACCGAAAGGCGTTTCGGACACCAAAGAGACGATTGTAGAAGAGGAGGATAGACATCTTGATTGAGACAATGGTGAATGGGTAGAGTATTTCATAGCTCCAGTTCGACTAGATCCATGATCTTAGTATGAGTGTATGAATGGAATCGGCATTGCATACCTTGGACTGCGTAAGGGAATGATTGGGGACCGCCTCGATGTGCCGCCCCACCCCAGTAGCCTTGACAACTGCATTCGGTCAATGGAAGCTCAACGTGGCATGGGAATGGAAGGTCTGCTTACGGACGTATATGCATATGGCATCGCCCCATGAAATGATCTGGTGGGGAACGACTTCAGTAACCTTCACCATGATTCTCGACCATACGAAAAGGAACTTACCAGAGCAACAACGATCGCGGCATCATCAAACCAATAGCTCGTAGCTGAGAGTCCTCTTGAGACCAGCCGCAGGACGACCACCATGGTGGAGAGAGCGAGGAGAGCAGATGTGACTCCCAGCAATTGAGGTTGCTGGTTGGCACAAAGGGCAGAGGTATCGCCCGGCGCGCATTTTATTGAATTCCATTTGTGTGCTGCAGCCATCGGGCATACGGTAGTCTTGCGATTCTGATCGGCTCAGAATTGGCATTGAAATAAGCCCGTCGACAATGCACGGCGACAGCGGATATTGAAGGGCTGCAAGCAATACTGACCAGACTGCGCCGAGAGTTGCTGGCTTTGCGGATTTCGACACGATGAAGGCGAGGAGCGGAGGGAGAGGTAATAAACCTTCTGCCACCACACAGGTACCACTCAGTGACCCGGGGTACAGGGGAGTGCAACTGAGGGCCGGCCAGCTTGCGGGCCCTCACTCTCGGGACAAGCTAGCATACTTAGTGTTTTTGCGGGTGAAGATGATACTCTAGTAGGAGAATACGACTGAAGAGGACAAGTCGCAGAGGACATTTGTAGAAGGGCGATATCAAACGAGGAGGCTCGTCATGTGATTGGCTGTAAAGGGGGTGTCAGTCATGGATAGATACGAGTACCATTTATTAGCAGAGGGCCGGAGGGCCGCTCAGTCAAATTCCAAACTCTCTACAAAAGTGAAAAATCCTCGCACTGACCATTCCCAAAACCCCAAAAGTCAACTCGACTTAATCTTGCTGTCGAGAAAACAATTCTTCTCCAGATTCTGGGAAGCAACGGAACCGGCACCATGGGTCAGCATGTATATAATTCGATTGCTCTGTTGGTTGCATTGATTGGGTTCAGGCTCACGATTTATCATCCCTGCGTCCGCCATGATTGATCCGCACCCCCTCACATTATTCCGCCCCTGATGTGCAGTAGATCCAGATGCCCCACGTCGGTTAGACAGTTCCGCCAGAGTGCAGGGATAGACTTGATGCTGCACAGGGGGCGCATTTGGGGCACCTTATCTAGCCGAGACCAGCTTAAGCTACAAACGCGGGGCTTGTTATTTGGTGGGGTGAGTACCTAAGGTAAAGTACCTACCTACCTTAGTGATAAGTTGCCCCAAGCCACGATCTGATACAAATAACGGCCAACACATTTAGTGCACTTTACGGATACTCGGAACAGGCATGACGCACGTGGCACGTAGGGAAGCTTGGAAAGATCTCCAATCTCAGCAAAGTTACATGCATCAACCATGGGCGAAACAACAAACCCAATGACGCTGTCGCACCGCATTTTTACGCCTTTTCTACGCACCTTAATAATTAATTCCCTACTCTAGGTGCCCTGGTGCCCTCTCCTCCTTGTTGTCTTTGCAACCGCGCTTGAGCCGCGCTAGAGATTCGGTATAAAGTATGCCATCATGCTTTCAACGGCTTTGACGGGTACGCAATGTAACCATGCGAGGTATGTCCCTGCGTGGCGGCTCAGCTACCCGGCTTCCTTATGGTACCTGCATATGCAATAATAAATAATCATCCAGCTTCATTGATTTCACCACCTCTCCTCCATTCACTCTTGCGCATTATTATGCATGTCCTTCAAACCTCCATCATCAATAATGCCTTGTTCGTCGCTTGTGCCATCTCACAGTCCCTTCCCACGGTAGATCTTGGCTATGAAGTCCATCGAGCCATCGCCTTGAATGTACATACCTATCAAACTCCTCAATTCGATGATTATCATGCGCATTCGCTGACGTTGATCCCCAAGGTATCCGGAGGCTACTACAACTTCTCCAACATCCCCTATGCAGAGCCTCCCATCGGCGCCTTGCGCTTCGCCAAACCCATTCCTCCAAAACAAACAGACAGCTCCACCATCAACAACGGCAGCGTCGAGCACATCTGCCCGCAAGGCCAACCCTTCATCAATGCAATCAACACTAAGTTCCTCGAGTACTATATCGCCGATAATACATCCACATTCCCGTTCGCCCAACTCAACGACTCACTTTACGCGGAGAGCACGGCGCAACTGGTCCCTCGGCAGGATCCACGAGTAAGCGAGGACTGTCTCTTACTGGACGTCATGGTGCCCCGTCAGGTTTTCAATAACAGCACAACCCCCTCTGTCCCCCAAAATTCAAGCGCCGGCTTGCCGGTCCTCGTCTGGATTCACGGTGGCGGCTTCGGCTCAAATTCCAAGGAAGAAGTCGGCAACCCCGCAGGCTTGATCAAAGATGCTCTTGAGGCCGATGGAGAAGGTGTCGTTTACGTTGCGATGAACTATCGGGTAAGCAAGCGCCCTCCCTCGAGTCCCTGCAATAGCGCATTTTCCCCCACCAACATCGAGGAGATGATTACAACCAGTAAACTAACATGTAGTAGCTTGGAGCGTTTGGTTTCTTGGCGGGACCTACTTTCGAAGCGAGCGGCGGGACTGCGAACAATGGACTCTATGATCAACGCTTGGCTTTTGATTGGGTGCAGAAGTACATCCACCTCTTCGGCGGAGATCCAAACCGCGTTACCATCTTCGGAGAATCCGCGGGGGGTTCATCGATTGTGTTCCATATTACTGCGTACGGCGGCACCGCAGGCCCATCCCCATTCCAGCAGGGTTTGCCCATGAGTCCGTGGTTCGTGAGCGACATCCCGGCGCAGCAGCAAGAAAATGCCTTCAACCAATTCCTAGCCCTGGCCAACGTCTCTACCTTAGAGGAACTCAAGAAAACGCCTATTGGCTCTCTCAATACGGCCAACAGCCTCGCGGTCGGCTTCGGCGCCTACAACACCCCAGGCCATTATGGCGCATTTACCTACGTCCCGGTCGTCGACGGCGAGTACGTCCCCGACGCCCCTGGCCGACTGCTCCTCCAAGGCCGCTTCGACAAATCAATCAAAGTGATGAACGGCCACAATGCGGCTGAAGGCGTCCTATTCACCCTCCCAACCGCCAACACCTCCGACGCCTTCACCAGCCTTGTTGAGCTCTGGCTGCCAAGCGCAAACGCCAGCACGGTCTCTTACATCACGACAACGCTCTACCCTCCAACCTTCGACGGCAGCCTCCCCTACACCGACAACCTCAGCCGCTCCATCCTCTTCGTGGCCGAATACGCCATCACCTGCGCCACCAACTTCCTCGACCGCGCCTTCGACAACCAAACCTACGGCTACCAGTTCAGCGTCCCGCCCGCCTTCCACGCCAACGACAACAGATACACCTTCTACAACGGCCCCGGCACAAACGACACCTATGGCACCTACAACGTCACCGTCGCGCTCGCGCATCAGCGGCAGATTGTCACTTTTGCGGAAACGGGCGTCCCGGAGGGTATTCCCATCTACGGCAACGGGACTATCCTCGATTTGAACAACACGGGCTTGCCGTTTCAGCCGATCCCGGATCCGAACGCCAATAATCGCTGCCTTTTCTTTCAGCAGGGCGACTTTTTGAATTCGACGACGGGGACGTTTAATGCTTCCGTGAGCGTCTATCCGAGCAATGATACCAGTGGCGCTACGAACGGGACGATGATGGGGAGCGGGGGCGTGGGATCTGCGGGTCAGAGCAAAGTGTCGAGCGAGGGGGTCAAGAGGGGAGGCATCCGCTTCGTGGAGATTGCCGCGGGGGCTGTGGTGGTTTTGGGGGCTGGGTGCTTGTTGTAAGAGAAGGAATGTATATATATATATATACACATGTGTATGTCTCCCTCTCTTTTGATATAAATGAGTGCACCCTGTAAATACGTACAAGTATATATAATCATCCCTACCCCAAAACATTCCCCCCCCCTCACTCTCATCAATCTCATCCCATCCCATTCCATCCATTCCTCACTCCCCCCATCCACCTCCTACCCACCCCCCCCTCCCAGCTCATCCGACACCCGGTCTTCCCACTCGCTAAAGGGTCGATACGTCCGTATGGCTGCGAATCTGTACGCTGGTTGTACTTGTACCCGGACGCTGTGTTGGACGCTCGTAAGGTGTGTTTTTCTGGGCTTACTCGATCGATGCTGGGCGAGGATTTGTTGATGGATTGATGGATGTGGATGGATGGATGGATGGATGGATGGATGGATGGATGGATGGATGGATGGATGGATGGATGGATGGATGGATGGAGGGATGGATGGATGGATGGATGGATGGATGGATGGATGGATGGATGGGTGGAGGGATGGGTGGATGGATGGATGGATGGATGGATGGATGGATGGATGGATGGATGGATGGATGGAGGGAGGGATGGATGGATGGATGGATGGATGGATGGGTGGATGGGTGGATGGATGGATGGATGGATGGATGGAGGGATGGATTGATCATTCATTTATTTATTTATTGGGTGTCGAGGTACTCTATTTATCTATTTTGTTCGCTGACGCCGGTCGATTGTCGGAGGGTTCCTTGCTTAGTTGGTCGGTTGGTTGCTTGGTCAGTGGGTTGGTTGGTTGCTTGGTCGTTGCGTTGGTCGGTTGCTTGGTTAGTCGGTCCCCGGATGAAAAACGCAGGGCCGAGCTATCGCAAAGAAAGACAGACTTGCCAGTCTGTCGGTCGGTCTGCGTGCGGTGTTGGTGTCGGAGTCGCGTTTCAGGATCTGGGCATGCCGGTTTGGGCTCCGGTCGTGGATTGTGAGCTACGGCGGGGGCGGGAGTTGCGTAAGGTTGAGCTGGGGTGCCAGGGCGGGATACTGTAGTGCTACTACGGTGTCTTTTTTTGTTACTCTTGGGGAGGCGGTGGAGTGGGGGTTTGGCGGTATGGTCGGGATGGGTGCGTGGATGGGAGGAAGGATGTGGGGATGATTGAGTTGGGGTTCTGTTGGGGTGGGAGAGGGGGGCTTGATGAGTGGAGAGGAGGGGAGGCGGGTCTTGCATGGGAGTTGGAGGGGAGGGTTGTTTGTTGGTGAGAGTGGTGGGGTTGTTGTTTTGGGGGGGCGAGGATGAACGATGGTCGATATGTTCAGGGGTTTTTTGAGGGGTTTTTTCGTCTTCTTCTACTTCCCTCTTTTCCCCCTTTCATTCTCGGTTCACGGAGCCTGTATATAACTTCCCAGAAAGTTGCTTTCGCTGCCCCCGTTTTCTCATGAAAAGCTCCGCTAGGGGATGGAAGGCTGAAAGAAACATTTCTGCTTGCGAGTGCCTGTTCATGAACCCGTCAAGTATAAACAGGTGCACACGCAATGCCAAGCTCAAAATGACTCACGAGCAAAGAATGCGTTTTTCGTTTCAATTGTTAAGCCTCGAGCTTTTGACCTTATTGGTCTTGCTCAAGTGCATAACCTTACCGTCCGTCAAAGGTGCCGATACAAAAGTCCAATTTTGTCAATGCCTCAGAGTAACCCCACAGCCATGGCCGAGAATATGCAATTTGGCGACCGTACACTCTTTCTCCCCGACCTGCAGCAGCAACGACACCGCTTCCTCTCAAGAAGAGCAGCGCAAACCTACCGCTGTGCCGACCTCGCCTGGTTTGAAATCCGGCACCTGCAGAAGACATTTGGACTCACGGATGTTTTGATCCTCCAGGAATTCGATGATGACTCTTGTGTCATCTCTTCGCATCAAGGGTATTTTGCTCTCAATAGAGTGGCTAGGATGATGACGTTTGATGCGACTCGGGCGGAGCTTGTGGCCCTGGGGAAGGATGAGGAGGGTTGTTTGGTTAACGTGCAGAGGAGGGGAGCTGTTAATGAGGTGAAGAAACCGGTGTAACCACAGGCGCTGGTGAGCAGTTGGCAGGAGGAGGATAGTCTTGCTTTGGTGTTTCAGAGAGCGCTGTTGTAAGATTTTGGCATGTCATTGTTAAAACATCATGGATGATGATGACCCACCCTCTCCAAGGTTTTGGTTCGTTTCTTTCACTCAGTAGTTTCGTCTCTCGAAGCTATATTCCTATTTCGTGCCATCCCATGTCTTATTAAGGCTTCAGACAATTCAGACGTTTCACCCGACAGTGACGGCTTAATTCGAGATTCGAGCCTAGACACCTACTCCTACGGTGGCTTGGCTCATGGTACTTTCCGTCATGATCTGGCTTGGTAAACTGTTCAAGGCTGGTTGAGAAGAGCCTGCTCGAAAAGGCAGTATCAGATCGAATCGTTTGGATCTTGTGTTTGCGGCTTTGCCTCCAAACGCCTGAATGCTGTGGTCTCACCTTCGATCCACTCTGCAGGCCTTTGGGACGGAACAATGAGCTCGATAGGAAGATAATCCAGCCCTTGCGTCAGAACTAGATTTTGCCAATTTGTTATCCACCGTTTCATTCTTCTGCCTTTTCCGGCCCAATGCTGTGTTAGCTCCAGTCCTGTTATCTACCCATGAGGTTCTTGAGACATCAGCTCAGACGAAGCTATCGCATCGCGCGGAAATACTGGGACAAGATTCCTTGAGAGAGGTACTCGACGCGGTGTGTTAAATTAGAACCAAAGACATTTCCTGAGTACAACATCTCAATCGCCTCTGAACATCTAGAATGGGCATTAGCAAAAGAATCCAGCGATAAATTGAATTTGACGAACATCAGACGACATGTCAATAGCTTGGAAAGTGACGTAGACGTTGAAATGTGATAGGGACTGCGGTCTTGGCGACTCTCGTATTACAAGAGTTCTAAGGAGCCTCAGTATCTGAGTGGTAAAATGTGTAAGGCCGTGGAGCAGACTCGTAGCAAATGCAATCAATGAGAATGTCAAGGCGCTACTCTTATTTACTTACTCATAGAAACTTTTATTCCCTGCTCTATCTCCACAGCGACAACTTTTGAAGAGATGAAATAGCAGACGAACCGATTTGGACTGTCGGAAAAATCACATTGCGACGCAAAAGACTTCTGGTACTAGTACAGTTGTCCGTTGAGAAGATGCAGATGGGTCAGTCATACGTGAGCTTGGAATCGAATATTATTGTAGCATAAGGTAAGTGATTAGCTGACCTTACATAGATCGCCAACACTGCCTGCAGGCAATAAGTGAGCGTTCCTTACGTACTTAAGTCCCTGTACGTATGCAAATTACATGGCAACAAAGGAGGATGGCTCCGACTTCCGTCACAAACAAGGCCATGTGCAATAGAAGAATGGACAGAGAACATCTCCTAGAGCCCTCTATCCCCGCATCAGGACTGCTCAAGCGGCTGTCTGCCATTTTCCTATGATTGCATGGTTCCTGATAGTGATATCTACTAGCCGCAGGGCCAGACTGGGTAGGCGGGAGTTTTACTTGGTCAAAAATGCACTATAATATCAGGAGGGTATGCTTTCCAATCAAGTACGGGAACATAATACTGGAACATGATCCACAAGCGACTGGGGGAGCGGGAGGCAGATTGACACGATATTACCGCATCTGCGCATCTGCGCATTTCCTGAGCTCCTCATCCAAGCGCAAATCTCTCCGTCATCACGTATAAGGACCAATCTTCCCAATGCTTCTACGCCTACTAATTCAACCTCCTAGACTCTAGGAATGTTCTCCATATCCCTTTCCCTCGTCATCCCGCTTCTCCCGGCCTTCACCGTCTCTTCGAGTGCTCTACCGTCTTCACGAAACATGATCTCCAGCTCTCTGAGCCTGCCAATTGTCTTCGAAACACTGCATACGAACAACACGAGCTGGCAAGACCTTGGGAGTCCTGTGTCATCGTATAGCCCTGATTGCAGTATCTCATACGGGCGCTACCTGAACCAAGCCAGCTGTAACAGTGCTCTAGCGAAGATATCCCAGGTCACAACACCTATAACTTTTGGAGAGAGAGGTACAGGAACTTGGGACGTCGTACTACCACGTCGATATCTCAGCGGTAAGTTTTCCCATAGCTCGTCATGTTTGAGTGGCTATAGTTTACCTACGCAACTTTATGCGGACGGAGTATGCTAGACTGCTACAAACGCCTTAGTAAGGCTGACAAAGCCAAGAGCGATTGAAAACCTTGGTGTCAAGATAGCTTATCTCCAATATAGACGATGGCCAATGTGCCATCGACGTGAAAGTCGATCTCAACGGAGCACAGCGAGATGTATCCAACTATCTTCAAATCACCAACGCTGCTAGTGCAGTGCTCCGCGATTGTGTCCAAATGCGACAGCCCAGCACGGGTGGACTTGTGAAAAAGTTAGGTATGTTTTGCACATGGCTTCTTACAATAAGATGTTAGGAATTGTTGCCTGAGCAAAAGTCTTGGGTATTGGCTTCAACTGGCACTCCTTATGGCACTACGTCATTCCATCTACTAATGTTGTATCGTTACGAGTTCAGGTATAAGGTACGGGTCTCTCTCGGCCGAAATCAGTCGTTACCACCCGAATGTCGAGTGTCGCGACCAAATGACATCAGCGCCGCCATCTTATGATTCCTGCAAAGATATACTCGACACCATGCAGTGGTCAGAAACCTTGACCAATTTTGGCCTTCCGTGGCAGGTGCGTCTTGTTGCAGAGATTCCGCTCTGTTGAATACCACAATGGACATTGCAAGGGACCGTCAATATTAAACCCTTCCAACAGCCTGGGGTCCAAATTCGATTGCCATACTTTATCGTCTCAGGTACGTTAGGTATTTGGTTCAGCCCAGCCAATCCCGACTCCTGAATCCTTTTCCCCTTTCGCTCGTCCTGGACTTTTATCTAACCCGCCATTTTAGCGGACAGACAATGTAAACTACTCGTGGCCAGCAAGGTGTCAATAATGCCACCAGTGGAAATAGCGACCTGGGCTAGCGTCTGGTCGGAGGCTGTCGCTGTCAATGAGATGTGCGTGAAGAACGGGGAAAGTGGCCATGGAAGGCCGCAAAGTAAGTGCAGTGTCCTAGTAAAACCCCATTTTCTTCCGACCAGACACTATCTTGCCTTTCTGAGGTCTCAGCCTCTCTCGGTAGTTATTGATGACTTTCACCAAAATGCACAACGAGTTGGTGGAGGAACATCAAGCGCGATCTAAACTAACTTTTACACTCTTTCAGGTTTCCACGGCAGTCTGGTTGTTTTCTTCCTTGGGCGAGGATCATATCCACCCGCGGACAAACTTTCTAGCCTCAACATGTCAAATCCTGAGCTCAGAAGGCTCTCCACGTTCAACACGACGCCGCCTCTTATAAATTCTTGAGGTTCTGGATGTAAATCTCTCCGTGGCTGTAGGGATTAATTGTATCTAAGGAAATGACATCTCGAGAGATTGCAATGGCAGACTTCATTGAGTAAAGGGCTGTATCTATTGTATTGCTACGTGGAAGGAGTGAATTGTTTGAGTGTGCGTTTCGAGTCTCACTTGTCACAAAACACCCGTTTGGAAACCCGTTAGTTGAAGGAAACTGTGAATTTGCAAATTAGGCATCGCGGTCGGTGACCTTCAAGAGCTAGATTTTTATGCTGTCTCGTGGAAATCTCAAGACTAGAAGGAGGCTAGAATGCGTTGCAGACCGAATCATATCTTGGCCCCAGTGCCTCACAAGCCTCCGCAGTCCAGCCCAATTCCCACTCATACTGACCCCCTCCCATCTCATGGCATTACAGAACCTCAACGACCAACGTATCCACCCCGGCTCTCGTTCTTACAAGCCTCAACATCGATGGAGTGTTGTAACCGTTCAGGTAATACGAGTTCCAACGACCGTCTGGTCGTTCAATGAACACACGTGAGAAAACTTGGGCCTGGATCCTGAGCATGGATCGAAGGTCACGGCAGAGGCCTCCGCGACGCTGACTATGACGGGATGGAAGGTGTTGTTGAAACAGACCATGATGGGGAATGTAAGGCCTAGGTATTCCAGTCGAGGGAAGGGCGCCGGCCAGAAGACAGCCGCAAGCTGGACGGCTCGGGATGTATGGTAATCCGGAGGCGGTCGCTCCGGTCCGGGGAGGGGAGTGAAAATGAGGTCCTGGGGGTTGCCGACTGGGGGTCCTAAGTTTCCACTCATGGTTTCTTGTGATGGCTCACGAGAAGGGTGTGATGAGCGAGACGGAGGTACGTGGCACGGTGGATTTTTGTGTACAGGGGCGCTTTTGAGGACAAAGGAACTAAACAATCAAGCATACTCATTTTCTTCATGCTACAGAACCCACCTCAATTTCATACCGCAGGTTTGCTCGATTAGCCCGTTGTGGTAGTTCAATGCACCAGGTGGATACTTTCCATACTGCGTCTCTGCTCCGGCCTCTTCGATGCAGCGATTATGTTATCATCCGTCAAGGTCAGCTTTCGCACTCCTCGGCTACTTCCCCAGTGCATCCTCTGCTCCGGCATACCAAAAGTGTTCCAGGGTAAGCTCGATATGCGCTCCACGTAATGCAGTAGTCGGCTAATACTCTCCTCGTTAAGGTCAAGCACACCAGTCACGCAGCATGATGAAGCTGATACAGCTTTCTGATAGCGAGATTAGACGGAAATTTTTCCCATGAGGTAGGTCCCCTTTTTGGTTTTTATTCTTGTTTCTTAAATGACTGCAGAAATCAAAGACGACGATGGAGTGAGAGGGTCGCAACGGTTTCCTTTCGCTGCAGGAGTCGTAGACGTCACTGCGGGTATACATTCACAATATCATGAACTAAACTTTGAAGCCGGAAATCTCAGCACGCGTCAATACCAGTGGTCGGCGATTAGCTTGTCCCCCTCTCTGCCTATTCTGTCACAACAGATCTTTCTTTGTCTGAATTACGACTTAAGACGTTGGGACATCAAATGTGTCAATCTTGTTGCTGGTCAAAAATAGCAAGTGGTACTAACTTACTGAGGGCGTTTACGCCAACACGTGGGGGAGATATGTTTTATATCAGATGCCCAGAGTCATGTCTGCCTCATCGTTGGGACTGACCTTCAGATTCTCGTCGCAGCAAATTTCCTAGAGATCAGAGCGTCATCTATCCGGTTCGGTTCGTGCGCTGTACCAAGAATGCTAGCGATGCGTCTGGCCCCTTGCTTCAGCTCCAAGGAATGTTCAAGTCATTTCCACTCCCTTAAGAATTCAAAACTCCCGGCCTACGTTCTACGATCACAGAGAACACCGAGTCCATTTCGTGAAGCATCATGTCCTATCCGGTATGTTGATTCACCACGAATCACTTCCACACCCCCAATCTTCCACATCAGAAGCTAACCGACTCAATCCACCAGGACACTCCCAGCCTCTTCATCGACAGGCAATACGACAGATGGTATGTCATCCTCTACCCCAGGGTGCTTAGCTACGATTTCCATGGGTACCAAGGGGTGCGGGCGCTCTCGCACGCTATGCTCTGCGGCAAGGGCTCCGTCGTCCAAGCCATCGACCAAGATCTCATCTTCGTCAAAAGAGAGGGTGACACCGGCGCACGGCTATATGACACCTTTTTCAGAACGGCGGTCAAGTTGTTGTATGATAGTTCTATAATAATGAGTGCTGCGGAGGGGAGTACGCTGGATGCTGAGTTGCGGGCTGCTGGGGAGGCACTTGCGGGGATAGTTTTCGTGACTGCTGCTGAGATCGCGGTAAGTGAAAGCGTGCTAGGGTCCTGATGCATGTAGATGGTCAACGCGCTCATGGGATATATGGGACCGTAGCTCACAACCTCGGCCATCGACGAGACCGAGCGAGCACCCGCACGCCATTTAATGAGAAATCTCACCGCCGCAAGCAATACCCCCGACTTCAGGTTCGTCTGCCCCCTCATCACTGGAAACCAAAGTCCTACTCAATGTAACATAAAACCGCAGCATAGGATTTACCAACAATATAACCGACTTCACCACCACATTCAGCAGCACGCGTGTCTCCATCTCCGATCACTGGCCCCAGCGCATTATTTTTCAGCCCGCAGACACGCTCGGCACGCAACGACACGCGACCCTATCCATCGCATGCAGCGCGAAGCATATTGCACTGGGGCCCTTCGATACGACATGGGGATGGCAGAATGGGAATGTTTGGTTCGCGGTCATGATTCATGTGCCCTTGCAAGAAAACCGTGCTGGCAACGCCCGTAATTACCTGCCCTCCTAATCTTCCCCTTGCCTTGAGCGATATGATTTCTTGTTTCGGTTTTGGAGCTGACGCAAATGGGCAAAATAGCTTTTTATAAAGTCTCTTGGAGTTCTCCAGCAAACAAGTCGGTTGACTGGTCGCGGCCCGTCAAGGATCCTGGCAAGTCGTGGATGTTTCCTGCTGATCTGGGGTGGCAAGTTCATGTGCATAGTCAGGCTGGGAGCCAGGTATGTTCATTACTCTAAACGTTTGCAGATGCAAAGTTGTCTGATGAGGAGCGCGATCGGTAGACACTGCATTTGACGGTAACAATATCAGATCTAAGATAAGGCTTGCATGGTGCTATCTGTTCAGCTGGCAAGAGGTGGTCTGGTCAGAAGGCTGAGACTCGTTTCTCCTGGTGTCTCTACTGGTGCCGGGGGGCGGCCTTTACCCTGGATGTCTGCGTATAATTGGTACTTCTCTTGATAGCAACTTGGTGTGGTAGATCCAATATATCGTGTTTGATTGGGAACAGCGCTTGTCTGTCTCGATTCCAACATGATACAATGCACCTACTCTTGTCATCACATTTTCGTCCTTATCGGCTGTCGCAAATCCGTGTTCACTAATCACTAGCTATGCCAGTATGGCGGTTATTGTTGGGGGAGTAACATATGATGAGGTACTGAAGAGTGAATATGGCTCCTGGTGGGACCTATCATTTCCAACACATGCACCGCGGATAGTTTTCAACGAGACGACGGTTCTCGAGATATTTTATGTCATTCACATCTCAGACTCGGCCGGAGTTGCCAAGATTACCTACTTAGTCTATGCCCAAAATGGACTAGTGCATTCATCCACGGATCATTCCCATCCTCGGGCGCGCTCCCTGCAATGGTGGCCGTTGCGTAAATACAATTCGCAAAAGATCAAGAACATGGAAAGCGACGAGTTTACGTTTCTTCGTCCAAGAGCTCGGTTTGAGCTGTGCTGATTCTCAATAATTATTCTGCTAATCCTTTACTAGCCAATCCTAACCGTGGGAAAATGTCAACCACCAAAACCGAAGGTTCTCCTGACGGCTCGCCTGATGTGTATCAGAGGGCACTTTTTCCAGATTTCCCGCCCCCGCCCTGTCCTCCACCCTTACCGCGCGCAGCTTGGCTGCTCGATTCCTTCACCCAATCACGGCTTCGACCGGCACTTTGTTGAATCCCCGAGTCCGGTTGAATGTCCGCCCTCCCTTCCATCATCGGAACGTCCTTAGGTGGTGAAGTCCCTTCCATCGACACGTCGCTGTGACTCCCACTATTCCGCTTCTCTCCACTCTCACCTTCTGGGGCAATCCGCCCCCCTTGCTTCTTTCTACCCTCACGTCTCAAAACTTTCTGACCGCCAATTGGATCGACCTGTCCAGCAGAATACCAGCCGTTTAGCTCCAACAAGATCATGTCGGTCCCCTGTCTCTGCTTCAAGAGACGTATCGTCGGCTCTAAATTCTTGCTGCTCAGCAGCATTGTGTCGTAGCCGTCGAATTGTTGAGATCCGGATCCGCCCCATTTTACCTTTAGGATCGCCTGCTCGTGCTGTACATTGGTGTCATTGGAGTCGCTGAGAAACATGTTTCTGAGATCGTGCGCAAGAACTTCGAAGAACTCTGACAAGGCGATGACCACCGGAAGGCACTCTACCGTCTTGCCTTGCGATTGAACGCCTACCATTACAGGCACAGTTCGGCTGAGGTAGTCTGTCCAACTAATTCTGCCGTCAGAAAGTTCTTCGGCTAGCCAGTTGGCCTTGACAGTGGCAAAGTCTCGTTGTTGATATGTTGAATGCGACATTTTGTCGGTGTTGGTCGGGAGTGTGACAAACGGTGGTTCTCTACTGGCAGTTCACGGATCCTTCTTTGCTACAACATATATAAACGACGAAGTAGGCAATGAGCTTAAGGCTTTCTCAACTGTCAAACACAGACACGTCACGATCAAGAGAAAGGAGACCAATCACCCAATGCGTTGGCAGGCAATCAAAACCCGTTGACGAAGACGCCCGGGATTCACTACGATATGGAACAGTGCTTTCGCATCACCTGACATACCCTCACCCTTGCTCCCAGTACCCCAACCCAAAGCAGCATCCTCGTCATTCCCATCACCCACCAACCCACAAGATGCAAACACCCACCTCCACTGCTGCTGCAGCAACCGCAACGTATTCTCCTCCATCAACCTTCTCGAACGTCGCGAAATGCATCCCGCTGCCCCTCCCTTCCCCCTCTCGATGGAGCAAAATGCGTTCGTCCGGATGCTGTACTTGATGGAACCGTTGGCGGCGGCGGCGATGATTGGCGTGCAGATGTTGCTGGCCTTTCGGGCGTTCTTGAGCTCGAGCGTGATGGAGAAGAAGGTGTGGAGGTGGTGGTTCTCTTGGGCTTTGGCGGTGGGCTTTTTGGAAGGGAAGAAGAGCCGCTGTTTTGACGGGTGGTCCATGGTTTGTAAGGGAGTCGGATTTGGAGGGCGTTGACTTACGTTGTTTGTTTGTTTGTTTGGGGGTTTGGTTGTCTTGTTGGGTGAGGTGTGGAGTGGACTGTCAAAAATCGAGGAAGGTGAGGTGGTCCGACTGATATGAGATCATCACGTGATATCAAACAAAGTCTGGAAGGGTTTGGGGGTTTTCGGACTCCCGGGCGGAAGTACCTAGGAGCCTGCAGATGAATCCCGGCTACGAAACATAACTCGGAAGCAGATACTCCTTCTTTGTTCGTCTAGGTACGTTACCGCGTCCTGTCTGGGACCTCCATTTCTGTCCAGGTTGTCTTGTGCTGGATCAGGTCTAGAGAGTCCGAACATGAGAATTAGACAATTCATTTCTCCCGCAAGGGCACTGCTTTTTATACGTCTAATCCATCCTAGTCAAGATCAATCCAGTAGGAAGAGTCGAGTTTTTCTTGTCACTACCCATAAACACATGCGCAAAAGCTTTGACATCCATCGTATCGCTATCACAATCCGCACCCTGACAACACCCCGAAATCTGCTACCTCAGCTCTGATCACCTCCCTTCCAACCACACCGACGCCTGCAGAGAAGCAGCCTCCCTTGCCCTCAGTCCTCTAGGATCCACTGCGCAGAGATCGTATCCACGCTTCCTTTCGCCTGCAACAGCCTCAGCATCGCACCGGTATCGTTCCCGAAGCAGTAACGCCCATCCGAACACCTGACTCGGAGCGTGGCCGCCTCATGATGCCTTTTTCCAACCAGCCTCTCCAGTTCTTCCTTAGGATCGGCAAAGCCTCCCTCCTCGATGCACATGACGACGGGGAAAGCGGCGTAGATGTTCTTTTGGTGCCGTCCGGCGATGGGGCTTCGAATTCGACGAGGATGGGAAAGGTGTAGGTGGGATACTCGGTGTATAGTACGTGATCTCTTCCACGGTGACGGCTTTGCGGCCTAGGGAAGCGTGGGCGGTGTGGTCGGGCTTCCTGGGAGCGTCGAGCCGAGAACCGGGATCGAAGATCTCCTTTGAGTGGCGAAGGAAGACGCGTTGCTGGTGTGATGGTTGGGTTGTAGAGGATGGTCGTGCGGTGAAGTTGAGTGTTGATGATGATAAGCAGCGATGGCAGACGTAGCTAGCTGCGGACGAGAACGCTAAGGGTGGCAAGGTAATGCAGGATGGGGAGAAGATGAACAGAGAGGGGAGATAGAGAAGGAATGGTCGGAGAAGAGGGGTAGGAAGGACATAAAATAGCCGACGTGATAGAGAACGGACGGCGATCAAACGTAGTCGCCAATGTCTTCGGCCTCTCGCTGCGAAAGACGTATCTCCGAACAGCGAAGTTGCAGTCAGGGCATGAATGAAACGCATCATGGAAATAAAAAGAGCAACTCTAGGGCGAGAGAGTGGTGTCATGCAAGTTTCAAACAGACTCTTCTGAAAACGTTCCTAAACTACAACATAAGCCTGCCGCCTCTTCCGCTTAGCCAAAGGGCCAAAAAATATACAGTAATCCGACCGCAGTCCGTGTGTGAGCAGCTCCCGAAACCGAAACCTCCACACTCAGCCCGATTGCTCTCCCCTCCCTTTCAACCTCCCACGCCACCCGGCGCCATCTCCAAGTGCACCACAATTTTATCAACCCCGCCCCTGGCCTTCAGCAGCCTCAGCACGCTCGTGGCGTCCCGGCCGAGATGGTAGTGTCCGCGTTCGAGGAAGACGTTGCCGCCGCAGAACACCACCTCCGTATCCCGGATCGGCCCCCACGGGATGTACATGCGGGCGAGATCGTCCGCGAGGTTCCAGTCGCTGACGTAGACGACGACGGGCTCCGTGATGACCAGGTGGGCGCCGCGCATGACCTCGACCATGATCGGAAAGGTGAGTTGGAGGTAGGTGGCGTCGTTGATGATGGCCCGCGTGACGGCGTAGGCGGCCAGGGAGGCTTTGATGGTGTGGAAGGGTTTGAGGAGGGATATGACCTCACGGGCCCTCACGATCTCGGCGAATATCGTATCCATGGCCGGGGAGGTCGGTGTGGAGGGATCGGGAGCGGCGCTGGGAGATTGGAGGGTGGAGCGGGATACTGATGGTTATGTGATGAAAGTTGGAAGATGCCGGAAATGATCGCTTTTGTTTTACACTGGCGGCTTCGATCTGTCCCGCTGCACCGCTTGGCCCACGGGGATGATTATGATCGAGAGGATGTTATCCTCGCATAATTTGATGGCATCAGTGACTGGAGGGTAAGGGATGCCGAAAGGTGAAGAGCTCAGAAGATGATTTCGGGCAAGAGGGTCAATGTGTAAACAATCATGCCAAGAGACTAAGCCGGAAATTGAGGGCACGATCGATCACGAGGGGAAGCTACGAACATCACTGTGTTGATGATGGGCATCAATGTCGTAGTTTAGGAATGTTTCTTTGAAAATTCAGACTCCTATGATGAGTATGGTTCACTTTGCAGCTTGTCTCTCGACAAGGCATCAAATCCGGCAAACAAATGTACGCATGATCAGTCCACCCCACCCTCTCGCTGATGCGTGCGAGGATTGATCTCGCCCTTGATTGAAAGCCAATCAAATTCTTTTCCTCCTTCTCGGTGTCCATTCTCCGATCCCATTTCTTTCGCCTGCCCTCCAGGCCCATCTCTCAGTAAGTGCGACTTGACCCTCGGATAGGGTGGTGGATGGTATGTTACCTCCCATACCCAGAGCTTCTCGTGTGTAGATTTCTTTTCTGAATCGCGATCGCGCTTGTCGAAGACGATTGCACCGGGTTCGAATAATGTTGGTGGCTTGGTATCTATTAGCTCAGCAAGTCGCTGGGATCTTTAGGTGGTCCTACCGTTTCCGACGATATGGGAGTGGTGCGAGTGCCGTGCCGGAGTTTGTCCAGCATCTTTGGAAGGTGCGGCGTGTTATTTTGTAATGACTTGTTGATGCTGGTTCACAAACACTACTGATGGTCAGTCGCTGATGAGCGTTTCTTGCTACTGGTCAACGTCAATAAATAGATTTTGGTAGGTGGGCGCGTGATTTGGTGGTAATGGGGATGGGAGAATATGGAGATCGTAGGTTGGGAGTGTGGTTTGGTAGCAATGAGAGCTGTGAAATATGGGGATGGTGATGGCGAAGAAGAAAGAGTGATGGAAGACAATGAAAGAAGGAAGAGGGGGAATAAGCGGTTAGAGAAGACGGGAAGTGAGACCTGTGTGGCAGAAGTGTTAAGGTAGGGCGGAAGTGTTATCGGGCGTATGATGAAAATCTAGCTAGGGTGCGGCCGCCTGCCAGCAACATGCAAGGATTGATCAGTCAAAATCAATCAAGTTCTCTACTTCAGGCTCGGTCTCCCTCAAGTCCTCCTCGGAAACCAAGCCCATATCTTTCGCCTTCTCTCCCGGCCCATCCTTCACGGAGTACGACAACGCCTTCTTTCTCTCACGGTGCGAACTCGCACTCTCGTAGGTTGGATCATACTTCATCTCCCATATCCAGAGCTTCTTACGCGTAGGTTCTCCTCTGGAATCAACGTCGCTCTTGTCATAGACGATGAGACCGCGGGAATAGATTGGTTGTGGCTGTGCCTTTGTGTCTTTTAGCACTGTAGATATACTTGGTACTTTGGGTGATCGTACTTCTGCTTGAGGTTTGAAAGGGTCGCTCCAGACGAAGGACATCTTTGGAAGGTATGGCGTATTCTGTTGTAATGAGTCGTTGATACTGGTTCACAGACACCGCTGATGGCAAGTCACTGATGATAGTGTTCTGATAGTTGGTTTGAGGGCAACGATTAGATTTTAGTAGACTAGGAACGTGGTGTGGCGGTTTTGACGAGTGTAGAATATGGGAAGGGTGATAGCGAAGAAGGAAGAAAGATGGAAGAGAGAAGCGGGGGGATAAGAAATTACAGAAGAGGGGTAGTGGAAGTGTTAGTGGTTAAGTGTCAAGGGCGTAAGTGTCAAGGGCGTAAATGTTAAGGACGTAAGTGGTATAGGGCCTTAGTGTGAAGGACGTAAAATAACGATGTAGGTGCAGCCGCCTCACCGCAATCTCTAAATTTAGAAGTGAACATGAAAAGATCCAGCCGTAATGATACTACGATGAGAACTGGGTTTTTAGCTGTAACGGAGTCACCTAGTAGTACCTACGTGCAAAGATTCGAGAAAGAACAAATGGAAGTAAATCCCCAAAGCGCGTCAATGGGTGATTATTTTGGACAGCGACCGAGATCCTGAGTCTGAAAATCATGCAACCAGATCGGAACGAGAAGAAAGCATAAATACAGAAGATTATGGTCTTTGAAGATGGCGCCTTGCAGAATCCATACCGAAAGTCAAAAGTCCCAACTCCTCCTCCCTTCCCACCTCCCATACATTCATCCTAACGCTTCTCGCTTCCATTGTTTGTACAGCGTATCCAATCCAACCTTAGCCTTCATCAAGCATAACGTAGAGTACAAGTTGTGCTCATGCGACTCGTACGCGCCCACTCGGTCCTTCATATAACACGCGACCGTAGGTCTCAAGGGTATCTCAGCGGTCGCGAAGACCCATGCCATAAGGGCTCGAGGTTCGCATACGTACTCAAGGTTTGCTGGGTGGGTGGGGGTTCGGGGCTCCTGTTCGTCTGTCACGGCATCTGGCATGTAGTTTAGGTGACGAAAGCACCCTGGTCGTTAATGATGGTCTGGTAACGTAGAGGTTGTCGAATTGGAGTATGGGTAGATTGGGGCGGCGTTTCCGATCGCAACGTCGGTGCTGGGATTGGGGATTGCACTAAGGAATTAAGATGTTCCTGTGATATGGAAAATAGTAACTGGTACGCGAATCAAATAAACATTGGTGGTGCCGATGGCGAAAGCAGTACGATGTGGACCAGCTATAGATATGGGAGAAAGTTGAGAGGGTATAGCCCGTGGAGCAGGCGCAGTGTGTAAGGACCTGGCTGCTTTTTCGGAAGATAGCTGTACAGCTTGCTCATGGTGCCATGCCCAAAGCCTCCTCTGACCTCTCGCCATCCCGTCAGCAGTGCCGACGTTATCACATCTGGGTTCCCACCCATCAGATATCAATCAACAACGGTATCTCCTCCCTCCACTCCTCCAAACAATCCTCGCGAACCGGATCCAAATCTTTCGCATCCTCACCGGGCCCATCTTTCAAAAACACCATCATCACTCCCCCAGGTTCGGGACTTGACGTATTCGCTTTCCCATACCCAAAGCTTCTTGCGTGTGGGACGGCCGTTGGAATCGCGGTCTTGCGTGCTGAAAACGGTGTGGCCACGGTTGTACATCGGGTCGAACTGTGTGTCTGTTAGCGAAAGGGCTTTTTTGGGCGGCACGGCACTCTTACCGCGGGCTCAATGGGCACAGGGGCGTTGCTCATGTTTGGAGATGGTTTTGCGTTTCGTGGTGACGGAGCCGTGTGCTGGGGGACTGTGGCTAAGCGAGTATGGCTGGTAGGCAGGTGATCGCTTTGATGGAAGCTCCTTGTTGTTGGCAAATTGATTTCTATTCTTTGGCGATGGATCTTCGAGCAGAGATGGTTGAGGAGAAACTATGGAAGGGGAGAGATTGCAAGGAATAGATGAAGAGAAGTGTTAAGAAGAGGGGAAGCAATTTGCAGGTTAAAAAAAGAGAGAACACTAAGCGTAACGTAGGGCTTGGGCAATGAAAAATATCTGAAACAACGTTATGTGGGGTTATAAGGCTGCCAATAAGTGTTATGGAGGTCGACTGCCTTCGGATTGATGCTACCGTCGGAAGGCTAGCGCCCAATGAAGAAGACGGAACCGTGAGATTGGCACCTCAGCCAGTAAAACGTGAGTTGGCTGGGATAACGATTGATGATACCTGAAATCTCTTCCCCATCCTTTCAAAATCTCTTGCAAAGCTTCTGGCTTGATCCTCGCCTTCATAAGCACTAAGTCTGAATCTGGCTTGGTGTATGTCTGACCAGCCCCAGTCCGCATCTCAAACCTTGGTTGATGTATGTAACGATATGTTATTCCTGAAACTAGATTATATGGGTGAGTCAAGCCCCTTCACCGGTATCTATTGGCCCACACTCTCCTCGAGATCGTCTTCGAAGTCTTCCCCGAGATCCTTCTCGAGATCGTCCTCAAGATCCTGCTCGAGATCCCGCTCAAGATCCTCCTCGCTAGCCCAGCCCATGACTTTCGCCTCCTCTCCAGGTCCATCTCTCAGAGAGTACGAGATACACCCATATAAGGGATCATACTTGCTCTCCCATATCCAGTACATCTTGCGTGTAGGTTTGCCCCTGAAATAAAGATTGGTTTCAATGAAGACAATCTGACCACGGCCGTAAAGAGGTTGCGGCTATGGGTCTGTCAGCACTGCAAAGATTCAGAACCCAAGGGTAATCATACTATTTCTGAGGTTTCTGAAAGATCGCTCAAGGGTTCCGACATTTTTGGACTATAGGACGGGTTTTTTGACAGGATAGTATTTATAGTACGAGTTGACAGGCATAGGTTTAGTAGACCGGAACGTGGGTTTGGCGGATGCAAGGGTGACAATTTATGGCAGATGATAATATGAAGAGGACATGACAAAGAGAGGATATATTTAGGTACATGTGAAGCTCGATCGAGATCATTAATATAGGAGTAATATGGTTCCTAAAGTGATAACGGTCACCGAAGTAAGGATTAGCCTACAGCCTCGAGAGTCTGGACCAGGGTACCGACATGTGCACTTGCCAGGAGCGAAGATGATGAAATTTGCCGAAGGCATGCACTCCAAAGGGTCTAAAGGATATGAGAAGTCAGCTATGAAGTCTTTCGGAAGGTCATCTGTGTGCTTACCTAATCCAGGTCTGTGAGTCCAGACCATTTGGGATGAGTGCAAACTTACATAACTTTGATCCGGCCGTTGCTTGTTGTATGTGACGGTATTCCTTGAGCGAGATCATTGGTCTTCCTTTGGCAGTGTTGATCTTGCGTTTATACGGCAATGCTGGGATTCGGAGAAGGAGCGGGGCTAACCACGAATTTGTATCTAGGGACACTCGAAGAGGCAGGAAGAGTAGAGTCGATTGCTGCGGCATCCAGCTCATCAACCAGCCAACATCGTGCATTTCAAGATTCTCTTGTACTGCCACGTGTATTCGCAAGAAGTCAGTCGAACTATGCACATGTTTACTGCCGATCATTCAGGAAGCAACGCACGTCGCGGAAAATTGGGTCTGAGTTGATTCCAGGACCACATTCCTTTTCCGACTAGAACTGCACAAAAGGCTGATGAGGGATCTGCGATTCAATTTGCTCAGGCCTTCGGCTACAATGAAAGCCAGTACCGGTCAACACAGACTTGGAACTAGATAACTTCTCAAGGTAGCAGTATAAACAAGAAAGAGTAAGCTCTAAAATTACCATCGCGCCTCATTGTACGAGTAGATGTTAGCATGATCTGAACTTACCTAATTAACTTGCAAGCGAGTCGCCCACTACTTCCCTTAAACAAGCTTCTCGCTTATCCATCGGCGGCCCCGGCCGTACCGCTGCGTTTTTGGCGGCGTTGGCGCTTCTCCCCCTGAGTGCAAACCTTCGCTTCATCACCATTGGATTCGATGGCTGCATGTGCACTAAGGCCTCAGCTGCAGCTGCATTAGTGCTGGTGATAATAGCCAAACCGGTCTAAGGCTGACGCCTGTAGTCGAGCCGAGATTGTAGGTACTAGGCTGAAGAAATACGCCATTTACGCAGGAGGCGGCTTACATGCAGGTCGTTCTTTGGGGAAGTCACCTCTGAGTTACGGCTTCTAGGCTCTCAAGGTAATCAATATGGCAGGTGCCTTTGGGGCAAAATCCGGCAATTCATTGACTTGGCAGGCTTGACTCTACATGATCCCGCCAAGTGTTTAAGTCTCGGAGGCCATCAGTCTGATCAATCGAATCGGCAAAAACCCTCTGAATTAAGTCGCTCCAAAGCGTGAAAGGCCGTCAATTGGCATCTTCCATTGGGAGTACCCCACAAAGTCTTAGAAAATTGAGAGTTTAAGAGCCCCATTTGGCACTTTGTATGAGGATTTCCCCATGGACCTGTAACAAATTGACGACCTTCAAGCTTCAGAAGTTAATGTTTTTGGTGAAGAATCCAAGCATTGGCCGCAAGTCTTTGATTAACCAGGATTCGGGAGCCGATAAACCCGACAAGTGACTTGGGGATTGGCCTAAGTCTTTGACGAATCTGTTAGAATATCAGGTATGTGTTGTGTAGAACAGATGGATTGATTCTCCAAAACCTCTCCGGGGCCAGGTCCTAAGTACAGTACAAAATCAGGTGGCTGGGAAACACGGTGGCTGGGAAGCGTGGGGGCCAAATTCGACATGCCCCTGCATCAAATTTCGACCGAATCTTAGAGCCTTAGAGCCTATAGGTTAATCCACCAGTCTCGGAAACAGTTGCTACTTTAATATCTTCCCCGCACTCCCTGATGATCATGACCTAGAAAGGTAACTTGGCGCCAAATTATGCAACTACACCGGCGATTCTCCAGAAAATCCAGCACTAAATCATTGCAACCTACCTAAATATATGACGAGGATATGCTTACGTGCATAAGACCGTTTTTCGACCAGGTTCTGGCTCGTAGGATTTCACTGATTGCTCACTAACTCTGGGCGCTTTCACCTTCTCTTCGACAAATTTATTATTTGAAACCTCCAATCCCGACACTCATCCCTACCCACTCAAAACCAAACAATTTCTGACACGCACAACAAGTGGTGTCAGGAACAACAGCTCCTAACACTTCTCTTCTAATTTCCAACGGGTTAGACTCTGGACCCTGGACTAGGTAAGTACTCATAGAAGCGTCATAGGCAAACACAGCTGACCCGTCATATCGACTCTAATGTTAAACACTAGCCCCCCATTCTCGCCTGCTCGTTCAGTCGATCTGACAGGGTACGATCGTTCTTCCACAGCCCGGCTTGCGGGGTGGGACCATCGCAAGCAGTGGGTTAGCTGGTCTACGCGTTGTTTTTTGGGGGTTTCATGGTAGAGAGGAGCAAGAATGGAAGCGTTTGGTCTGACATCTCCACTGGAGAAATGTATAGAAAAGGGAGGGGGTGGTGATTGGGAAGGCAGGGCGCTGGGGTCTCTAGAGGATTCTGAGTGGCCCTTATCGCGGCTTTAATTCTTATACCATAGCCATTCACAAAGCTTGACCGTTCGAATTTTCACTCATTCGCATGCCTCTCATGACTTGCAGAAACCCTTCGTGCCAAGACACCCTCCGCAATGCCTCCCCGTAGAGCCTCTAACACTAAGGTAACTTACTGAGCACGGGCGCAATTCTACAGAATGTTTCTGTGGCTCCGTGGGAGGTAGTCCCTTAACCTTTGCGCTTTCTGGGGGGCCGCCCGTAAGACAACCTAGCAAAAGTTATGCATAGGGGCGAGTGTTCCGAATGAAGTCCCACAGTTCAGGCGCGGTGCCAGAAAAACAAATGACCCCGTTCACGAACTTTTCCTACCCCTTTTGTCGACGTGTAAGGGAATTCATCGTTGAAGTTCTATAGGTGTGGCGCAGTGTTGGGAGGGATGAGCCTGGTCACATCTGATAGCCATTTATCGATAGAGTCGATTTGTTCAGATCGAAGCCGACGAAAGAAATGCGTAAATGAAAAGAAAGAGAGCTTTCTCGTGCTGGAAATTGGAATTAACTCTCTACGCATGACTTTTGCAACACTGTCTTACAACAAAGCGTGACAATGACACCAGGTGAAGAGCATCTGGGAGGCAGATTTTGGCTCATGAGCCAGCTCTACGCCTATGTACAAAGGAATCAACCGTCTCGGGGGTAATCGCAACTAATAGGCGAAGATTTCTACTTTGGCGCAGGAGATGGATGGAAAAGCCACATACTCAGGCTCGTATCGTATAGTTCAATCCTTATACCCCAATATATCCTGTCAACGAAGAACTGCTCGTGCGACGGCGAGGCTGGCTCACGCTGAAAATAGTGCGCAGCGATCCCGAATCCTTCAGCCTTCTGAGAATTCCTCCTCCGGTATTTGCACAGCCGAGCGCTTACCCGAGAACCATCATCATATACACCATACGCACGTCGCACTCGGTGTTCGCATTTGTATCTGAAACAAAAACCAAGTTCCTTCTCTGGCTGTGCGAGATCTGTGATCCGCACAGCCAGAGTAAGAATGCCTCCGGGAATCGTACTCTCTACATAAAGGGGACGAAGACATCTCTACCACTCATCAATCCGTCTCCAAAAGCTCCAGCATCTGTAACGAAATCAATGACCACAATGAATACATCGGCATCATACCTCCAAGTCCCGGCCCGCGGGCGTGGCCTCGCTCTCGGTTTCCGCATCGTTATACTCGTCCTCGACTTCGTAACCTTAGTCGCCCTCTCTATCTCCCTCGGTCTCTACCACAAATGGATCCCCAGCACCTCCTACCCCACAACGGCCCTCAAACCAAGCAAGCATACGGACTGGACGGACCCAATTGTCCTTGCTGCCGTCCTGGTCTCTTTCATGTGGACTAGCTTCATCACTATCCGCCCGGCCTGGACGAGCAAGGCGCTTCATTTGGGGTATTATGTCGCTTTCGAAGTCATATGTTTGGTGTGGCTGTTGGCATGTACGATTCCAGCATTGACGTTGAGGGAGTCTGGTTTCAAGGATCTGGTCGCGATCAGCAACACTTGCGATATGGGCAGCGTGACGCTTATGAATGGGGATAAGGTGCCGTGGGTGTGCATGCCGCATTTGAATACCCTGAAGAAATTGCAGGTTGCTACTTACTCCGTTGCATGTGCTGTCGCGTAAGTCCTTCCGTTCCTCATGAGTGGTTACCAATGCCAACACGTGCCATGTGCAGCGTCCTCCACTTCACCCTCTTCGCCCTCGCCTGCCACTCAAAAACGCACCTCCCCCAAGCCTCCGCACCCTCTCACTCCATCGACAACACTCCCAACCAGCAAACCATCGCCCACGAAACCCAAGACCCCACCACCAGAGGGAGTGAGTCCGACTCCACATCTCCGCCCCGAACCGTAGCAGTTGCGGAAATCTAAACATAGCCCTTTCGCCCAGGGTTTTCCGCCGCCGACTTCGGGATCGTCCGTTTCCTGCACCGCGGAGAAGTTGCCGTGCTGGAACCACGGCCGCTGCCTCGACCGCACTCGCCCGTGCCGTCACCGCTCGCCTGCAGGTCAGGCGCTTTTGTCACGACTTTGGCCGCGTTTCGGAATTCGGCGCATGAGGTTTCATCGTCTTAATTGACATCATCATCATCCTCTTGACGAGGATCGAGGATCAGAATGGGAATGGGAATGCTGTTGCGGGCCAATGGCTTGGTTTCGTCTTGTATAGTATTACGCACATACTGTCTTGTTGTTGCAGTTGAGCGATTTTAGCGTGGCGTTTTGGAATATTCGCCACAGCTTGACTGGGGGCTAGTGAGGGAGAGGCACAGCACACACTTATGGCAGGATAGCCGAGATTGCCATGTTGGAAGAGCCTTGAATAGGCGGTGTCCCCCCGTTTCTTGCTCTTCATTCTTGTTCCTCTCGTCGCAAGAAGAGGTTTTTTGGACTTTTCCCACCCACCCGCGCCTTGTTTTTTAGCGTTTTCTTGTACTTAGACTCCAGGTCTTCTACCTTACGTAGAGGGAGTTTTCCTAGGGCTGAGCTGCATAGTGGACCGCTGTCTGCGTGCGGCTGGGCCTTAGGACCCAGCCAATCATCATTTAGAACTCATTTGTGCGTGTAGTTTTCATGGGACGTTACGCGAGACAGCACTAGTTGGGTTATGTTGGCAGGGTCGGTGCGGGAGTGGACCGAGGAATGTATGGTTGGGATGGAGATGGTGTATGTATTTTTGCTTTCTTGTACATGAGGTGATTCTGTTTCGATATATAGCTTTTGAGGTCGGGCGTTTGTATATACATACTCTTGGCAGGTATTCAATCTATGCTTGCTCAGTGCACGCTCTATTGGCCTGTGTCGATCACGGTCACAGGAATGCAGCAATTCGCAGCATGCATGTTATTCATGCCTGTGTCGATCAGGGTAAAGTGGGCAAGGTCGATCAGGGCAAAAAAGCGGTGATGCGGGCCCTCGCCGCTACGGCACGTACGGAACCACTCCTTGGGACAAGCAATGGTAAGTTGCCGAGCTTGAAACAGGGGCACTTGAACACAATGTGCAATTTCACCGATCAGCTATAAGTTGATGTTGTTATGAGAAAAGCGTTGTGCTCATGAGTCTTGTGTTAATGGAGCTACTAAGCCTACGTAAAAGCCTTCACTAGACTCTCGAGAGCAAAGCCATTTTCCATTTCCGGAATGTTGCTTCCACGCAAGCTAATTCCCGCTATGCCAGTATCCATCAGCCGTTGCAATCATTTCTTGCCGAAGATAGTACCCCTTTGGCTCATGTGAGAAAGATTAGGCAGGTGTTCGCAAGAGGCTATGCCTACTTGTTGGCGTAGACGTCCGACTTGGTCTGTACAAAGGCCGTGTTAGCAGGAGTACGATCCATCAAGGGAGTAAGAGAAAGAATAACGGGACGTACGTCGTGCTTCTTTTCGTCGATCTTGTCAGAGGCTGCGTCTTTGGCGGCGGTGAGACGCGTGGTAGCGTTCGCGTCGGTGTGGCCCTTTGCGACCTCTGGGGGACCGTGTCAGCGACGAGTAGAGGAAACAGAAGCAAGAGGTTGAAGCTTACCCTCGTTACCCTGCTTGGAAGTTCCAGACATGGCACCCTGGACAGACTCGGAGGCCTGGTTGACAGTGTTCCTGGAAACCAAGCAGATCAGTAAACAGGATTTAGGCAGCCGGCAAGGGGAGCTGAGGGGCAGGCGGAGCGGGCGGGGCTCACTTGATTGTGTCCATTGTGAATGTTTGGTTGTTGGAGATAGGTGTGACTGATTGTGTGGATGTGTGATTTGCTTTGATGTCTGAGGTCTGAGGATTGCAGATGTGAGTGATGATTGTGTAGCAAAAAGGCAGCGGTGGTAAAAAGGACGTGGGTATTTATACCAAAGAAACCACTAGCCGGTACGTCATGGGTGAAACATCCCCTCGATCACCTGATGACGTCTTAACATAGCCTAACCATCTATGGTAAAGTGTGGTGTACAGCAGCCGACGGTAACCGTTCCATGCAAGGAGGAATGAAGTTGCTTAGTCACTAGCAGCTGCACAACATGCATTACTTGCATAAGGGATTTTGGGACATTGGAGCATAAGGTAATCAGTGACTCGAACAAACCAGGTCCTGCTGCAGCCCGCCAAAACCCCAGAAGTCGTATATACTATCGCTTTCAACATGGTAGAAAAGGTCTACGTGACCTACAACCAGGTAAGAATTCCCAATGGCTACGCCCTACAATCGACTGCTCAACGGCTCCGCTCCCGAACAATGGACAAGGCTAACAAGCTCTTACAGGTACACAAGTTATGTCAAGCCTCGGCCTCCCATATCCTCTCCTCCTTCCAACCGAACCTCATGATCGCCATCGGCGGCGGCGGCTACGTCCCCGCCCGAATCCTCCGCTCCTTCCTCAAACGCCCCGGCAGCCCCAACATCCCCATCCAAGCAATCGGTCTCTCCCTCTACGAAACCCTCTCCAGTTCAGATCCGGTTGAGCAGCTCGGTACGAAAGTTACAAGGACGCAATGGCTGGATCTGTCGAGCTTGGAGATGAGCAATTTGGTGGGGAAGAACGTGTTGATTGTGGATGAGGTGGATGATACGAGGACGACGTTGGAATATGCGGTTAGGGAATTGGAGAAGGATGTGGAGGCTGCGAGTGAGAAATTAGGGAGAAGTGGGGAGAAGACGCGGTTTTGTGTTTTTGTGCTACATGTAAGTGCTCAGACCTTCTCTGCCGGGGAACGACGGAGACGGAGAGGTAGGGCTGGCTAATTGCGGGTCACAGAACAAGGACAAGACGAAGAAAGGGAATTTGCCGCAGCAAATGATGGATGAGGGTAGGTATCTGGCTGCCAATACAGTGGGAGACGTTTGGATATGCTATCCTTGGGAAGCTACGTATGTCCCCTTGCTCTTTTTCTTTCTTCCAAGAGAGCTAACACGTCCGCTAGTGATATCGACGAGCACGATCAGTTAGCTGCTTCTCAACCAGTAATAGAACATTAATGAGTCACGCGAAATGAAACTAGCGCTGCAGACCGGATCACGTGTGAAAGCTCTCGAATTTTCGAATGTCCCTAGGCCTATTCGTTAGTAGATTTGGGAAGTGAGGTGCTAAAATGCTAAAAGCGAGGTCGGCTTCGTTATCTGATTTCCTACCTTCGCTCTCACCATCACCAATTATCGTAGCCCCCAGACTCGAAAATCTCGCACTTGTCAGCCATTAACACTGAGAGCTGTCACTCGCTCAGATTTTCTTCAAGACAAAGTTGGGTGGGGCTCCTTTACGGATGCATGCGTCAACACTTCTCAAACCCACAACGCTTTCTCACAGATTTGCTTCCACCTCACCATCACGGTTTCCTTCCACACCTAGAACAACCTCATTATTGATCAGCAACCTCCGATCTGATCTTCTACCTCGGTAATAGCACCCCAAAGTGCTATCACCTCAAAGCGAGCTCACGATCGAAATCACAATTCTTCGAGCCAATTCAAGCCAAGGCAAGCCAACGCCCTTCCGACTCTCGGTCGGAAATCCACGACTCATCGTTACTGACTCTGCTGGTACAGATGTTGACCCACGCCCGCGTTCTCGAAATGAACATCACCTGTTGCAAGATCCTACGAGCAAGGTTCCAACCCCAGCATGACTCAGAAGCACTTGCGAGATTTGAGACCGTAATCACGCTTTGCACAAAGTGGCTGGATGCCATGGAGAAGGTGGGCTAGGACGTCTCCCCCGGTGGATCCGGTCCTAGGCTGACTGCTCCCAGCACGGAAGCTGCACCATCATCCCAGACACCGGCAAATGCGTCACCTGCAAGCTCTCATTCTCGACGACCCGAGACCGCACAGACGAGATCGTCCACTGCTGTTTCAGCCGCGCTCACACCCAGTGCTTGGAGACCTCCGCTCCCGACTACAGTCGCAAAGACTTGACCACCACTTGCGGCAACTGTTCGGGGACATTGACGGAAGAGGTCTATGAGCGCATTGAAAAATATGCTGATTTGTGCGTGCCACGGGAGAGTCGAGGATTGGTCAAGAATGTCAATTGGGCGGCACATCTGCAGAGTATGGGGTTGGATTTGGGTCGGCTTGCTTCTTGATGGGCTAGGCGGAGGAGCAAAAGGGGAGGTAGTGTGTGTGGCTAGAGCTCGTATTTGGACACAAGTAGCTGGACCGGAACGTGCCAGCTTAAGAGTGGATGTCTATCTTTCTGTGTAGATACACTATGGAGGTGTGAGCTCCTTTTTGAAAGACCTAGCGAACTGACTCCTTTCTGAAATATTTCGCTGGGACCTTCGAATGCATGACTTGTGCCAAATTATAAGAAAATCTCCCCAGCCTCGGCCACTACCAGGCCTAGGGTGAGCGCCGATCGACGTATATGGGGAGCCTTGCACTCAACAACAAGAAGCCTAGAAGAGAGCAGTCAACACCCGTCTTCACTCATTCCGGCAAACTTTGTGAGCATATGCAGCAAGGCTGAAGATTCACATACATGCAGTCGTAGGCTTTTAAGGCGGGGGCATCGACGCCGATGCACATCCTTCCTTTGCTTTCTTTTCCTTCATCAGCATTGAGTCTATTGTTTTCCACCGCACGGGGGTTCATCACCCTCGGCTCCAGATGGAACGACGCAAAGGGCATATTCTTCAGGTAGCTGCCAGACGCCGTGAACTTTTCGGTCCTTAGCTCCAAAGGTAGACCTTGGAAGCCCGCTCAGTTTTCGAAAGTCTCCTTTGGTAACGGAATCAGGTCCAACCCCCACTCCTCTTGCAACCAATGCGGGAACGTTGGAGGACTCCTGCTCTTTTTCTTTCCGTCGAGGTTTTTGGTAAGAATAAAACTTGAAGAGCATAAAATGGAGCTTCTCACTGCGACTCAAAATCTGTGCCGGTACATGATCGATTCGAGTCCAGTCCCAATCATCTCCATCAACGAATTTCTTTCCTTTCGTAGTTTTAAACACAAAATCTGACTTGTGCTTGATGAACTTTTCAACTTCGCGTGGACCCATGTAGTCAAGGACTTCGACAACATCTCCAGTTTGAGGTCTCCAGTCGATAGTCCTAACAACCATACACAAAGCCTTTGCCGTCGCTGCAGTCTTCAGGGGCGTATTGGCGAGCACTGCGCTTTGATAAATGGCACTGAGACCTCTCCGAATATCCGACGCGGGGAAAAGAAGAACAAATACTAGGGCCAAACAAGATGACAGCGCCGGTTCGCCAGGCACCGATTTGACAGTGGCAGCATGGGCGACGGAATTGGCGAGGAAGAACGTTGCAATGTCCGTCCACTTAGACAAACTACAAAGTAGCTTCGGGTTGCCGTGGTTGCTCGTACCTTGTGCTACCGTGATCGTGACATTTTGAGTTGACGGGGACATGGTAGGTGCGCATGCTGATTGAGGAAACGAAGCCAAGAGCACGCTCCAAAATAAGAGGGATACGGTCGAGGTACAGCATCCCGTAAGACGGTAGTTCCAGGTAGTCGTCATTGTCTACTATGGACAGTGCCCCAGCTTGCAACATCAGTTGTTGGTGCCATGGAAGATGGGGTGATTCATAATGTTGACAGCCTTGCGATGCGATACAACATAATTTTAGAACTACCTGCAGGACTATGGTGCTTCATTGTCCAATCATAGCCATCCATTCTACCGCTGAAATTTCCTGCATACCGAGAACACTGCTCATTTCTCGACTGACCAGTATTTACTGGTATAGCGTTGTTGTGACTTTTAGTTCTTATCCATTTATCAAGACTCTGCCCAATAGAAGACGGCGTGCCGTCGCAACACGCTAAATACCCGGTTTGAGGAATGTGTCAACTGACTCAATTCCAACCTTAACTACGTCACGGGAAACATTCAGTTGAATAAAGAGTTCTGAAAGTGGTGGAAGCACCATTTGCAAGGAAGCAATTGAATCTTAGAAGCATCTGGAAAGGGAATGCAAGTTCCTCTTCCCTCACCATATGCTTGCATAGCATACCAGAGACTCGAGCGCCAGTACCGCAAGACAAGTGCTCTGGAACAGGTTCAAGCCGGAACGATATCAGAATGCTTTGGACCGACTTTTGCGCGTCGGCTGGAGAAATTACAAAATCGCCGACACAGACAAGACGAGGGCAATATCTGAGAGAATGACCACGTACCAAGAGTGCATTCCCGCAAGGTGTAGAGCCAGAAGTGTGAAAGCCACGGGAACAAAGCGGCTGATCGAAACACTACCGATGAGGCTGTAATTGTTGAACAACCCTTGCAGAGTGGCCGTGCCATCATTCAAGGTTCCTTGTCTTACAACAATGTTGGCTGCGATTTCGATAGCAAGTATGAAGAAGCATTGCGCTTTGTGGAATTCAACCACTGCAGACTTGATGGCAGGCGAATACGCACACAAGTGCGCCTGCAGGATAGAGGCTTTGCGCTTAATGTAGCTTATTTGGTCCAATAGGGCATTTGAAGCCGAATTGCTAAAAGGCGTAATAGAAGAAGATACACCATCAGTAGAATTGGTTCTCACACAATTTCAGTGGGACGGAAATAGAGAGAGCAATACCACTCTGCATCCAGTAGGGTATATATACCTATTCATTAAAAGGGGCTCTTTATCAGTGGAGGAGCGTCTCCATGTCTTACGCCAATGCCACCAATGTCTGCATTCAAGATTTTAAATCGGAACGGCGGGAGTTTGGTTCACATTCTCAACTATATAGAGATACCATGGCTGGTGTCCGACCATAATCGAATCCTCCTCTAACCACACTTGTATTGTCCGAGTCACATTGCTGGCTAGGCTTTGAAAGCCAGGGTTCGTGGTGTTGATCGCGAATCTGCCTGCAATCTCTACAGACCTCTCACTCGGGTTGGCGCCGCCTAAGCTTTGGAGGACGGGATTTGGAGCAAGCGCCGACAGTACCTTGCAGTTCTGCAACGTGTATGGATCCCAAGATATCTGAAAAGGATCTTGGCGGGCGGTGGAACAGCCTTGGCTTTCGTTGACTTGCTTCACCCGCACTCTGGATACCAAATGTGGTGCTACTGCTTAAGGAAATGCTGAACTCGATAGAATACATATTGAATGCAGAAGATAAGCGGCCGAGAACTAAGATTGATACGTGACGACAGAAGAAGAATCGAACAGAATGGTAAATCACGTACTATGTGTCGAAACATCTGGGCCGCAAGTGATCAGGCTGAAGGCAAAGCCTCAACGGCACATGCAGGGCCAAATTTCTGTTTCATGCCCAAAACTGTGGAATCCTTACCGAATCATACCCCTACACGAAACTCAGAGGTATGATTCGGTAAAATGCCAATTCTTGCTGCTGCCCTGGACGGTCTACACGGATGGCTATGGGAGTTGAACAAGTAGATCTTAAGTGCTCCCAAAGTCCCCCAAAACAGCAACTACCCTTGCCATTGGGGTGGTTGGTATTAATGAAACGTCACCATGAAAGTTGTTACTAACAGGTCTCGGCGGCGGTAGAATGTTAAGCCGATAGGGCTATGAATAGTGGTTCTAATTCGCCCAGGTCGGCCAATGCCAAGCCCGGAGATTAGAAGTCCCTTATAGAGGTCTACACCGAAAGTCCTGCACATACGCTAAAACTCTTGGCATTCTTAGTATTCTCTGGTAATTTAATAAATTTTTTAAATAGTTTTATTTTTCTTAATAATTTTTTATATATCTACGTATATATTTATTAGCTCGCTTATTTAAATTATATAACTATATATTCTCTTTAAATCGACCTTTCTTATACTTATTATTATCTTTTAAATAAATAACTTTAATAATATATCTAGATATATATTCTATTTACTTCTAAATTCTCTCTTATAAAAACTTATATTTTTAATAATAAATCTATCGCTTTTTAATCTCTTTTTAAATTTTTAATAGATTATTTCGAGTAATATATTATTTTATCTAAGATTAATATAATTTAATATAATTTAAATTTAACGAGTTTTTATATTATAGTAGTTTAAGTATATCTATAAATATAAAGATTAGTTTTTAAAACTTTAAGATATAAGTTAAGATTTTATCTTTTATAATTACTATATTAAATCTATTCTCTTTATATTTCTAGATAAATTTTAAAAGTAATAGAAGAAGAATTTATATCTAATTAATAAAAGAAGTTAAAGAATTTAGAGAAATATATATAAATAGATCTTCTTCTAATAGCGATATTAGTTAATTCTCTCTTTCTTTTCTATAATAATAACTTTTTTAATTTCTACTATAAACCTTTATTAAGGCTTCACGTTAGAAAGATTACGTAAATTTATATATCTTATATTAATCTAAAGTTCTTACTATAATTTAATTTTAAGCTTTAAAATCTTATTAATAGTAGCTAGTTTCTAAATATATTCGTTCTTTTTAATTATTATTTCGATCTTTTAAATATAATATAAACTCTTTTTATTATATAAGAAATATTCTTAAAATATAAACTCTATAATATTTATAAAATAATATTAAATAATAAATTTAATATAAATCTTATCGAGCTAATATTATTATTATATTTATTTTTATTAAGAGTTTAAAATTATATTAATTTTATTAATCTAGATAATATTCTTTTAATTCTCTATAGTTTAGTTTTTATATTATAAAGCGAATTAATAATAAGCTTTTATTTAGATTATCGAAAGAGGCGGTTTTTTAATAATTTTAATTAACTAAAAATTATTATATTTAAATATTTATAAAATTATTATTAAAAAGATTTCTTATTTAGTAATTAATATAAAAAAGATTTTTTTATAATTATAACGATTCTTTTATATAGCGATTAAAATAATACTTTTAAACTTAAGCGTAATAATAGAGAGTTATTTAGATTTAAGAATATCGAATATATATAATAATAATAACTTTTTAAATATAATAAAATTATATTCTTTATTATAAATTTATTATTTTAAATAAATAATAATTTAATAAGAGACTTCTATAATAGTTATAATAATCTTCGCTATAATATTATATTTAATTAAAATAAATATCTAAAATTTAATTTTATTATTATAATTAATACTCTAAATATTAGATATATTAGAATTAAAAAGTAATAAGAAGATATTCACTTATTATACTAAATATATATTAAATATATATTAAAATTCTTTATATTCTTCTTCTATTTTTCTATTTTCTTATTAATATAAGTATATATAATATTAATATTATTACTATCGCTATAATATATATAGTAATATTATAATTATATACTTCGTATATATATAGTAATATCGCTATTATATATTATATATATATATATTATATATAATAAGTATTAATATCGCTACTATATAAAGTATTAATATTTAAGATATTAAGAATATTTACCAAGAATACTAAGAATATCAAGAGTTTTAGCGTATATGCAGGATTTTCGATGCAGACCTCTATACTCGTATCTCTAATCTTGGCCAAACCTTTTCGCCAACAGCAATATGTTCCCCTCCGCTTGTCCATTGAAGCTCTACTTGATGAAGAATCCCATGTTGCTTCTCAATTGGCGGTCCACGTCAAACAAGACGCTGCTCAAATTCCGGCAGCTATTACCTGTATTCCGCCTCCCCAAGACTTCGCTCACTACCTGTACCAACCATTGGCGATCCTCTGCCTTGTTTTGGATTGTCTTTGCCAGTATCAAGATCCAGGGACCTCGTCTTGCCTCTATCTCGGGTTTTGTACTCGACACATCGATCTGTCCCACGTCACTTCGCTCTCCGGCCGACCTGACGCCTTGGGGAAGGCAAGCAGACTCAGGCGCGACGATCTCCGTGAGTTTGGGCTGTTAGTAAGCGGATGCCGTGTCCCCGCCTCATCGAGACCGCAGAACGATCGACTTCCTCCCAGCGTAGGGACTGCTGGCTGTCTGATCGGTCGACTAAAGTTGGGTTGACTCCCATATCCCGTCGCTCTCCTCACATCGCCTTGAGCGTCGCGGTTGGGCAAGGTGTAAGGTACGGCTGCGGAATTGAGTCTGAAGATCGCTTAGAGTGGTTGCAACGAGGAGTTGCATCGTTGAATGCCTAACCAGGACTTCGAGCACCGGCGGTTGCATTCGGGGACAGATCACTTATATTTCCCTCGCTGCTTCTCTGCGTCGTTCTCTAGGAATCCCACTAGTATTGGGTTTTCATCTGCAAAGCCCAAAGTTCTTGCTGGACTTCATCAACGCTTGGAAACCTGTGTTTTGCATTCCGAATCACCGCCTTATTGACCGCCTATACCATTGAGATTTTCATGGAACTGATCTCTCGTACTGTCTTGCGCCAAGCTTTGCGATGCCTATCTAGGGTCTCGCAAGCATTGTGAAAACGCCATGATTGGGGCCAAGAAACAGAGTTGGAGTTGTTGCCACATTCTGGTGCCTCAAAGGGTGATACGATTGATGTGGTAAATACGGTGATCGAGGACGCTTTCGCCCTTCTGGGATAGGTTCACTATCCCCGAGTCCTTCGATGGACCCGAGTTCCGCCCAGCGCGCTTTTCCCCCCAAAAAAGATGTCCAGTGTATCAAGCTTCAAGCAAGCCTAAGTCTGCACTCCGTGGTTTGTCTTGGTAGAAGAGACACCTTGAATTCGGATTGTGCATACGAGAAGAGCGCAGGTGGGGATTGTCCACCAAATCTGGGCTTCCTAGTCTCCTCCCTGAAGCTTCGCTGATTCCAGGGGAGCTCTCCTAGACAGGGGAGAATCTAGGATTCCTGTTCCCAATTCTTCCGAAACCGTGACCTTTTGCGGCATGGCAGATAGCAGACTTCTCGTTAAACCTTGATTAGAGGGAGGTAAGTGAGTATACTTTGAGTGGTCAAAAGGTTTTGCTCCTATGCACTGCACTGCCTTTTCTTTCGCCACGATTAGCACCGACGAGAATTAACACGTATTAAACAGAACACGGGGATTCTTGCATGAAAGGGGGTCTGTTATGGATATCTGTGCACTATCCATATGTCCATGCTCCGAATGATCGATGCACGATCTCAATTCCCATAATCTTTTGCGTTCCATCTCCTGCAACGCTCGCTAGGCAATACGTTTCAGAGCATTCTATTCACCAGTAACCCCAATCTTTTATCTAAAATCCAGCTCTTCCATTGTCGAACCAAACGAGCGGTCTTAAGAGAAACCGTCTTTGACGATCTCGTCAAAATGGAGAGGGTAGAGAGATGCTGCTAGGTGCGCGCCTTGTCTTGTTGCGCTATATCATATACTACTCAGCTTGCTATGGCAGGACAGTGTGACTGGCCAAACTTACAGCAGTATACGAGAGGGTGATACGCTTATGGAGGTCACCTACTTATCTGGTCAGCATCCCTTCACAAGTGGCGGGAATCATAACCTACCATCGACTGCGGGCATACCGCGTCTTTGTATGGCCAACACGTGTGTAACATGGATCGTCTACAAAGGGTCGTGCTATCGATGTATTAACTCAAACCGCGAGAATACGGGTCTAGTATAAAAAAAAAGACCCACATTGAGGAGGTTAAACTATTGTTGTCACGTTTACTCATGCCGGCAACGATATGCCGGGTAGCCTCATCGTGAGCGGGAGTGGTATATATAGCAACATTTGTATCCTCAGGGTCCGACCTTGGGAGTCCCAGAGCTCCCGATTGCCTAGCCCTCTGGCCCACGCGTCGAACAGCGCACCATGATCTTGCGCGAGACGCCTTTATATGGCCAGTATGAATGTAGCATGAGTCTCTTATGCAGGGTCATGCTATCAATATGTTAACCCAAGTCATGAGAATACGAACTTAGTAAAAGAGAAGGATAGGCTCACATTGAGGAAGTTGTTCTACTAACCTCATGTCTTCGAAGACCGGCAGTATTATGCTGAGTAGCCTCATCGTCGATGAAATCGCTAAACATAGCAACGTCAGTGTCCCTAGGATTGACCTGGGGAGACACCACCAGCTTGGCCCAAGACTTGAAAGGTGAACAGCGCTTGGATTGGTCCCGATGCTGTTCTTTGAATAGATACCTGAGGGCCCGATCCTTCTGGTCATGACGTTGCTAAGGTCTTGATCCAGTGTCTGATAATCGTGCTCGGTAATGCCAATCGCTGCCGAAACTTTGCTCCAGGCCACTCCCCTCATGCTAAGCTCAGGAGCGCGCTCGCTGACCTTTGCGAGGGTCAAACTCTGGCCTACGCATCGAACACTGCACCATGATCTTGCCTGGCTCCGGGTTCTCGTAATAACCCGGCTCTGCCACCGAGAAGGCGAGCAAGCAGCCGAGATCCACCTTGGGGAAACGTGCTCAAGATGTGGTTAACGCGAGTTCAAGAGATTCCTTGGACCCTGCGGCCTCGCTGAAAGAATCATCACTCATTCCTGCTTATGGGGGTCGTTGTCACTGCCAAGTTGAGGCTCCGCACGATCGATTTCTTCGTGCGCAACGTACGTGATGGGGTATAACTGAGTCCCTTGGGCAGCAGAATCAACGATGCCAGTTTTTCTAGGCTTCAGTTGACGATCATCCAATAGCTCACTGCAAATGACCTCTATGCCGGCAGTCAGATGTTCTCTGAAGGCATCAGGTTGGTATGGGAATTGTATTGTTCCATGCTCTTCTCCGCATCTTCTCTTCGTTGTTGTTCGGATGAATATCTTGGTACTCGATAGCACGGCAGTATGGTTCGATGGGTCTATTTCTCCTTCAGTCCTGTGCTGCTGATCACTATCGGTCTCTTCGAACGACTTCAGCTGTGGGGGTCCTTTCCCTTCGATTGAGGCACTCTGCAGGACCTCAAGTCGGCGCAAAAATTTCTTCCTAGAGGCGGCACTAACACGGTTAGTACTGCTCGTATGCCCGGCAACGTTCCTTCATGGTTTGGTAACGGATTTGTTTTGCACGCGCACTCCACTGCGGGGCCTGGCTTGTTTTTTATCTCCCCGCTTAGTGTCCATTCCATTGACCTCAAGTCCAATACAACTATCTACCCAGCATATACGTCTCCACCAGCCATACCATGCGCAATAAGCGATTCTGTGTGTTTGCTGTCACACTCGCATCCTAAGTCTGAATGCCAGGGATTCGCGGCACGAGGTATGCTAGAAAGGCGAGGGTTTTGTCGACATCGTTGTTGACCAGCTGGAGGGCTTCCTCGCACTCTCGTGTACTTCGTAGAGGGTACTTCGCTCGTATGTGTGCGATCTTTTGCTCGAGATTTGTGTCTTCAATGTCGTCGATATTGGTGTGTGGAGTGGTGATGCCCTCTGTCACAGCTGTCTAGCAGATATGGTCTTTTAGCTGTGAACAATCTTTGGACCGGGGTAAGTCACACCTGCCAAATGAGTATGGTCTAACAAGTGTGAACACTTTCAGGACTGGGGCTAGTCATGTTTGTCTGGTGAAATTGGTCTTTTAGCTGTGATCACTCTAGGACGGATGCTAGTTACATATGTCCAATAGGTATAGCATGCCCAGTGTCGACACTCTCCGGACGGCGGCTAGCTTTGGTCACACTCCAGTCAAAAACCAGACACAGTGCAAAAAATCTGTCTTGCCGAGACTTTGAAATTATGTTTCGAGGATCTTGCATATTAGCAAACGAGTCTTGCTTGAGCATGCAATTTCGTTCTTCCTGTACCCAATAACACAAGGATTCTAATCACAGATGATCACAAGCTAGCAATTTTAAATGATTATAAGACAGAGAATCTCACAGCAACAGCTTCTCTTCTTTTTTCATCCTTCTCACCAATACTCCATACATACCCAACATACAAAGAGATCCCAGACAAAGCATGCCTCTTGAGGCAGCGAGGGGGACCCACCCAACTACTTTTGTCAGGGACATTACGCAGCCTGAAGAGTTCAAAGTCTACACTGACTATGATGCTTATGCACATAGTACTGGTGAAGATGAAAACAAGGTCAATCTCGCTGAAGGGGAGGCTGATTCCATCACCGTTTCCGCAGGTAATGACCAAAATCCACCAAGCATGCACCCTGCTGCATCAGTTCTTGAATATGATCAAGCTAATACTTATAACTACCTATCAGGCCGTCTCCCACAGACAGCCGATTCCCCCTTGATCTCACCGACTCCTCCAACACCCACCTCAGGCCCCAGCACCCACGCACCGGCACAGCTACCTCTCCCACAATTCCAACCTGCCAGCATGCAAGTTGGAAACCCAACCCAAATGCCAGCAACGCCAGCTCCAATTCACCCACTGCCAATTCCATGGCATCCACTTCACGAGACCATCCCTGGCATGACGCTGGGTTGGACAACGTGCAACACGGATCATCGAAGACACGTCAGTATCACGTCCACATGATCTCTTTGAGGAAGCTGACATCATCCAGAAACGCTGCGACCACGGTCTGGACGGCAGAATCGACCCTGTCTTGGCGGCTATGCCGCACAAGGTGATGGCTAATCGCAAAAGCTGGCGTACGAAGAAGTCCAAGTGCACGAAGATGGGTAGGAGTGAAGGCACGAGGCAAAAGGCATTATGATATGGATCATGATAGGGAATGGAATGCGATAGAAGGGCCGATGAGAATCCTCTGGCTGCCTGCACGCTGTTTGCCTTAGCAAAGCCGAGGGAAAAGGCCATCAGTTGTCATGCTTAGCCATCCATGCAGTTGCTGTCTCTTGAAGCCATCCCAGTACAGCCAACCTCGCATTCTCAATGCCTCAACAATGATATCTCCTCTTAAGCTGCCATCGCCTACCCGCACGCTTCAGCACCGAGACCAACCTGCGACAATCCCGTTTTCAAACGTCAACATCTCCTCCCATTCAAACCTCCCCCATTCCACCCTCTCCAGCGCCCACTACGCTCCATCCGACCACACCATCCAACCCCATTCCCATCCACCCATCCATCCACCTCTTGCGCCCAGCAAGCCAGTACTCCACCCCAGCCACCCCCGCCAGACAAAACCTCATTCGACAAAACCTCGCACCATGTATTCAAGCCACTCCCCTTCAAACGCCACCTTTTCCCCTCAATCCCTCATCTCCACCCAAACGTAGAGGTCGCAAACACGAAAGACAATGTAGGTACGATCTGCCACCACCTCGCCAACGTCACTGCTCGCGTGTGATGGGAACCGGGTCCGTCGCTCGTGCTATGAGGCCAGAAGGGCCAAAGCGACGGCATTGGAAATGTATTGGGTCAGCTGCATGGCCTCTTTAACTCTCGAACACCCACCCATGGAGGGAGGGAGGATGTGTCGCGTGCGAGCGATGCTTGTTCGGAATTGACGTTCGTCGATGTGAAGGGTCGCCGAGAGAGCCGGCGAGGTCAACGGCGTTCTCGCGACAGGAGGTTTAAACTTCCGCGCGTCCGGCCTGCACACCCCTTGCTCTCAACTCGGTATCGTCCCCTAGCGTATTTTCGCTCCCCGGTGGCACGTTAAGGAACGGATCAGGCGCTCTTCCTTCACTCAGCCAGCTTGATTGAGACGGTAATGCGTAGTGCGTTGCCACACTTGGCTTGCTCATTCCGAATTCTATGTAATCTCCACGAGTGGTACCGCTTCCTGGCGAGCGACCAACAGCAGCTCGACGTGTGTCTCGCTGGTCCGCTTCCAGCATTAGAGGATCTGCTATTAGTCGTTCATTGACGGTGGCGTATTTCCTTCTGTTTCCGTTGTGGATGGAACCTTCGGCCCGTGGAGGATTTTGGGATATAATCGATGTGTTGAAGGCAGAGGATATTGAGTGGCCTTATATATTGGAGGAGCAGATACCGTGAGATCGACATGTAAGGTGTGCTGTCTGGTTTCTTTGGATCAATGGTTGCAACAGTGTATTGACACGAAATGGAATTGGGTTTGAAATCTCATTCTCGTCTGCCTGATAATATGTCGTCAACATTGGGTATACTAATCATCAAATCGTCATAGCTCGGATAAATATTCGCTAGGTCATTGGTATAGCACTCATCTGTCCCCACGTCCTCCAAATCTATCAGCTCCCCTGGCTCCCACTATCACCCTGCAGCTTCGCCCTTACTAGCTCTTCTTCCGCCAAAAATCTCTCCTGTTCCACCCTACTCTTCTTTAAATCTAAAAATATCACCAGAAACCCTGCACTCAGACAAGACAACCCAAACAGAAAATAGAATGGTGTACTGTTGTTTCCATGCGGACTTGCATCGATGATCGCACTTGAAACCAGCGGTCCGATGAAGGATGACGTCTTGCCAATGATAGAGAATAGGGAAAAGAATAGAAACTCTTTGCCACGGGGCGTGACTTCAGAGATCATAATCTGGGAGTAGGAGTACCAGGGACAAACGAAGAGACCATAGAAGGTCTGATAGACCCAAAACTCCCAAACGTGGTGGAAGCCGAAGTTCTGAGTCCAGATACCTATCATGCCCCAACCATCGCTGTACCAATTCATAGTCAATATCCGGCCTCGCTAATCACCGAAAGGTGATGTGGGAAAGCTTACAGCAAAATTATTCCGACAATAATCGCATTGAACATGGTCTTCGTACTGAGTTGGTATCTTTGCTGGATCCACCAGAAGCTGTAGATACCTACCGCTTGAGCCGCGATGCCGACGAGTAGGATGTAGGTCAATGTCAGCGTGTCGTACTCAACAACCTCGTTCTGGAGAGTGGCGATGACGGTCACGGTAGTATTGAGGGAGTCGCCGAGAAGGAAGTAGCCTGTGCAGTGTCAGTCATGGAAGATGGATGGTACCCGTGGCGCTACACACCAATGAGGTAAAGGAGACTTTGTCTGAGTCGCCAAATTTGAGTGATGGCACGGTAGAGTTGCCAAAATCCTACCATCACGATGTTCATGTTAGGCGGCAACTGCTGGCCTGGTCTTCTTTTTTCCAGGATGAACCACGGTATAGCCAGCAGCACCCAGACACCAGTTGCGAAGGCAATGAGAACACTCAACCCGTAGTTGTTGTTGGCTTCGCTCGCTGTAACGTGCACACCGTATAGGACACCAACTATTAGAGCTAGTATGACAAACTCCCCGCAGGATTGTATGTAGAACGCCATATTGGATAGTCGGCTCCTTTGTAGTGTGTCTGCGTAGTCATACTCATCTCGACTGATGGTTCCGTTTGTAAACTCCTCGGCTTTGACCCGCAGCTGAGGCGTGTTTCGAGCGAGACCTGGAAATGCTGCAGTCCAGAAGGTCAAGGTGGTTTGGTATGCAATCACTGGGAGATGTCAGACCCAGAAAGCAAGAGGGACTCAGAAACCGGACCTACGTCCCACAATGTACATCCCTGCTGCCACCTGCCATTTGTCCGCTGTATGCACGCCCATCCAGCCAAAGCCTATGCCGAAAGCGACAATCGAGAGCACGATGAGGATGTTAGGTCGCGAGCGTCCGAAGTCTTGCCACTGTCAGTCCAGCTCAATATTTGTACCTGCTGAGCGCAATTACCAGCATAACTCCCGATAACCAAGAACAACACAATCTGAATAGCAAAGCTGATCCCATTGGCCACCAGGACAATACTATTGATCGTCCTATTCACGCCTGCGAACCGCAAAGTGCCTGCATCTCCAGCTGCCTGCGACAACAGGTTTTGGAAGGCGGTTGGCGCGAAATTGAACAGGGTCAACCCATTGTTGCCAATGTAGTACGAATAGTATGCCCAGATTTCCCAGCGAGTGGTCTCATACTGCGGGTCGAATTGGTCTGGCGCAACAGGAAGCTCGTCGCTGGGGTCCTGGGACGGATTTTCGATGCTGCCCTTTTGAGGGTCTTCTGCCAACGGCATGACAGCAAAGCCAGGATCGGGGGCGGCCATGACTGGTTCAGTGTAGGTGGGAGAGGCTGCTCAGGTCATTGGAAGAGGCTCGTCAGGGGTCTGTAGAAGCAATAGAAGCAACGGATTGCTTCTTCTTGAGCTGACGGCATGGCTAGAAGATGCAGTTGCATCCTGATGTCTAGCGACCTATCACGCAATAGACACGGCGCCGTTGATTTTGCACTTGTCATGCAGAGAATTGCCGAATCTCGCTGATTCTCAATCTTCCCCCACACGTCGGCTTACGCTCTTATAGATATAGAGGTCTACACCGAAAGTTCTACACATACGCTAAAACTCTTAATATTCTTAACATTCTTGGCAAATATTCTTAATATCTTAAATATTAATACTTTATATAGTAGCGATATTAATACTTATTATATATAATATATATATATATAATATATAGTAGCGACGTTACTATATATATATCGAGTATATAATTACGATATTACTATATATATTATAGCGATAGTAGCGATATTAATATTATATATATTTATATTAATAGAGAGATAAAGGAATAGAGAGAGAATATAAAGAATTTTAGTATATATTTAATATATATTTAATATAATAAGTAGATATCTTCTTATTACTCTCTAATTCTAATATATCTAATATTTAAAGTATTAATTATAATAATAAAATTAAACTTTAAGTATTTATTTTAGTCGAATATAGTATTATAGCGAAGATCGTTATGATTATTATAGAAGTCTCTTATTAAATCGTTATTTATTTAAAATAATAAGCTCGTAATAAAGAATATAACCCTATTATATCTAAAAAGCTATTATTATTATATATATTCGATATCTTTAGATCTAAATAATTTTTTATTATTATACTTAAGCTTAAGAGTATTATTTTAACTACTATATAAAAGAATCGCTATAGCTGTGAAAAAATCTCTTTTATGCTAGTTACTAAGTAAGAAATCTTTTTAATAATAGTTCTATAAATATTTAAATATAATAATTTTTAATTAATTAAAATTATTAAAAAATTATCTCTTTTAATAGTCTAAATAAAAGCTTATTATTAATTTATTTTATAATATAAAGATTAAATTATAAAGAATTAAAAGAATATAATCTAAATCGATAAGACTAATATAGTCTTAAACTTTTAATAAAAACGAATATAATAATAATATTAGCCCGCTAAGATCTATATTAAGTTCGCTATTTAATATTATTTTATAAATATTATAAAGTTTATATTTTAAGAGTATTTCTTATATAATAAAAAGAGTTTATATTATATTTAAAAGATTGAAATAATAATTAAAAAGAAGAAATATATTTAAGAATTAGCTATTATTAATAAAATTTAAAAATTTAAAATTAAATTATAATAAAAATTTTAAATCGATATAAGATATATAGATTTATATAATCTTTCTAGCGTAAAGTCTTAATAAAGATTTATAGTAGAAATTAAAAAAGTTATTATTATAGAAAAGAAAGAGAGAATTAACTAATATCGCTATTAGAAGAAGATCTATTTATATATATTTCTCTAAATTCTTTAACTTCTTTCGCTAATTAAATATAAATTCTTCTTTTATTACTTCTAAAATTTACCTAGAAATATAAAGAGAATAGATTTAATATAGTAGTTATAGAAGATAAGGCTCTAGCTTATACTTTAAAGTTTTAGAAATTAATCTTTATATCTATAGATATACTTAGATTATTATAATATGAAAACTTATTAGATTTAAATTATATTAAATTATATTAATTTTAAATAAAATAATATATTACTTAAAACGATTTATTAATAATTTAAAAAGAAATTAAAAAGTAATAGACTTATTATTAAAAATATAAATTTTTATAAAAGAGAATTTAAAAGTAAATAGAATATATATCTAAATATATTATCGAAGTTATTTATTTAAAAGGTGATAATAAATATAAAAAAGATCGTTTTAAAGAGGATATATGATTATATAATTTAAATAAGCGAGCTAATAAGTATATACGTAGTTATATAAAGAATTATCAAGAAAAATAAAGCTATTTAAGAAATTTGTTAAATTACCGGAGAATACCAAGAATGCCAAGAGTTTTAGCGTATGTGTAGGACTTTCGGTGCAGACCTCTGTAAAGTAAGGCTTGCAGCGAAAAGACTTTGTACAAGACACCCATAAATTAGTGAACAACCAAAAATCATTCATCGGTCTTACCTCATTTGAGGAGCAGATTCATCACCCATTGCGCATTGCACGCAAGAGTCCAGTATCTTCCTAAGCATAAGAAGTCGAAGAAAGAGACCTCTTCAGTGCAGATGTCTACCATTAGAACTATTGCGTGTCAGCCCTGCGAGAAGACCCCACGTTACCAACCCCCCTACGCTTCAACAAACCTCAAGCTAATATACCAAGCTACTCTGGGGCTCAGCGTGACTTGTCTTTTATCTTCATAGTCAGTCTCCAGATGACTTCGGCGGTGATGGCTTTTATACCCTCACAAGCAATTCTGCCCGTTTCCCCTCTTCGACCTGCTGCGCCGCCCCAGCCGGTTCCTCGGGAAGATGAAAAAGAAGCACGTCACCATCGACCCTTCCTCTATAAGACCTTCTTCTGAAAAGCCTCAAAGAACACTCCAGGATGACACGACAGTCTATCAAGGCATGCACATACCGACGCACATGCTGTCTCCTGGGCAGAATGGCTATCGAGCTCCTACAGTTGAAGATTATCATGTCCAAAACGGCGGCTCCACAACACCCAATAGTGCTCGAACGCCTAACGGGGTCGCGCCTCCCAATGATCATTCCACACCTAACAGCCTACATCATCGGCTACCTCACATTCGCGATCAGGTGAACCTGAGCACTACCAGTCTGGCTCGCAGCATCCTCGACGAGCTACACTGGGGGGAGAGGATAAGGCATTACACATGGACATTCTTTACGATGACCATGGCTACAGGAGGGATATCGAACGTGCTTTATGCTGGTAAGCTCAGTCTATGAGGTGCTAGAAGTCTCTCAGAGAGCTGACCCAGTCAATGGATAGTACCGTTCCGATTCCGCGGCCTCGAAGCTATCGGCATCATTTTCTTCCTTCTCAACATCGTCCTCTTTATTTTCAACATTGTGATGATATCTCTACGCTTCTACTTCCACCCAGAAACATTCAAAGCTTCTTTTCTGCATCCCACAGAAAGACTCTTCATACCAGCGGCTGTAGTTTCGTTCGGTACAATTCTACTCAACATATCTCAGTACGGTCCAAGCCACGCTGGTGATTGGCTCAATGATGTTGTTGTCGTCTTGTTTTGGGTAGATGCAGGCTTGGCTCTTACCGCTTCAATGGGTGTGTACTTGATCATGTGAGGACTTTCAGCGTATCTTTACCCGGCGCAGACTTTGACGACCTGCAGGTGGTCGACCGCATCCTTCACAATAGAAAATATGACACCAATTTGGATCTTTCCAGCATACCCGCTTCTCATAATTGGACCTCATGCTGCTGTACTCAGCCAGACTCTCGAGCAGAGGCGAGCCTTCGACATCATTGTTGGTGGATTCACCCTACAAGGCATTGGATTCATGGTCTCATTGATGATCTACTCTGCATTCATCTACCGTCTCATGACCCAGAGGCTACCTCAAGCAAGCACAAGACCTGGTATGTTCGTGTCGGTTGGACCATGCGGGTTCACTGTTGCAGGGGTGATAGGGATGGCAGAGGGCGCTCAACGAGCGTTGCCCCCGGACTTCATGGGTAATACCCCAATGTCGGCAATGATACTCAAGGTCATTTCGGCATGGATGAGCCTTTGGATATGGGGTCTCGCATTCTGGTTTTTCTTCATATCCGCTGGCGCTCACTGGTCTTGCGTTGGCCCCCACAAAATGGTCTTTACCATGACATGGTATTCATATGTCTTCCCAAATACGGCACTAGTGACATCGACGTTCGCCATTGGCAAAGCCTTTAACTCTAGAGCGATTCAAATAATCGGCTGTGTCATGACAGCGATTCTGATACTTACTTGGTTCTTCGTCGTTGGAATGATGGTCCGAGCTATCATGTTGAAGCAGATCCTCTGGCCGCAAAAGGGAGAAGACAAAGACGAAGGCGGTTTTAAGGCCCCGAGACCGAACAGAAGAATTAGTGTTTGATTGTGCTGCTTGATTATAATGCAACAGCCAAACTGTTATAAGAGACATGGCCCCAAAAGCCCAACTCCACAGTGATTCCAAATCCCAACCATCCAATGCCTACAAGACTTGATTTACTTTCCCAGTCTCAACCTCATACACCCAGCCACTGATAATGATTGAATCTGGAATGGCTTTGCTAGCCTTCAGGTACTTTACATCATCCTCCACAGCCTTCTCAAGGTCTGGAAAAGGCTGAAAGTCCAAGCCTGACAGTTCCTGCTGCCCCGCTGCTCCTAGGTTCTTCTCGACCACGGCGTGGGCATCTTCATTTTTGAACGTCAACATACCACAGCCGGTGTGCTTGATCAGCAGGATCTCATTCGTGCCAAGCAGCTGCTCTGAGATGACCAGAGAGCGCAGGGCGTCGCGAGCATTGCCTCCAGCGTTGCGGATCACATGGGCGTCGCCAAGGTTTATGCCATAGGCTGCTGCCGGATCGATTCGGGCGTCCATGCAGGTGACTGCAAGAGTCAGAAGTCAGGCGGTGGGCTCCGAAACGGTTCTGAGACCATATGAGACTTACCAACGGCATACTTCTTCGCAGGAGGCAGTGCTAACTGCCCTTCTTTGAAGTTTGACGCGTACCGAGCGTTTTTGTTCTTCAGGTTTGCTTGGATTGGAGTCGCCATCAGGATGGTAGTGCCTCTTGAGTAAAAGCCTAATACTTTCAGGCTTTGAGGCTTGGAGTCTACGAACAGCACTATTTATACACGATCACTTTTGAGACTATCGCTGCAGGGAAAGCCAGATGTCAGGACTAGCGTACATCACGTGCGATGACACCTTCACGATGCCAATGAAAGCCATGCCCACAAGCATGAGTTGAGTGGCTTTCCTCTCGTCTGCCGTTGCGGGATGCGTGTCGCCAGTGCGGTGCGGGGTTGTTCCTTCATCCCACTTCAAGATAAGATAATTGGTGAGCGGTTCTAGGGTAGTGCCGGCTTTCTAACTTTCCGGCAGGGGCTCATAAAATGATAAAACACCGAGTCAAAATCGCACCGCTGTTTGGAAAGCCGAAACTCTTCTTTGCTCTTCCGACTTGGCATTGTCCCGGCACATGGATTTGCAGATGGAAATTCTTGCATGAACTTTGCAGGAAGCTGCTTACTCGGGCTTAGACAGACTGTTGCTGGCTCTTTGTCTGCAGAGTGCAATGGCAAGAAGCTGACGACGAAAGGCACCTACACTCTTCGACGCGAGGCAAACTGTGAGCCTGAGGCCACGATTGATATAATTGGGGAGATGAGACTCACCAACACAGGGGTCAAGTTGGCCGTTTAGCACGCGGCTGCGCCCTCTGAAGTTTGTCTGACCTGACTTTAAGCCCAAAGCTAGTCTTACCCGCTAGTCCCCCGAAAGCTAAAGTAGGTACCTTAGTTGGCCCCCCAACCTGCGACCAAATTCAACCTCGCCAGGCGCCTGCTCCCTCGGGCCTCGACAGTTGTACCATCTGCCGTTTGGCACCTGCTGCAGGTACCACAGCATCCGAGCGAAGTAGATCGATAAATTTTTCGAGCTCCTTTGTTGTCTTTCATTACAACAGTATGATCCCGTTTAGCGGAATCACTGGTGAGGGGAATATCTTGCTGCATCGCGTCCATTTCGCGAAGCCGACTGCTCTGAAACCGAGGCGTTGGTCGAGGCACCAGCAGCTCCAATAGTCTTTCATTGTCTCACCCAACTCAACCACGGTACGAGGCTACTCTACTGCCTCGTATCTCAGCCTCGCATCTCAGCCTCGCATCGCATCATATGAATTACGACTGCGGCCCCCAAAGGGGTCCCTGTGAGACTCAGACCGCAACTGCTCCTCGCGAATTATGCTTAGCTTTTAGGCGTCTATTCTTCCGCACCTCCATGGCGCCCTGCTAGCCGTGGCGCACTTCAAGATGAAACGTATATTAGATTAGATTTGATGCTCAAGCGGTCCCTTCCACCGTTGGTGTTGTACTTTACTCCGAGGCATGGCTTTTTTTACAACCCTTGCCCCGCCGGATCTTATACCTCTCAAATCATGTACTCCCAATTCCTCAAACATTGATCTCTAGGATATATCTCCGACTGCATACTGTTGGGAGAAACCATGAGCGGCAGGATGATGAAATACTTGCTAGGTGGTACGTCGACCCCCATGGCTGGTGACGGCCTGGGTCTCGCGGTGCCAGCTCGACCGATGCTCTCTCCAAAGGCGACTACGCCAAGTAGCCTCGGGACTGGGGCCTCCTCAGACTATTTTCCTCGAACCAGGTCGAAATCCAATGTTTCTGCGAGATCGAACACATCGGCAACGTCGCAGAACTCCCCTCTTCCCTCTCCGCACCCGCAAGACCAATATTCAACAATCATACCAGATGTACAGCTTTTCGGAAGCTCGCAACATGTCACTCGTAAGACTGATGCTCGCAAGCCTTCACGGACGCAGAGTGGAGTCCGTGCACCGAGGTGCTCCTTAGCGAATTTAGCTGGAGCCACGGCTTCTTCTCCGAGGCCTAGCATGGACTCTGTTCTAAATGCTGCAAGCACAGCAGAGCACTCATCCAAATCAGAAACACCAAATGTCATGGGGGAAACATCTTGGGAGGACTATGAGATACCGCAGGAGCTGGAGTTCGTGAGAGGAGATACACCAAGGGGGATTCGAGACATCATCCAAGAATCTTTGGACGAACACCGTGCGATGAGGGCGTCCAGGCTGCAAAGCCAGGCTATCGTGGTAAGGACTACCATCGAATCATCAAGAACACCACGTAAAAAAGACCGACCCGAAGTCCCAGAATGTTCATCAATCATATCGGCTCGATCCACACCCGACAGCGACTATGTTACAAACCGTTCCACCAGCAGCCTGAGTACTTCACGTGATTCTGCGACAAGCCTAGAGTCAGAGGCCGAGGATCCTGGCTTTCTGCGACGACCAAAGGTACTCAGCCGATCTCGGGCTAATTCTTCTCTAGAAAGCTTGAGGACGAAGCTGAACCCAAATATCAGTCCTAGCATGGCGGCTTTAGAGAAAAGACTTCAAGAAAGTCAAGAAAGGACGAACAAGAGTCACAAACTATTCAAGCTTCTACCGGGCCGGAAAAGGAAGAGCGAACTTTCATTGGACCCTCAGATGCCAGAGCCAACTTCCTATGAGTGCACAAGCTGCTTCGATGAGGTGCCCGATACCAAAGCCGTGGACGTGCCTTGTCACCATAAGTACTGTCCGCGATGTTTTTCGCAACTGATACTCACCGCCACAAGCAACGAGGCTACCTTTCCACCCAAGTGCTGCCTGCAGGAGATCCCCAAAAAGACCATGCGGGAGCGTCTACCTCCCAAAGTCCTGGCTCAATTTGATGAAAAGGCTTTGGAATATGCGGTTGCGATTGGCAATCGCTATTACTGTGTATCTCCGAAATGCGCGAAATGGATTGACACTCGGATTGCCAGGCGAATGAATGGGATATTGGAGTGCCCTCATTGTGCGGTCAAGCTGTGCACGACCTGCCGTGGGCCTCAACATCCTTCTAACGAGGATTGCCCACAAGACTACGGTCTTGGTCCGACTTTGGATCAAGCGGAAAGGGCTGGATGGCGGAGGTGCTACCGTTGTAGGGGCCTGGTGGAGCTAACGTCAGGTTGTCGGCACATTACCTGCAAGTGCCGTGCCGAGTTCTGGTGAGTCTGCCGTCCAAACTCTATAAGCATTCAATACTCACCTGTCACAGCTATACTTGCGGTGCTAGATGGAGAACTTGTGCTTGTACAGAGGCCGATCAAGCACGGCGAGAAGGGGAAATAGCTGCGAGACTCGCACGGTTTGAGGTCGATCAACGAGCCGAAGAGGAAGAGATAAGAGCAGCAATTGCTGCAGTAGAAGAGGCAGAGCGCCAGCTGCGAAAGGAATGGGAAGCGGAAGAAGCATGTCTAGAAGCCGAAGCACGGGAAATGACTAAACGAGAATTTGAGCGCTTACAGGACATCAACGATCATTTCGAGTATTTGCGCGGAGTGCTGGACAGGATTCGCTTACAACAGCGGCAAGCCATCGAGCGGCGCCACGATCGAGAGTGGGGTGAGATTGACATGATGAAGGATAAGCTCGAATCGCCCGATGCCGCTGTCGAGCGGGAACGCTGTGTGGCTTCAGAACGAGAGAAGATCGCCACGATGACTGAAGGCACCATCAAGACTTTGCGACGCAGATTCGCAACGGAAATGATGGATACCATCACCCGTCACCGCAAAGACCAGGACGAGCTGATGGCTATGTCCGTCGACAACCCGGACCAGGACGCGGACATCATGAAAGCCGACATCCTGCAAGAGCTTATGCCAGCCCAAGAGCTCGAGCGATCAACCCTAAAGTCGCAACAGGCGCGCGAAATTGCCAAATGGAAGGCTCGCGGTGAACAATCCCTCAGGGCCTTTGACTCCACGATGGTCTGTCTAAAAATACGCCTCGAAGAAGCGGAAAAAATTAACGTCCGCGCAAAGGAGATGAAACAGCGTGTTTTCGCGGACACTAAATGGTTCGAGGCTGTTTTCTTGGAAAGAACGATCATGCTGAGTGAGGACGAGAGGAAGTTAATCTTGAGTGGCAGTGATGCCCCGGCGTGGTCGAAAGCAGAGAGGGACTCGAGCGCTACGATGATTGGCGTCAAGATTGAGGGATGTAGCCCGAAGGTGGCGACGATCAAGGCATTTGGACCTGGCGCAGCGAGGCAGGAGGAAGTAGCAAGTGCGAACACCAGTAGGATGATGGTGCGGAAGAGGGGGGTTATCAGAACTACGTGGCATCCTCAAATGGGATGAATGCAAGTTTTTGGCTATTACATGAGGTCTGCTGGATTCCGTACGTCATTTCAGGATTTCGAATTGTCTATCATTGGTGGAGACGGTGTTTCGGTCACGCAAGGTCCGCATAGGGCTCCGAAAAGGCATTCTGGAGAATATTTGCTCTTAGCGCACATATACCCAATCTATGACTATCTACGTTAATCTATACCCATCTATAACAGGTGCTTCTCCCATATTTTCCCACTGGCCCAGCTGTTCAAATAACTTCAATCTGGGGGGCGGATAATTACAGCAAACCCAAGCCGCAGGAATGCTCCTGACAGCAGATGTACTTATGTTGCCCTTCGGCTGTTCCCTTCCGACTGAGCCTCAAATAGGCGTCATCAGAAACAACGTTATGGTAGGCGAGATATGTGGGATGGCCGCCAAGATACCCAGCCATACCAGTAATGCCCGATTCAGCCCGTGAGATATCACAAATGACCTTCCAGCTGGGATCTCCTTCTCCCACCGCTGATGGAATCGCCTCGGCGGTAGGTGCTCCTGCACTAAGATCTCAAATGTTAGAGACTAGGGGTGGAGGACGCGTGTCGAACAAACAGCTCGGAAGATGCCATTGGGCGCCCAGGAGGAGGTGAAGGTATCCTTGCATGATGATTTTCAAATGATTGTTTCAAACTGCCACAGCGTCAAGTTACTTTATGTTGAATTAGGTTCGCGCTCCGTGCCTCGCTTGTCGGCCGAGTTGGCTTGTTCTGCAGCGGTTTTGGGGGCTGAAAGTGGACGCGTGGCTGAGATTGGAGGGTGCTAACAGGTTCCTTCGCAAGGTGTGCCCAATCGGGAACAGAAAATGTGCCTGTGCGAGACCAAAAGTTATAGAGCGACCGGACAAGCTGACCTCGTCGGCGCCCGGAGCCCAATACCCTTTACCCAGAAAGCTTACCCTTGATGCCGGCGCGTAATAGCGATGAGATGCGATTTGTTGCTGAGTCTAGGGTCGAGGCCGACGAAGATTTGTGCCACGGTAGTACTAGACCGGGAAGCCAGAAGACGTACCATGTACGGCACTTTCATTGACGATCCTGCTACTTTAGGTATTTACGTGTGGCTGGTGTAATTGCTAACCAACCGTTGTTCGGAAGCTAGGTCCTTTGGCTCTGGGGCAGACTGAGGATGGTATCTGACGGCTGTTTTCAGCATGAAACGAGGTGAGCGAGCTTAGCGATTACCATTGCAATGACGAGTAAGAATACTGTGAGGGGTTGTACAGAATCCGTTACGGAGATTGCTTTCCTTGTACTTGCTTTCCCAGCTGGCCAATTTTCACCTGTGTGCGTTCATTTGGAAAAGAATACGGAAAAAAGACAAAAAAGACAAGACAAAACAAAGTTTCGTTAGATGTTATAATGGTGTATTGGCACGTGCAGCAAGTGTTTATCGCTATTAGCAAGCGATCTCAAACCACGGAATTGGCAGAGGTTGGTAATCTTCCGGATACATTCCGCGGTGTGGAGTTTCTGAGTAACTTATATGCTCTTGGGCGCTCTATGCCCGCCAAACCGAGTCCACTGCCTGGATACAGATTCCACGAGCAACTATGCAAAGGCACATGGCCAACATGACGTCCATCTACCAGGAAGGCATTTTCCATCCTTCAACTAGCCTTGGAATGACAGCAATGGCCCCGCCGCCTCCGCCCAGAAGAGGGTCTGAGAACCAGTAACTCGGCCACAAATTGATTGACGACTTCCGCTTGCAGAGTAACGAAACTCCAATCTTTCTCCCGCCCGTACACTCTGCGGAGACTCCGCTGTTGACTCCACTAGACCTCCTGGCTCCTCTCAAACCACTACGTCCCGGATCTCCACTGGTGGAGATGCAGCAGAATCTCTCGGCTATGCAGAACATCATTTCGCAAAGGCTCCTACTGGCCAAGGAATACGGTACCTCTCTCGCGATTGAAGGTGCGTTCCGGAAGGCGGAGTGGGAAAGGGATCGCGCGAGACGCATGGGACAGACTCGAGGGGCGGGATCTACCGGAGCATCGACCTACGCCACGAAAAACTCGCCGTACATCGACTGGAGCCCTATCAAAGTGGCCGCGAAGCCTCCAGCCGACATGTTGCCATCCACCACCGCCACTCGGCCACGAAGTAGAACGACGATCCCGGTCATGGGTCCCACATCGATGACGGAGAGCCCGCTGATCGTACACTCGAGTCTGTACCACCCGTCGTCCATCGGTAACATGCACGCTGCCTTTGCAAACCAAGACTCGCCCCCTGCCGCCTTCGACAAAGTCGCCCTGACGATCCAACACCGCGTCCCCAATCCCGTGACCGGGACTTCCGACCCCTACCACGCGACCGTGTCGGTCCCTTCGTCTGTCAGCCTCAACGAACTGAAACAGGCTGTCTGGGCAGGCATGCAGAACGACAGCACAGGCAGCGCACCGCAAGCGCTTGCTCTCAACGGGTGGATCGAAAGCCTTGTCGTTCATTGGGATGTCGACAAGCAGGTTTATCATCATTTCCCCCCAACGACGGAACTCAGAGATGAGAGTTTGGAGACTATGTTGGTGTGTTTGAGGGATGTGAAGGGGTATGATTGGGTTGAGGTTGGGTTTGAGACACCGTGAGTGCTGGTTTTGGGTGAGAGAGGTGGGGTGGGAGGGAGGAAGAGATGTGTTCATTCTATCATATCTCGATTCGGCCACTGCGGTTACTAGGTACTGTCTGATAACAAGATCCTAATCTCCCTGTCTGCAGCTGCGGTATGCGCACGCATCGATCCAGTGCTTCACATCAGTGCTACCGACTCATCAAAAGCGTAGCGTTTACGATCGAGCTGATACCGAGAATTGTCAACATGAAGCAGCCCATGGTCGAGATGGAAGGCAGCGGTTACACGATGACGCCGCCGCCGGACGACCTCGCAGAAAGGGGAACCTTGGATAAACACGGAAAGCGCCGGAGTCTGCTTCGGGAGATAGGCCGGCAGAATCGACCGCGCTCTCGCTACACATTAATCTATCTCTGGAAAGATATGGAAGACGCGAAGAGACGTACAAGTCGCAAGCTGGCATATCCAGCGAACCCACCAACCCTGAAAATGAGAAATCCACAAAACAAAAACAATACAATACAAAACAAAACAAAACAGCACTGGCAACAAAGATACCCAAGAACCGGAGCCCAATCAACCCATCAACTCGACCAAGAAACCCCACCACGGAGACCTCATCGCGAAGCCCACGGCCACCCATCAGCATGGCCCGCAGCAGCGATGAGCGGGAATCTCGGCGCAACGAACACGAAGTCGCGGAAGTATATCGCGGACCCAACGGACAGAAAGGACAGGAGGACGCACCTGACTCGGCATCCGAACCGCGGCCGGTGAACGGAGATGATGCCTTTCATCATCCGGCACTATATCCGCACCGACGACGACAACAAGGGCTCCCTTCCAGCACAAACACACACACACATCCCTCGCCGCCCCTTTCATCATCGTCATCAGCCTAGCTCAGCTCAGCTCAGATTCCACATCCGCGCTCCCGACGAGCCGAATGATAATCGCCTACCCTCTCCGAAGCGGACTGTGCCGCGTTCATTCACGGATGGGGATCGTCATGCGCAGCTGGGGGCAATATATACCCGCGCGAAAGGAAATAAGTAGGCGATGAGATGCCCCCCTCCTGGCTTGCCTCACAATCGGCAAAGGACTGTCCCGGATTAGCTGGGAGGCTTGTCCCTGATCGGATCGGATCGGATCGGATCGGATCGGATCTTCTTCCATCCATTAATATATACGCCTACGTCTACGTCCACGTCTGCGCCAACAGCGGGCGCGCGCATCTACGATGCGAATCAAAAGTCTGCCAAATTCCGCTCGCTGCACACGGCTGTCGCGGTAAAGTTGCGTCTCCCATCGGCTGAGGGGAGTTGGGGCATGCTGGCGCCGGGGAGGGGAGGGGGGCGAGCATTGCATGCGGGCGATGAGGCCGATGAGCCGGAACTGGTCCACTGCGGGAGGGAGGGTTGGGCTGGATTTAGTGATGCGGTGGGATTACGAGCGGTGCGCGGGGTGTCGAGGTTGGGGGTTTTGCTGGAGAAGATGGCATGCAGTTTGCGAGCGGGGTGGGACCGTGTTTGAGGGATGACTTTGTCGATGGGTAGCTGAGATTGGGGTGGAGGGGGCCTGATGGTTTTCGTCGATGTTGGGGCATGGAGTCAGGGAATGGGATTGCGGCAAGGTTGGTGCAAGGGTGGGGGGGGTGTGTGTGTGTGTAATTCCTACATCGGAGGGCCGTGCCTCTGTTCGTACCCCTTCCCATTGAAAGGCGTAGCCCAGAGTGCAACCGTTTTTACCCACTCGGCCTTACGGCCATGTCCGGCATCCGTACCCCATTTGAGGTACGGCAGATAATCGTGGTCCCGTAGAACCACGGCTATGTACATTATGTTGGGAATTCCAAAGCCTCCATTATAATCAGACACCATTACACTCTGCAATGTACCTTAAAGCTTTTTCCTCGTTTCTCCGGGCCGAGCTCTAGCCTCTCTGTTCTATGTACCCTCAGACACCTAGTATTTCATTGTATATCGTCACGTAAGAGAGAGAATAGTGACATTTGTCAAACCGAAGTCGAGAATACCCGAATTAAGCTCTCCTTCGATTCCCGTAGGGATACGAGACCTAATCGAGGCCTATTCGCACGTCGATAGCTGGCTGGGAGGTATACGGCCATCACTTGTTACTCGCTGACTCCGCTGTCAAGGGGGTATTTTCCAAGCACATTAGATTCAGCTCTCTTGTCTGGTCTCTTTCCTGTAGAAAACCTCCATACAATTCTCGTAAACGAGCCGACTCGTCTGTGGCCGGAGTCGGGTACTTGTAGTATTTAGGGAAGAGTTACCGATCAGCGAGGGAGGGAGGTATCATCCGACCGAGAGGGGTGGGGCTCGCCGTCATGTCGATAATACCGAATTCTTCGAGGGGGACGCGTTAACCCTCGATCTGACGCGTCTCGTTGTCCGATTTTCGCTCGTACGTAGTTGACCGTTGTCGTAATCGAAGAATCCGATCGTACACCCATGTGTAAATGTACGCTCCCTTAAGATCTCTTAACTCCTCTGACGTGCCGGACCGTAAGTTTACGCCTACTGCAGCTGACGAGTTAGGACCTAATTAACGCGTAGCAGCTGCTAAACAGGTACAGAGCAGACTCCCGAAGGCATAGGAATCTTTGTCAGAGGGTTCGTAGCCGGCACCACGTACAGGTGGATCTCGTTGCCAGCCAAGGGTGGGGGAATAGAGGTCGCAGGTGCAGGGATCATGGACAGGATCGGAGAAGGAAGGGCGAACTTGGGGACGATGCGTCTCATAGCCATTTTGGCAGATATGTGCTCAAGATGCAAGCGCGCTTTTGCATCGTGGATCTTTCTCGACGGGCATAGTACTCTTCACTTTCCATTGAGATGACCGGTGGCGTATTTTATTGCTTGCTGTGAGTTTGGCAGCATGGGTTCACTTTACGCAGTGCGCTAGTTTGGTGGTGCCGAGCTCAAAGAACGACTTTCAAGACTCCTCGGCCACAACCGTCCGCTTATGCGAGCTTCCTCCTATCCATACTGCAAGAAGATAGACCTCAGTCGGACCATATGCCCCGGTCTTCTCGAGAACCGTAACACCGCACCGAGTTTGTGTCTCCGTTAGGAGATTTCTCCGTCTCGCCTCTAAACTCCCCCGGTTCACGAGCGGGCGCTCCACATCCGGCGGTAATCCTGGATAGGTTACGAAGAAGGTTGCAGAAGTGACGTAGAGGGGATTGGTGTGGGTTATCGGGGGGTGTAAAATATGGCTTTGAGGTTCGGGTGCGAGCATTTGTCTCCTCTTGCCAAGGGCAGGATTTTGTCCCCGCAGTTGTGAAGTCTTTCAAGCTTCCTTGTGGCGAATAAGGCTCGGAGTTCCTTGTTACCAGTCATACGTGCCTACCTTCGAGTTCCGCATCAGTTCTTCTAGAAGAATCAAGCTGCATGGCTCGAGTGCCCAACCAAGTCTACCATTTCTTCCTTTGGCATTTTCCTGACCCTACGAACGATAGTTCAGCTCGGACGGTACTTTAAACCCTCCTTCAGCACCCTTCGGCTGATCGGGTTGATCCTTTCTTTTGTTCATCGATTGACCGGGTGGGACCTCCCGAGAAGAGCGGATTGGAAGAGATCCCAACGGTGGATCCGCGGCCGGCTCTTTGAACCGAATTTCCACAAATTCATAGCCTCTACCACGACGCATGTAACTCAAGACTATCTCCATGTTCTCCTCGGAAAGCTGAGTGGTAGCTGGGAAAGCCAGCGCACCGGGTCTCTGGGCTGGAACCCCCCAATGCACGGTCAAGCATTCGACAATGGCGGTCCCCGGTATGACTTGGCTGTTGTTAGAATTGTGCGTCTCTCTGAGCGCTTGGATCGCGTTTTTGGTAAGCAATGCGAGGCTGATGGGAGGCGATGGGTGGACGTAGATGAAAGCGTGGCCGGTAGTGGGAGAGTGGAGGGTACCGGTTCGGTGTTGAACTAAGAGGGGGAGGGAATCGGCTTCGTGCATCGAGCTTGTCTCGGTGGAATGCGCTGATCCCTGTGGGGAGCTGGTTGGCTCTCGGTGAAGGGAGTGTGGGTGGGATGGGTGAGCCATGGCTTCTTTTTTCTTCCTTGGAGGAAATTCATGTGCGGGGATATCAACGACTAGTTTTTATGTACTGGTACTGCGGGGTTTGATACGTGGCTGCTGGTTTGACAAACATGAGAGCGAGTTGGGAGAGCGTGGATTTGATATGCGGCATTGTTTGCATTGCGCGTAATGTTTTGAAATTTCTGGGCCTCTTCTTGACCGAGTGGTAATCTTACAATGGAGGACTGATCGTGCATGGGACATGCATGAGTCCCGTGAGGATGTCGAATGGCAACATCAAAAGTATTTTCCAAAGTCATTGTAGCGAGCGTTTTATTTGTTGCGAGGCAAGTCCTGGCATTCTCATCGACCTTCTCTCAAGCCGTAAGGCTGATTTATACATGGCCTCGATACATTCATGAATCAGCCACTTTTACGGTTCCACCAGAGCATATACATAGCTTCAAGCACTTTCGTCGAGGGCACAGCCAGTTTCCCCGATGCTGAATTTTCTATGTTCAATAGATACCCCACTGCCTGGAGTCTTTCCACTTGAGCATGAATACATAACGAATCTTGATCTGAGCCACATCATACACGATGTACTCATTCGGATTCCCACGCGCTGATGGCAACTTGACTTCATGATCAGGCATGAGCGTGCCATTTAGCTCCGAATTTGCGACACCAGCATCCATCCATTTCAAGGGCTCATTTGCAGGATTTTCCGCCATTTTGGTGGAGATGAGCCCCTTCTTCCTCATACTATCGGCGGCGTTGTACTCATGGTCCCTCCGAACATATGCTGGGTCTCCAAGTTGTGTCTCGCATAGCAGAAGTAGTCCAGTCTGCCCTGATGTCCACGGATCACAATAAGCGGCAGATTTACAGGCTCTGTCTGCAAGGTAGATGCCTTTTCCGAAGGCTTTTCCGTTGGCAGGCGCTTCTGGAGGGGCGATGCGCAAACCTTGACTGAGGATGCCGCCGAAGTTGCAGCCTCGCGAGCCATGCCAGAGTAGTCTCCGATGATCTTTAACGAGTTTCGTCTTCATGGCTTCAGCGTCATAGCCGCCAGCGAACCAGCGGTCTATTTCCTCAGAGCGAGAGATGCGGTAGATATTCTGAATCGCGGTGTCGGAGGAAAGGCAGTAGCCATCTTTCGCATGATTCAGGTAGCTTTCCAAATGACCAAATTCGACTGATTTCCTGTCAACTGGAATCGCTTCTCGAAGTCCCAGAGATCGCATTTGTGCATCGAGAGGGTGAATGGCATTTCCTTGCCGGTCTTTTGGATACTCGGTGTCTTTGAGAATTTCATTGCTGATCTGCATGTTCCCTAGGGTCTCCACCAAGTCCATCTCAGCTTTGAGCTGAGCTGAGCTGTTGATTGGCGTCGGTCTGTTCCGCCCGAAGTCATGGGGGATGATAGTGTAGTACTGAGAACTCAAGTCGTTGAAAGCGGTCACAAGAGATGTTTCGTGCTTTTCTTGGGCCAGCTTGGGGTTCAAGATCACATCGCCGAGCTCCCTGAGTGCGAGGTACCCCTTTTCGATGGTGCTTTTCGACAGCTTGCCTAGTGGCAACTTATTAAAGTTGTATTTTTGGGAAGCCATGGACTTCTTCATGTTCCCCGTGTCGAAAAGAAAGCGCACGAGCTCTTGTAACTCCTCGTTGAGCGTACAATCCGGCAATGCGATTTTCTGAGGAGATTCATTGGACTGTTGAGCCTGATCCCCTGCTTCATCGTCTGTTTCATTGCCATAGGACTTTTCGATCATGGTGTACTTCTTGGCCTTTGGCTGTTCACTCCTGTTCTCCCATTTCAGGCCGGTCTTGTCCTTGAACTTTGACTTGAAAAGAACCAAGGCAGTCTCCAGAGACATGTTTACATTCAGATTATTTTGGCCAGCCTCACCGACCCGGCCCCAATGCGTCCAGACCGCAAATTTAGATTGGTCAGTGTCCGTACGGCATAGCAGCTGGATGTAGTAGAACTTGTTATTGTTGCCATCGATGCTGCTGAGGTTCAAGCTGGCATCGTAGTTGAGGCCATCATCGTCTACATAGACTTCGTAACAGTCTTTGGCAATACCCTTGGATTTTGCACTGAACCAGCATGTTTCGTCTACTGGCGCTCTGGCTGTTTTGACAGGCTTCTTGAGCTGCTTCGAGGCTGTAGTATGAGCCGGCGAAGTCGCGTCAGTGGATTTGACAATTTCTTCTCCTGGAATTGAGGGCGCCAAACTTTCAGCTTTCTTACCCCGGGCCCTTTTGGGCGGCTTCTTCAATTCCGCTTCTGTATGTCCACCGTCCGCTTTTCGCGAGCGTTTCATGGCTTGACGGGTTGCAAATTGGGTTGTTAGAAGGAGACGAGGACGCGTGGCAACCGTGGTAAGTGCTGATCGTGTTATCTTCCTTAGAGCTGGGGATGCTTCGAATGCTCTCCATCGATGAAATGATGCCTAGCCAGCCAAACGAGACTGCGTATTATTGTTGGTGGCGCAAACGCGTGGAGTGGCGAATTACTCCGGCTAAATTACCCATGTTTAACCGGTAGTGTGATCTTGTCTTGGCAAAAACATCCTGGTCTTCGCAAAGGCGGAAATTAAGAAGTTTCCCATCTGATAATCGATAATCGTCGACGCTGAAAGGCCGGTCGTGACTTGGGTCGTCGTTGAGTGGTGGTAATCTATCAAGAAAGGATTCGAGTAGCGTATCCTATTATAGCATCCGGTAGTAGAAGCGATGGCGACGGCGATACGACTACAGGGTACCAGAGCAATCTACAGCGACGTTTTATACGTCCGGGTCTTTCCCTCCTATCCCATAAGCTCTGCAGTCACCACTCGGAGTGAGACGACGACCAAGTGCAGGGAGGTTTGGCTACATAGAGAGGTTAAGTGGCGACGACAAGGCTTGTTTATCGGGTGACGTGGAGTACATGGAGTTGCGACATACAACTACTCTAAGCCACCTGCATTTGATAAAGGCAGCATGGGTCTATATACAATCGGTCGGACAGTCATAAATAGTCCGTTGCTTTGCAGATAGACCGTCTCTTTATGAATGTCTAGAAGAATCATCGGACTACAGTTCATTCATGGTATGGCCGAAGTAAGATGCCGACTAGAGCAGGTGCTCTGGAACCCTCATAAGGTTTAGCGTGATATCGTCTCAATTCTGTGATAGCAGGCGGAAGAAATGCAGATTAGTTTTGAACGACTACAAACGAAGATACGGAAGAGCAGCGGAAGTCATCGATTCACGAGCCTTGACGCAACTTTATCACTCTCCTATCTAGCTGTTTCACTCCTTTCTTCCGCTACCGTGCAGCCTAGAGGTAAACATACCCGCCCGTCTGTCCTTGCTGGCGAGAGGGAAAGACAATTTCCTGTACGACTACTCATCTTTACCTAGCTGAGAGCTCATTCAAAATCACGCCCACCATGACACCCTTCGAATCCATCTTCGGCGCAGGCAGAAACGTATCATGCGCCAGTCTGACGTCGGAAACGTCGGGTTCGTAGAGCTCGAAGGTAAAGCGCCGGAATACGAGCGAGGCTGGATAGAAGACGGTTGAGCCGGACGACGGGAGCGGTGCCATTTTTGTCATTGCGAAGGTTTCGTGGACGCGCTGATATTCCAGAAGATGACGGTAAAAGTGAGTTGGATTACGGCAAGAGTAAGGCCGGATTTGTACAAGGTCGTAGAAATTTAGGCACTACCCAGGAGTTCCGGACAGGAGAGAGATGTATAAGAGTGTCGGTTTCCGAGACCAGCACGGGCAGCGAGAAATTTGCGCCAGAGTTACTACGCGGTATGCTTCGAAAGAATATCGATACGAATCAATGCTATTATAGGACGGGGTCACTGCTTTGACTATACAAGATGAGGGTATCGTAGGCGGTGAAAGATTGTTTTTCATCCATGGACTAGTGCCCTGATATCCAATATCGATTAGACGGCCTAGAAAAGGCTCTCAATACCCATACAAGAACTCCGACAGCCAGCTCGACCAGCGTGCCATGGCTTTTCCTCTTAATTAACAATGCGCCCCGCAAATAAATGCCAAAGTATCCATCAAGTATCTGCAACCCCGCTTTCGCTCTCCCACAGGCTTCACTGCGCGAGTCTTCTAGCCCGGACGAATGCGGTTGAGCAACGGTGCAGTTTCAACAGCTCGCTGCATTGTCTTCACAGCAGTCTAATTATCTCACGTCTGTCAGTCAACGCGACATGGACACGTAAAGGGGTTACAAATCAATGGGTAGAGCTACTTACGTTACAGGTATCGGTAGGGTTGTGATGATAGGGATGGTGAACGGAGGAAACGTGATAGGGGGAGGGGTAGTAAAGCTCTTAGTCGTGGTCACTGGGGAACTATTCGGTATTAATATCGGTTTTAAGGCTGGGAGTGAAGGTATAGGATGGTGACTGGGCTGTGAAAGAAGGAGAGGTTTGGGCGATTGAGATAGATTTTGAGGCTGGGGGAGGAGGAGAATGTAAAGGGGTTCGGATGTACTCACGGAAGTGCGATTGCGGTGTTGAGTGTGACGAAGCTGAAGGCAACCAGGGCGGTGAGAAAGATAGACTTCATGTTGGCGAGAAGGTATTCAGTTGAGAGACGATTGATGAGATGTTTTGAAGCTTGATATCGGGGTAGAAAAGTTGGCCGGGAACGATCCTTTTATGTGGGTTTTTCACTGCGGTTTCTTGAACTCGTCTCACCTGATAAAACATAGCCGTGAGCGATCTCAGGAAAAAGGCAAAGCGACCGGCGTCAGTCGCAGTAATATCTCTCGTCCTAGAAAAGAGGTCGTATACGACGATCTCGTTGCTTTCGGAAGACCGCATCTTCCGATACAGAAGAGATGACCCAAGGGGGACGCCTCCCGCGACAAATTTGGGAACTGTCGAATATGCAGGGGCATACAGGCAAGGCGTGGATAAGGGCGAGATATAAATGATTCGCGTGAATCGTTGCGAGGGCAGAGTCAAAGGAGATGGACAGAACATTAAGATTGCACATCGCCTGCATGAGGGTGCAGGTACGGGACTGTCGATCATACTCGTTCCGTCCGAACGTGCGTTTCGCATCGCAGTATTCTACCACGACAAGATCTCCAGGAAGTAATTCTCCTGTCTACAAATCGGGATTGGGTTGTGGGACAGTTACGGAGACCGTTTGGTCTCGCAGCAACTCTTACGTACATATCAAATCAAAAGAAAAGACGGATTAGGAAATAGTGGGCTGGAGTGAAGCTACCTACTCACTGTTTCCTGCGCCTTTTTTAGTGAAGTGAGTTTCCCTACTAATTAGTTGGACTGCACTCCTTGGTTTAATCTTTGTTTCTATCTATCATACGCAAAGAATGTTGCGATGGCAGCGTCTTTGAGATTGTTTTCTTTCCTCCACAAGTCTGACATGCTACCAAAAGTGTGTGACGCCAGTTGAGTCTTCCAAGGCCTCTCAGTCGTCTCCTGCCCCTCATTCGCCGCACATGCTCTTAGCAAGACGATGTGCTCTTTCTCCCACTTTCCTCCTACATGCCCACGACTGTATTCATCCTCCCTCGAGCCCCTTTGTAAACTGTGCGGCACGTACTCTTCACTTCCACTGCCTCCCCCTAATGCCGAACGTTCTTCTTTCCCCTTTGCCCAACCACCAACTTCCACCATGCCAGAGTACTCTCCATCCCCATTCGCCCCATCGGGCCCATAGAATCCCTGATCGACCCGCAGGAAGAGATATGACCAGATGACCGTGACCTCGGTGGTGAAGTTCAAGTTGTAGAAGCATGCTTTGGACTGGTGCCACCCCGGATCGCCCGCGGGTCACTACTGAAGGTAGCTAGTGCCGACGCGGAACCACGGCCCTAGGGATGATAATGAGGCGCCCTAGAGCGTGATGAGAATCTTCCAACGCACCGATCCGCGGCGGCCAAAGTTCTCCACAAGCAAAGCCTAGGAGTTGGTCAAGGCGGCGAGGAGCAGGATGATGGGTAGCACGGCTGCGGTGGCTATGTAGGATGATCCGTAGAATCCAACATCGCGTGCACTGTGTATTTCACCTGGAATCAGCGTGTAGAAAGACTCTACTGGAGAACCGATCAGCAAGAGGATACTGATCAAAATCAGCGCATCGAGCGAGGTGGAACCCCGTTTCACCGGCCTCCACCACCCAATGCCTTGGATGCAATCCCCTGATAATCCTATGCGCAAAATTTGGATTGATCACAGAGCCATCCAGAGTTCCGACCGCTACAAGCAGACCCGCGACGATTGCTACACTAATGTTCTCTGGCATGCGTTACCCAAAATGTGCGCATCTCGCAAGCGCTTATGCTTATGCGGGCCATGCAGGATTCGAATAGGGGCGGAAATGACGAGATTGTGCCCACATCGGTTGTCCAGTTGGAAGAGGGTCATGTTGCCGATAGCGCCTAGGACGAACAGGGTCAGCAAACCCGCAGTGAAAAAAGGCACGTCCAGATGCATGGTTGGAAAGCCACAACGTCCGGCGGTTGCGGGTCGATAGGGTGGGTCGTGGGGGTGTACCTGTGGGGTGGTTGGTGGAGGTATGGACGGGCTCCTGTACAATAAAGTCAATTTGGGAGGTTGGGTCTTGTGGCTGTGAGAAGATTTGGTATACCTGACGAGGCGAAAAGGATGTGTGATGCAGCTGTGTGAGTCGCATATTGGGTACTTGGCTGGAGTAGTTGCTCTTTCCGGTTGTGGTGATTTCCTTATATGAAGGTCTACCTACTGCACATATTTATAGCGCATAAAGTAAGGTATAGCGACAGGAACAGTACTGGGCTGACAAGGTACTTTAGCCAATTTCAGCCCCTGCATCAGACCGGCAAACTTCCGGTTTTAGCGTCCGCTTGACGTGCATTAGCGTCGCATGAACAGTGGAGGTACGAGGTACATAAGCTACTCTACTTTGCTTTACCCCTCCACATATACATACCTACCAATTGAATGTAGCAGGAAGCTCATCCCATTTACAGGGCATTGTGTAATACTTGAATCCGCAACAGCGAGCATGTCGCAAGAACTTCAACGCGAGGCTCGAATCAAGTAGCAATCTTTGATGTCTAATTCTGCAAAACCAGGCCTGCGGGATGGGACTCGGTGGAGAAGGTACAACGCATAGATACCCGTCGATTTATTCGGTAAGGGATATGGTTGAGCACCTTGCATACTCATTAACATTAGAAATGAGGTACAAAATGCATCAAATCAGAGGCTGGCCGACGCTAAATTTCAATCTACCGACCCTTCACTGATCGACATTTTCCAAATTCTACACCTTCTCATCTCCCTCCTCCATGGCGACACCTTTTGGTGCTGCAACTTGTTCTACCGTACCTATCCACGTCCTTTATGCTATGTGCCTGCACAGAGGAATGAATGCATCACGCTTTGGCTCAATAATAGTCAGTTGAAGAAGCACTCCACAATCACGTACAATACGTCCTACTGGATCGCTACACACCATCTTTGTCGGACTGGGGACTAGGTGATTGGCGGCTTGATGCAAGCAACAAAGCTACTACCCCATCTCGCGGGTCCGAAAAAAGGCCTAAGGTATAGCCATATACACACCAAAGAAATCCTTCTATCCCTTTTTCAAGACCAACCAAAATATCGCTGCTTGCAGATGTTTCCGACCGCCAATCAGAGAGCCTTGCTCGACTTGATTTTGCTGTGTATGCGTGGCCGTGGGAATCTGCACCAATTGCATCTTCGTAGCTGGAGTAGTTCAACCAACATGCTCTTGACGACTTGATATTTGCGGCGAGAAGTATTACTACCGTCGATATCTTGAAATCATGAAGCACTTTTTTTCCCGAGAAATCCCCCTCCTTGTGGAGTTGTCAAAGGCTTTTGAATTTCAGAGTGTGTTTCCCCTTTGACGAGATAAATAATTACAACCGAGTTCTGATACATGAATGTATAAGTAATACTCAATCCCGAAACCTCCCCTCTCACTCAGCTCGCCTACCTTACATACTCCCCGGATCCGTGCAGAGTACGAAGCCTTTCCTCGCCTAGTAGCCACTGCGGTCGACGTAACCAGGACGGACATCAAGCACAAGTTCCGATTTGGTCGAAACTCCCCAGATAGACAGCAACCGCTTCAGAACACGGCAGTTGCTACGGACTTGCGTGAGATGCTAATCACCCATAAAGGGAGTGCCAAGGCATTGATCTATTACATTCCAGGTATCGCGCGAGCATTCGCTCCTGGTAATCGGTAATCTGAATTACCACTTCAAATGGGAAGGCGCGTCACATAGTATAGATGCAGCATGTGCAGGAGGGACTACCTCTGTCGCTCTAGCCTGCTCTGCCTTGCGCTCCACGAAAGGTGACACGGCACTGGCAGGTGGTGGTTCGTTTTTGACTGTCCCCAGCCTTTGCGCAGGTCTAAGCCGAGGAGGTTTCTTGTCTCCCACTGGAAACTGTAAAACGCTACGGGACGATGCAGACGGGTACTCCTGTCGGGGTGAAGGAGTTGGCGTCCTAGTCTTGAAACGCCTTGAAGATCCAATTGCTGACAACGACAACATTCAATCAGTCATCAATAGCTCTGCGTAAAGTTGTTCTGCGGATGCTGTCTCCATTACCCAGCCACACGCTGAATCGCAGACTAAGCTATATAGGCGAGTCTTGCAAGAGGCTAATGTGGATCCTCTTGATGTCGGCTATGTCGAGATGCACGGCACAGGTACACAATGGGGGAACCTCGTGAAAGTAGAGTCGATCACCGAAGTATTCGCGGAATGGCGGACCAAAAAAAACTTCTCTTGTTACTGGGTCGGTGGAGGCCAATGTTGGACATGGCGAAGCTGTTAGTGCACCTTGAAAGGTGTATGGTCTGGTCTTCGCGTTGCTGACGATGCCTGAGTATAGGCCGCAGGAATCATCTCTCTGATCAAGGACACAATGATGTTCCGAGAGCCAGACTCCATCCCGCCGCAGCCGGGATGGCCGTTCAAACTCAATCCCAAGTTTCCTCGTTTGGACAAGATGAACATCAAAGTGGCCGATGGAAACACATCGTTCATACCGCGCCGCACGGGTGATGGAAAGAGGAAGCTTCGGCTAAATAACTTTGATGCTTCCGTAGGCCCCCAAGAATCAATATACGAAAAATTATATAGCCGTGCTAACCTTCGCGCAGGGAGGAAACACGTGCATAGTTCTTGAAGTACCTCCGGAGCGACCGGAAAAGGGCCAAGTTCCTCGTGCGTACCATGTCGTAGCATGCTCGGCGCGGACTTCCTGTTCGCTCAAAGCAAACAAGGAGCGAGTTCTCCAGTACCTACGGTCTGACGAAGAAGCCAAAGAGTTTGTAAGGGTAAAATTAAGTATCTTATTAATTGGAAAGACTTCTTACCTTACGAAGCTTTGTGGGAATTAATAAAGTATCTTAAAAATACTAAAGGTGTAATTAAGAACTTCGAGTAAGTAAAGAAGTTATATAAATTAGTATTTAAGATAAAGTTAAAAATATAATTATTAAGAAAGATTAAGAAGTAAGAAAGATTATAAAAATAATAGTAGTAGAGAAGTTCTAAAGAGTGAATAAATTATAGTTAAAAGACTTAGCGAAAATAGTTAAGATATCTATAAATCGATTCTAAAATGCCGAGATATTATATATAATAAGAAAAATAACTATTAGAGTTATATATAAAATTACTACTATCTAATATTAGTTTATTTATTATCTTATATTAAGAAGTAATTACTTATTTAAAAAACTTATTAAATAATAAGAAGATCTAATATAAAAGATAGCGAGAGAAATAGTCGAAGGAGGGGCGAAGATAATAGCGTTATATCGAAGTTTTTTAATATAATAAATTATTATATATATTAGCTACGCACTCTAATATATATTAATTAAAATTTATATTATTCTAGCGATAAAGAGTAATATAAATATTTTCGCTAATATAGGCTATAGCGAGGATATCTTCTTAGTAATAGAGAATTAAATCTATAATATATATATATAATCTTTATAAAAGTATCGTCTATACTTATATTAACGCGAGCTAATAGAAAATATAATATAAATTATATAAGAGTTATATATAAGAGTATATATATAATAATAATAATAAAAGGAGACTAATATATATTAGCGTAATCTCTTAATTATTTAATATCTCTTTTATTTATAAATAGAGATAGAAATAATAATAGAGAAAGCTATTAAGCCTTCTTAATTAAATATATCTTTAAAATAAATATAAATATTTATTAGCTATAGCGGAGGGCGTAAAAATAATAATAATTATAAGTATTTAATAATTTATAGAATTACGAGAGCGAAGATTTAATATTATTATTAATATATTAATATACTTTTTATACTATTTAAAAAGTATCGTAAAGTATTCTTTAAAATATTTATTATATATAAAATTAATTTAAATAACTTTAATCTTATTTAATTATTATCTTAATTAATATATATATTATACTATTATAATAATATATAGCTCGCTATTATAATATTATAATAAGAATAAATAAAGATAAGATAGTAGATATAAAGAAGAATTAGATATTTACTTATAATAGCGTCGATATTAATATTATTATTAAAAAGAATAAAAGTTAAATTAGAAGTAAGACTTTTATATTTATTAACGCGACTTTTATAATTATAATAATAGAATTATTATAATTATTAAAGTAATAATAATAATAGTATATAATAATAATAATAATAATAGTATATTATAATAAAATAGTAATATATCTATATTCTATTAATTAAGGTAATAATATATATAGCGATACTATCGCGATTTAGTATATAAATATATTAATATATTTAAAGAGATCTTAGAGTAAAAAGTTTAAATACGCTATTATAGTATATATTAATTTAGATTATATCTAAATTAATAATAGATAATATATAAGAAACTAATAAGTTCGTAAGTATTTAATTATAAGATATAATAATAATAAGATTTAAAAATTAAATTTTCTAAGAAGAAATATAGTTATAAAAATAAAAGTACTTAAAGCGAATTAATAGACTCGCTTATATCGCTTACTAGGCTATAAACTACGTAGCTAAGATAAGTATCTAATATATTTAATAAAGTCTTAAATACTTATAAATCCCCTTTCTTCTTCTTCTTTCTTTAGTTATTTAATTTATCTAATAATTAATCTATTTATTCTATTAACTATATATCTAAATCTCGTAATTATATAGCTATTACGTAGTTTTATTAAAAGAGATCTTACTATCTTATAGTTCTAATAACTCTATTTATATAAAATTACTTAGTTTAACTATAATAAGTAACTCGCGAGTTAATTTTATTAACTTATAAAGTAGAAACGTTTTATTATAATTAATTAGCGACGTTTTTAATTTAGTAAATAACTCTTATTAAAATATATTTATTATATAATTAAGCGATTATAATATTAATTCTAATATTAATAAGAATTCT